TGTCTTTTTACCTGCCATCGTCAGTCCCTTACGACCGTGCCCAGAGATAAACAACACACCACCTTCATTAAAAACCGGCGATCAGGGAGAGGCTCACCAACTAAAGTCCACCATTAATTCCTGACCTCCAGTCCTCCATCTACATCAGCAAACCTTGAGTATCAATTTATATTGTAGAATATTCTAGCTTTATACTTTATATGTAATCTAAACTCTGACATTGCCACTTAAGGTAATCACAAATTTCGAGTGTTTATTTAACTCATAACGTATGTAAATATTTCTTGTCTTGATATCAACCAATTCAGGACAGTAGTAATTTCCTTTCCCACGCTCTCACTGGGGGCTTTAGAGGCTGATCAGACAGACGGGCACCAGGCAGAGCCGCAGAAGTTGACTGACTGTCAGACTTCATGTTTTAATAAGAGGGGATATGTGTTCATTCTTATTTTTGTCACTTAATAACTATTTAGTGAACAAGTGTCTGATAAATAAGAAAATATTCACTATTTTCAACGAACTGGTAAAAAAGGACTGTGTTTTTATCCGGCAAACTGGTAAAAGAACAATTTCATTTCCTTCAATAATTTCATATAAAAAATAAGTTCACTTTATCATTTGGGAAGAGAATTCAGTGCTAATTCATTGTATTGCGTCTTTTTTTTCTTCATGAACCATGTCACTAATCCACAGAATTAAATTTTAATTCCTTATAGTGACGATAATATTTTGTATTAGTTGTTATAAGAGTGTGAAACGGCTACATTTAAGGTCTTCTCCGCGCTGTATGGTGGCTATCCACTTCAGTTTGGCAACACAATGTTTTGATAACCCTGCGCGGCGGGACACGAACACACAAAGAGCTCTATGTCTATGGGGCGGTGATAACTGATAACATCAACTAGCACAAGAAAAAATACGACGATTTTTCCTCAAATTTATTGCAATTTTCTCAAAGTAATTTTGAGCGGAAGAAATGCTATAGATTCGAAAAGTGTCTTCGTAATGTCTAGACTTCTGATTCCAAAACTTAAAACCTTAACAATTTCTGGATGGCCGAAGCCATAATAATACTGTTCTTGGCTTGGGTATATCCACTTCACTTTATTCCCAATGTATGAGTCATCCCCACACACTTTGCAATTGATTACCACTTTCATAAGATTCAGGAATCACTGCACTGTTCGTGGCTATTCGTCACATGAGGTGACGATGTGTATTAAACTCACACCAAGGTAAAGAAGATATTTCCTTTGGGCATAGTTTACAGGTCAACCCCAACACTACACATATGTCTGATACACTTATCCTTTGCCCAGATCATTGTTCTCATATATTTTCAGACTGACCCACATAGTGTTCACAGAAGAGGGTATAAGAAATAAACTGTCAAAGCTAATGGTCCATAAGAGTCCCGGCCCTGACAGAGTGCATCCCAGAGTGCTAAGAGAGTTGTGCAACGAGCTTGCCGAGCCCCTGAAGATCCTGTTCTGTAAAAATACCTGGATGAACTTAAGGTTCCCAGTGATTGGAAATTAGCTTATGTGAGTCCTATCTTCAAGAAGGGCGATCGTCACTCCACGAACAACTATCGACCGGTGAGCCTGACCAGCATAGTATGTAAAGTACTTGAGAGCATTATCAGAGATGCCGCGATGGAACATCTACTAGGAAACAACATTGTAAAGGATTGCCAACACGGTTTTATGCCGGGGCGCTCCTGCTTAACACAAGTGCTCAAGGTATTGGATATTTGGACCCATATTCTGAAACGGGGTTGCAATATCGACAATATAAACTTAGATTTTGCCAAGGCTTTCAACAGTGTACCCCACGAAAGGCTGAAAATCAAACTGGAAGGGTATGGAATTCGGGGAAAAATCCTAGCGTGGATAGAAGACTTTCTACATGATCGCAAGCAGTGTGTGGTGGTTAAAGGCACGGAATCATCATCTGTACCTGTCACAAGCGGGGTACCACAGGGCAGTGTATTGGGCTCGCTGTTTGTTTCATAAATGACATGCCTGACGCTGTAAACTCCCCCACACAAATGTTTGTAGGTGACGCCAAGTTATTTCGGGAAATCAAGAACCAAGTGGACTGTGAAGAGCTGCAGAAGGATCTCTGTGAGCTCCAAGAATGGTCGAAGAAATGGCTACTGAGATTCAATCTCACGAAGTGTAAGAGGATGCACCTGGGGCGTACCAACGGTAAGGAGGCGTACCATATATCCCAATGGGATGAAGAAACTGCACTATTTGAGACAATGTAAGAAGGACCTAGGTGTGTATGTTGACAGCGATCTGAAGTTCTCGGGCCATTGCGAGAAAAAGGTAATTCAGGCAAATAAATTATTAGGTCTTATAAGAAGGTCGTTCAGATATCTAAACGGTCCGTCCCTCATAACGATTTTCAAGAGTGAAGTTCTTCCCCATTTGGAGTACTGTCACCCTGTGTGGTCCCCGAGATATACTAGGGACTGTCAGTTGATTGAAGATGTTCAAAGGAGGGCCACCAGACTGGTGTCTGCACTTCGGCACCTCAACTACCCTGAGAGATTGGAGCGCCTGAACTTGCCTAGCTTATACTGCAGACGGGCAAGGGGGGACCTAGTTGAGGTGTATAAGCATCTCAAGGAGCACTACTCCTACTCAGTCGAGTGTCCTTACTTGGAACTGGCGGACGCTCGCCCCACAAGGGGTCACAGCTCAAGGTTCAAGAAGTCGCAGGTCCAGAAAACTGTGAGGGCAAACTTTTTCGGAGTGAAGAGTTGTAAACTCTTGGAACAATCTGCCAGAAAGTGTTGTGACGGCACCAAGTGTGAGCTCTTTCAAGACAAGACTTGACCAACACTGGAGCAGGTTCTGGTACATTCAGAAGCCGGTGCATGCCCAGTACTTGCCAACAGTGCGTAACAGAGACGTGACCGACCGCCCAAGCGGCTAACGAGCCGATCAGTGGTGAAGAGGATAAAAGTAAGTAAAAAGTAAAAGATGACAGTTGTCTGTAGGAGTCCAAATTTCTGCCTAGATTTCTGTAGTATTGTTGCGCCGAGGCTTAATTTAGTATTATTTTTTTTAACTAGGTGTTCTGATTACCGTCTATTCTAAGCAGCAGTTATTTTGGCAAGTTTGGGGAGATTTTCTTGTATATATTCACGTATTACCTATGAAAACTTTTCTACATGTATTGCATCATTTTTGTTTTGATTTAATTATGTATTGTAAGCCTCGATCAGAGTTGAACCACCTTGAACTTCACAGGCGTGTCTCGTTCCGACCTGCATTGCCTAAATGGTGCTAGGATGTTCTAGGAATCTAGGCGGTGTCTGACGAGGTGTGTACTCGTATAAGCGCCAGCTAGTTGCCTAGGGAAGTAATCGCCCGTTTCTTCCCAGAGTGTGAAGCACATGCCTAGTGACAGCTAAAGATATATAATTGTTGTTCAAGCATTGTGGAATTGTTGAGTGATATAAAGTGAAAAGACTTAGGAATTCTACACTAGCAGTGTGCTGACTACTGTATATATTCGAAGTGAGAAACCCAGTAGTGAAGACATACTGAGAACAGTTTTGTGAAGTTTTAGTAATTATTAAAGAAGGTTACAGTTCACAGGTGTGTTTCTGTGACCTGGTGGAAATCTACCTGCTCGTTTTGTCTGTGCACTGATACCGATCGTCGGGAAATTACCGGAGACTGACGGGAAAGCTCGTGGTAATTCGACGACCTTTGTGATATATCTACTACTTCTGTATACGACCTGGCCGCTGGTAACCAGAGGTGGAAGCTGATAAGCGGCGAAAGGGGTTCATATCAGTATCACAAGAAGTGGCTGTAGCAGCACCAAATAGAGGCATCAAAGGTGCTGCATTTAACTCTAAACTCTTCATTGTATGATCGAGGGCTCGAGCTTGGTCAGATACAGTTTGAGCATCTTGTTCTTAAGGAGCTGCTGACGAATGACATGGGGCAGTAATCCGCTTGTGAAGGCATCCCCGATTGCCTCTTCTCCACCCTACTCAGCGTTGACGGCTATGTAGTTAGTCTCCACAGAGCTGCTTCAGAGGATGCAGGTATTTATCCATAATCTCTCCCTATGAGTCCCCACTGTTGTCGACAACTAACCAGACCAGAAGGTGACGCAGATACACTTCGTTCTTAGGTATCACATAAAAGTCTCTATAGCAGTTTCAAAAGTCTCACAATCAGCGTAAACACTGGTTGCGTTTTCAAGAATAGTACAGCTACACGGAGTAACTGTGGCACACGCGAGTGCTTTAAAGGTTAAACAGATAACGAACCTTGCCTAACCTCCTCCGTCATCTACAAAGCTGACCGAACCCAATTATCTCTGCTACAAGTAATCATGCGAGTATTAACATGTACTGTACTGTTATGATTATGTGTATTATGTACACCTTCAAGGTATTTTACAGGGGCGGATCCAGTAATATCAAAAGGGGGGGTCCAAGAAGTTGTGAGTGGGGGAACATGATGAGTGCAGCGAGCCCCCCGAGGTGTGGTTTTGGGGAGGCGCTGTAAGCCCCCCAGAATTTTTTTTTAAATCTGACCAATATTATGGGCATTTTGAGGCTATTTTGAAGCCATGTCCACTTGGTATTAGGAGATATTCTGAAGTCAATAGTAAATACTTTTTGTTATACAAAAATGCCTGGGCACAATACTCAATTAAAGAAGTAGTTATGGAATTTTCTGGTGAAAATTGGGGTCCGGACCCTCAGGACCCCCTGGATCCGCCCTTATTTTATGAGGGCTGGAGATAAGAACGACAATCTTGAGCGCTTTCCTGTGTGGCTCCTAAGATTACATCTTGTGTTAAAAAATACCACGAACAAGACCGGGGGGGTGGGGGGGGGGAGAAGGGAGTAAAACTATTTTGTCATCCAAGAGAAATGGAATATTTAACCTAATTTTACCCCAAAATTGAGGGTTGATCTATCTGCTTTGAACACAAGTAGATAGTAATTTAGAGTTCATATACAGTTCGTGGTTTTAATTTAGCATCGGGTGTATTACGTCCGGTAGTGAGGCGTCATGATAAAATGAGGCTAGTGTTTGTCAAGACACTGTGGGAGGTGAGCATTAATCACGGTACTTCCACACACACACGCTAAGGTTAGTTATATATTCAATGTGCACCATAAACACCTGACGGGTTTTTAATGAAAGAATGTAAAAATGTAGAGTGGAAATATTTATTAACACATACCGTTTATACAGTAGTTTACATTATCGTGTCCAACTAAAATCCAAACGCTGCGACGCACGATGACCATTAGTATGGAAGCACCGCTTAGTGGGTAGGATGGTTTTAAAAACTCGGGTGTTTATAGCGCAGCCACACCCTGTTATAATATACGAGTGTTCCTTGCAGTTCTGCCCGAATCAATAATATTTAAAATGGTTCGCTGCAGTTCTCAGGTCAGGAAGATGTTCTGTACAAGGGTTCACTGAGTCAGAAGTGTCTGGGACGGCCATTCGTGTTGTGTGACTGTTACCATTATCAAAGATTGAAACTTATTAATTGGTAAGAAAAGTAATGCCAAGAAATTTAACGTGAGAATGGAAAAATTTTGCATAAATATATTTCATGGTTAGATTTGGTCAGATTAGAATGGTAGATTTCTTGTTTGTTTATGATAGGCAAAACAAGCTTTCGGTGCATCCATAAGTGTTTTTTCGCTAATCCAGCTGTTTATCTCCTATTCTTTATGTAATCGTTTGAGTTATTTCTAGATCACTGTATACGCCATGTTCAATTAGAAGTCCATGTACGGTAAATGAACTGACGCCAGTGAGCGGAATATTCTCCAGCTCAGATAAGTTATAATAATACAGTACTCTTCTGAGTTCTCTATATTCCTCAGTGGTGTATAGAAATGCTTTCTTAAACGGGTTATTTGCATCGACTCTTGTAAGAGCCGAGGAAAGGGATTCATTTAACGCCTCGCCTTTATTCTGGTCGAAGTCAACATTAACTACAGTATTATACTATCTTAAGTGTCACATAGAAACCTTAGGAGTTTGACTGGGCCTTGGCTGCGCTTCTCTCCCCGCCTTTATACACTCTAGACTCTGTGTGTTTTTAAAGGTTTACTTTGTACATGTAGTATCATACCTCGTGTCAGAATTTCACTCCATCGGCATAAGGTCGAATTTTTCAGCATTAAAATGTTGTTTGATCCTCGTCATTTTATGTCCGCGGAAAAAAAAATCTGTACTCCCACTAGGTGCTACGTGAGCCGAAAAATCTAGAATACTGATGGTCCTGGAACGTAATGCGCATAGGCCACGGTAGTGCCTGTAAAATAACTCGCTCTGTGCTCTCGAAAAAAGTTCCACCTCTTTGGGGGGGGGGGTGACAAGAGATAAGTGTAGTTTGTCCCAAGGATAAAATACTGTTTTAGTCCTTGGTTTGTCCTCCCTCCGCCGATTTTTTTGAGAGGTGAGTCCTCCCCCTATCCGCCCCTGTAAAGAATAAGGATCACTCAGGGAAAATTTGAATTGTTTTGGGATTAATCTGGTTGAACCACACCATTCTCTATTATTACACTAGATGTGCAACTGTGCCCGTTACAATAATTCACACAGAGGGTGGTAGACCTATGGAACAGTCTACCAGCTCAAGCTGTAGAATCGAGAATAGTATTGAGCTTCAAAACAACCCTAGTTAAGATTATTAAAAACAATGGAGGGATCCTACACAGGTCATTGCCCTCCTTCCCTCGGAATGGCCACTTCCTTTTTTTGGTGACCATTAGGTAAATAAGCTTAAATTTATTGGCAGACCTTGTAGTACAGTTTGCCTATTCTGAGTAATTGAGTCAGGTCTTGACACTGAGGGTAGTATCACTTCTCACTGCCACGCAGGACAGAGGTTCATACACAAAGAAATAGATCATATTCCTGAACAGTATGTATAGCTCGTTGTGTCGTTGTGATATCACTGTTCACTGCTACGCAGGACAGTGGTTCATCTCCTTTTCTTTATATATTACAATTGCACAGCCTGTTCTTCCTGTGTTTGCCTGCACAGAACCATCAGTAAAGGCATAACAATCACTTGATTTAATACTCTGTGTCTGTTATTAGTTTCTAGTGTGACGCATCTCATCACATCGGTGCTTAACAATTGTTTACTACTAACAGGAGTGTAATTAATAGGAACTGATATATCCAGCCAAGGAGGAATGGCATTAATGGGTTCGTCTGGGGTGATTGGGACATTAATTTTCAATAGATCTGCAACACTTATGAAGCCACGCCCCAAAGAGAGTCTTTTGTGAAAGGCTAGCGAGATAGTCGGGATTACTTAGATGGAACATCAACTCAGTTTGTGCTGTAGTTTGGGGACCATTGTTCATCAAAAGTTTAACGCAAAACATGGTATTAAGTAGAGCCATCCTCTCAGATAGAGAGGGCAGTCCGAGCTATTTCCTCATGTTTACAATTCTGGTAGATTTTGGGCATCTCAAGGGGCACTCCTCAGTCGAGTGTCCTTACTTGGAGCTGGCGGACGCTCGCCCCACAAGGGGTCACAGCTCAACATTGAAGAAGCCGCAGGTTCAGAAAACTGTGAGGGCAAACTTTTTCGGAGTGAGAGTTGTGAACTCTTGGAACAACCTGCCAGAGAGTGTTGTGACGGCATCGAGTGTGAGCTCTTTAAATACCAGACTTGACCAACTCTGGAGCAGGTTCAGATGCTTTCAGGAGCTAGTGCAAGTTGTAGCAATAAAAAGAAAACGTTATTTGCATTTGACAATATCATCAGTTGCTTTCCAACCCTTTGTAGGGCAGCGACACACTTAGGCATTTTATTCTGGATAACGCCAGACAATTTTATTCAGCTGAGAGAAACCCCTGCCCGACAAAGGGTTGGAGTTACATCGACGTTTATCCCTGTTTAGCGTGACACACACCTCTGGGCATAGCGCGGTCATTCATTGGTCCAGGTGCTCGCTGCTGGTGTGCCGATAAAGAGTGCAGGCTCCTCTGAGGCAAGCGACTCACACGCATCCACCCGCAGACATACTCTTTATCTTTCGTTGACTGTGTGTGTGTGTGTGTGTATGTATGTATGTATGTATGTATGTATGTATTTAACAGGGTCGAATCCAGGGATTCGCCAAAGAAACAGGGGGTAAGGAGGGGCGAGAATTTTAGACTTAGTCAAGTAGTTTTCTATAAAGTTTTATTTTTGGTGTCAATAAACTCAACATTTGACTTCGTTATATTTCACTGTGTTGTCTTTATTCCTCTCCCACTTTTGTTTGAGGTGGATCAAGAATTACAGAAATAGAGGTGCAAGACGATTGTTGGCATCGACAGGAAAGATTTAGAAAACGGAAATGTGTTGTTCGTGAAAGACTTGTAATATGTTTATGGACCGCCAACTTACTTCACTTTAACAGTATCTAGGAGAGTTAGGTTAGGTTAGCGTTATGATGGCTAATTTTTTAGGTGAAATAAGGGGGGGAGGGGTGTAACCTTTAAGTGTTCCAGGTTTCGATGAACCTTATTGTATCAGTTTTAGTTTAACTTAACATTATCAAAGGAAGTTTCACCAGTGCTTCGCCATGATAGTACCTGGACCAGAGAAACAAACAGGACATCCTGCCAGGGTTACTTCACTGGCGCCACCGTCTAGCTCGCTTACACCATTATCTAGTGCAGTGCCTGAGAAGTCATACACACACACTTATATGAAACGTGTGTGTGTGTGTGTGTGTGTGTGTGTGTGTGTGTGTGTGTGTGTGTGTGTGTGTGTGCGTGCGCTCGCGTGTGTGTGTGTGCGTGCGCTCGCGTGTGTGTGTGTGTGAAGAGGTTCATAATGTCAATGGTAATTCTTGTACCTGTTCTAGTTCAGCAGGTCAGAGTTGGCATAACTGTGGTACTTGGTCCCATACACACCATGAACGCCTTCTTTACACACACTTCTTATTTATGGCAGTCCATCCAAGTCGATGACGACGTTGCTCCAGATGATTGATGAGTTATGTGTTATTCCTCTGATGCCACCGTAGATGACTATGGAGTCCAATCCTGGAGGCGCAGATCTTGTTGCATAGGTGACAGGGATGTTGTTCATTGAGAGGAATTATGCCTTGAGCCCTCTGATGTCGCTGGGCTCGTTTAGTAGCTCTTTTTTGGTTCAGTGAGGTCTCAAGTGTCTCAGCTCCTCTATGGCATGTTGAGCGCCATAAGGAACGGTATTAGGCTAGTTGCTCCAGTGAATTTGGTTGGATATTACAGCACTTGAGTAGAGTTTTAGAGTGGTCCTTATATATCTTTTTCTGTCCTCCCACCGAGCGTTTTCCATGTGAGAGCTTGCCATATAATATTTGTCTTGGCCGATGGTCTGGCATCCTGATAACATGTCCAAGCCAGCGCAAGTGTTTTTTGACTAGCGTGGTTTCAATGCTGGTCGTGTTTGAGCGGCGATATAGTTCTTCACGAGTCACTCTATCTTCCCAGGATATTCCAAAGATACGCTTAAGGCATCTAGTGTGGAAGTTTTCCACCATTTGGATATGGCGTTTGTAGGGCGTCCAGGCTTCTGAGGCATATAATAATGTAGATATACTGACCGCGAGATAAACTGCAGTCTTCGTTCCATATTTGAGGTCATTGTTGAGAAAGACTTGTTCTTAAACGTCCAAATGCAGCTGAGGCTAAATTGATTCTGATTTGAATTTCCATATCCAGTGAGCAGGTGGGTGTGAGAGTGCTACCAATGTACTTAAACTGGTTTACTATTTTGATAAGATCTCCATTACTGTAGAATTGTGGTGTTTCTATTGGTGGAACAATGGGCTGGACAAAAATCCCAGTCTTCTGGGTGTTAATTTGCAAACCAAGCGAGCTGTAAATACCTGAGATCACGTTCAGTGCACGTTGCATAGATTCTCTATTGTGTGTTATTATTGCACAGTCATCTGCATACTGTAGTTCTATGACCTGAGTTGTTAAGGTCTTTGTGTAGGCTTCCAGACGTCTAATATTAAAAAGGCTACCGTCAAGACGGTACCGTATGCCCACACCTGCATCAGGCCCAAGGGCATTGTGTGCGAGTTGTGCTACAGCCAGCAAAAAGATGTTAAACACAGGTGCCACCTGGACCAATGAATGACCACGCTATGCCCAGAGGTGTGTGTCACGCTAAACAGGGATAAACGTCGATGTAACTCCAACCCTTTGTCGGGCAGGGGTTTCTCTCAGCTGAATAAAATTGTCTGGCGTTATCCAGAATAAAATGCCTAAGTGTGTCGCTGCCCTACAAAGGGTTGGAAAGCAACTGATGATATTGTCAAATGCAAATAACGTTTTCTTTTTATTGCTACAACTTGCACTAGCTCCTGAAAGCATCTGAACCTGCTCCAAGAGTTGGTCAAGTCTGGTATTTAAAGAGCTCACACTCGATGCCGTCACAACACTCTCTGGCAGGTTGTTCCAAGAGTTCACAACTCTCACTCCGAAAAAGTTTGCCTTCACAGTTTTCTGGACCTGTGGCTTTTTCAATCTTGAGCTGTGACCCCTTGTGGGGCGAGCGTCCGCCAGCTCCAAGTAAGGACACTCGACTGAGGAGTGCCCCTTGAGATGCTTATACACCTCAATTAGGTCGCCCCTTGCCCGTCTGTAGTATAAGCCAGGCTAGTTCAGGCACTCCAATCTCTCAGGACAGTTAAGGTTCCGAAGTGCAGGCACCAGTCTGGTGGCCCTGCTTTGAACATTTTCAACCAACTGACTGTCCGTAGCATATCTCGGGGACCAGAAGGGGCGACAGTACTCCAGATGGGGAAGCACTTCACTCTTGAAGATCGTTACGAGGGACGGACCGTCTAGATATCTGAACGACCTTCTTATAAGACCCAATAATTTATTTGTCTGATTTACCTTCTTCTCGCAATGGCCCGAGAGCTTCAGCTCATTGTTAACATACACACCTAGGTCCTTCTCACATTGTCTCAAATAGTGCAGTTTCTTCATCCCGCTGCATGTGTTACCTTATCTATATGATGCCATATTTTAGTTTGTGTTATAACAGTTGCAGGTGTTAGCAGTGGACGGGTAGAGAGGGTTATGTTCACTGCTGCAGGGACCAGTCATGATCAACTCTCCACTAACCGCTCTGGGTAAGTCAACACATTATCCTGTTAGTGTTGTCACTACTTCAAACTGTTGATGAAGGAGTTATTATGAAGACTAACTATACAATAAGAATGATGATTAATTATGGGGTAATGCTGTTATAAGAACACGGAAGATAGCCGCCCAGGTATGTCAACACACTGCATATACTGTATATATTACTTGTTACTTTTATCCTCTTCACCACTGATCGGGTCGTTAGCCGCTTGGGCTGTCGGTCGGTCACACCTGTTACGCACTGTGGGCAAGTACCTGGGCTTGCACCGGCTCCTGAATATATCTGAACCTGCTCCAGTGTTGGTCAAGTCTGGTCTTGAATTAGCTCACACTCGGTGCCGTCACAACACTGGTATGTTGTTCCACGAGTTCACAATCCTCACACCGAAAAAGTTTGCCCTCACAGTTTTCTGGACTTTGGTTTCTTCAACCTTGAGCTGTGACCCCTTTTGGGGCGAGCGTCCGCCAGCTCCAGGAATGGACCCTCGACTGAGTAGAGCCCCTTGAGATATTTATACACTTCGATTAGGTCACCCCTCGCCCGTTTGTAGTATAAGATAGGTAGTTGCAGGCGCTCTAATCTCTCTGGATAACTGAATTGAAGGCACCATTCTGGTGGCCCTCCTTTGGACATTCTCAATCAACTGACAGTCCCTAGTATATCTCGGGGACGAGACAGGGTGACAGTACTCCAGTCGGGAAAGCACCTAACTCTTGAAGATCATTACGAGGGATAATCTGAACCCACTTCTTGTAAGAACATAATAATGAAGGAAACTGTAGCGGGCCTATTGGCCCATGCTGGGTAGTCCCATTTACACCCAACCCCTATCGCTCGGATATATCCATCCAACCTATGGTTGAAGCTTTCCAGCGTATTCAAGTTAATGATGATATTTGGTAACTTCTTCCACTCGTCCACTACTCTTCCAAACCAGTGTTTACCTATTTCGCGCCCAAATCTAAATTTGTCTAATTTAAAACCATTGTAACGAGTTCGCTCCTGGTTGGATAGTTTGAGTACCTTTGTAATGTCCCCTTTGTTCAGCCCTGACTTCCATTTATACGCCTCTTATCATATCGCCCCTCACTCTACGTCTCTCGAGGGAGTGCAAATTAAGATGCTTATATAATACAGTATACCAAGTATAGAATGTCACAGTATTGTCCATTTAGTTATGAGTCAGTGGAAGTAGTTAGCAGACATTTTAGTTATGGCAGATAGATATATAGATAGATAGACGTTTAATCGGTAAAAGCGTCATACAAGTTTACAGCTGGTTCAGCATGAGACAAGTCAGGTATACAGTATACAGTACATAGACCGTGGGAGTATACAATTTCTTAGGCACCTAGACAGTGCAGGTATACAAACAATAGTAAAAACTAAGAGTGCGTTCACCCCAAGGCCAAACGGACATAATATGACGCAAATTGTCGGAGTGAGTCGAGTCAACAACACATCTTACACTATATTCGAAACACACCAAATCCAATCTTTAAAATTTCTTCCGAGAGGGAAGACCGTGCCCTCTCCCTAGAAAGACAGCGAGTCGTGTATTAGCTAAGATGAAACATCACAATAACCACCGCGGCATCACATATCGTCTCTCTCTGGACAATTTGCGTCAGGATATGTCTGATCCGACTTTAGTGTGAACGGAAATCTTCGGCGTCCGGTTACTACCTCCTGTATTAACACTGGACAAAAAAGGTTATAACTTGAGGCTGTAATCTCTTAGTGTGCACGTGCAGTCTTATGTACACATGTGATTTACTATTTTTGTTTTATCATATTCTCTACTTTTCAGCTTACTAGCTGTTTGGGCGGTTTATCAAGTGTTAGTACAGGAGGAAACCGGGGACCGGGAAACCTATGGTGGTTGGTAGAGGGTCACACTGGATAACACCCGTCTCCGGGCCGAGGCTCGAACCCTTGACATACTAGTATGAGTCATGTGCGTTTCCGCTGCACCACCAACACCCTCTTTAATGTTCTTATAAACTATTATTAAATTAGTAAGGGAATTTTCCAAATGCACCAAACCTTCCTCACGTGATTGCTGGGCATGCACAATAGTTCATGATTGTTGTGATTTTGTTTGTATCATGTTTACGCCTTATCAGCTTACTAACCGTTCTTTTGTTACTACGCTTATTGTCCACTGTTAATACGATTAGGCACATGATACCAGCACCAGTTTGGTGGCCCTCCTTTGTAACTTTTCAATCAATTGGCAGTCTTTGGTGTATCTCGGAGACCAAACAGAATTATAGTACTCCAGGTGAGGAAGCACCACAACTTTTGAAAAGCCTTATGAGAGATAGACCATCTATATGTGTGTAGAATTTTTGTGTAATTGCGTCATATTAGTTTATCAGAAAGCTTTTCCTTCTCACAAGGATCCGAGAAATTCAGTCCATTTTCAACATGGACACCCAGGTCTTACATTAGGATCCTCATGGGGCTTTTCAGAAGAGTGGTGCTCCTCCACTAGGAATACTGTTTAGTCCCTGAGATATGTCCCATTAGAAGTCACAGCATTGAGGGTCACACTGGAAAACACCCTTCTCACTCGGGCTAGGACTTGAAACCAGGACACAGGTTTGAGAGATATGCTCGTAACATCTGCACCACCAACATATTACCGTCATTCAACATCTTTGAGGTAAAAGTTATGAACATAAGTTTGTGATAGAACCAATTATGAGCACCTCAAAGTTAGAACTTGACCAACACTGGCATATGTTCAGGTACTGTATAGTGTGTAACAGAGCACTTACCGAAGAGGATAGTTACGAGTGAGTAGAGTTAGTTAATACAGACCATGTAGTGTAGTATGAGTTAACATGATGAATTGGGGCGAGTCATAATTGATAGTCAGTTTTCCTTGCTTTTCTAACAGATTTTTTTTTTCAGTGATCTTTGTTGTGTCGACCACAGCTGTATGCTCGGCAGACAATAGTTGTCCTCTATTCTCAGATTTTACTTCTGGTAATAACACTTACCAGCACAAGTAAGTAATTCTGTTTATGCTAAACTTATTGTTTGGTGTTTCTGATATAGTATGATGATGTTTAGCTCTACCATTTTGTTTTTTGGTATGTATCGGTAGGATCTCTATTGATGTTTTTGTTTAATATTTAGAATTGAAATCGGGCGAATAAGGAAAAACCTTGTGTGGGTTGACCGAAGTGGAACCTATAATGTAATGGTGTCCGGAAAAAAAAATCACAGAAAAATTAAGAATTTTGGCAAAAAAACATCATGGAGAGATACATTTAAATCAACTGAATAAAATTAGGTTAGGATTGGTTTAGTTAATTACTTTTTTCCTTCAATCATTTGTTTTCATACATTCAAGGTAACATTCCTTTGGAGTGGTTTTGTTTTTCACAACATAAATGATTTCTACACCATATGCTTCCTGCATCTATCTGATTTCTATTTTGAGCACTAAAATAAACAAAGTAGTGAACATTCTAACTCATTCTGTAAAATAATAATAATACTGGGTAATAATAATAATAATAATAATAATAATAATAATAATAATAATACAGGGTAATAATAATAATAATAATAATAATAATAATAATACAGGGTAATAATAATAATAATAATAATAATAATAATAATAATAATAATAATGATAATGATAATAATAATACAGGGTAATAATAATAATAATAATAATAATAATAATAATAATAATAATAATAATAATAATAATAATAATGATGAGCGGTGCAGCTAAGTTTACAACGAACTTGTAATATCTGTCCACTACAATATACTGTATACAGTTGTTTTGTACAGTATATCCTGCCCTCAATAACACCATTAATGTTTGAGTGTTATTCAGAGATTAAGGTTGTATTCTTTCAACAGCTGCTCTGAGTTGTGTCTGGATGAATCACAAGAAAGCAACACTAAGCTCCAGGTGTATGGAACTGAATATTATTCTAAGGTCAGTACAAACACTGTAACACTTCCCTAAAACTCTGTACTGATGCATTGGTCTTTTTATACTTTCACATACTAATTATTGTGTTAATATTGTGGGAGTAAATTTAGTTAAGGTAGAATTTATAGGGGCTCAATTTTATGAACTTTTGATTGCCATTGGCACTCAATCACCAAATCTTTACGTCCTGCCGATGGTCATTAGTTATTACTTTATGAACTGAATGTAGAAGGGCTGAAAAGGAGTTCCAGAGGCTGGTTGCAAGTGAGGTCAAGTCAAACCCAAAGGCTTTGCGGGCCATTGCGAGAAGAAGCTAAATCAAGCAAATACATTATTCGGTCTTATAAGAAGGTCCTTCAGATATCTAGACGGTCCGTCCATCGTAACGATCTTCAAGAGTGAAGTGCTTTCCCATCTGGAGTACTGTCACCCCATCTGGTCCCCGAGATATACTAGGGACTGTCAGTTGACTGAAAAAGTTCAAAGGAGGGCCACCAGACTGGTGCCTGCACATCAGCACCTCAGCTACCCTGAGAGTTTGGAGCGCTTGAACTTGCCTAGCTTATACTGCAAGCGGGCAAGGGACGACATACTTGAGGTGTATAAGCATCTCAGGGACACAACTCAGTCGAGTGTCCTTAGCTGCAGCTGGCGGATGCTCGCCCCACAAGGGGTCACAGCTCAACATTGAAGAACCCACAGGTCCAGAAAACTGTGAGGGCAAACTTTTTCTGAGTGAAGAGTTGTGAACTCTTGGAATAATCTGCCAGAAAGTGTTGTCACGGCACTGAGTGTGAGCTCTTTCAAGACCAGACTTGACCAACACTGGAGCAGGTTCAACTACATTCAGGAGCCGGTGCATGCCCAGTACTTGCCAACAGTGCGTAACAGAGATGTGACCGATCGCCCAAGTGGCTAACGAACCGATCAGCTGGTGAAGAGGCTTGAAGATTCTGACCAGGACAAAGCGGAGACATGGAAAGTTTGCATTCTTCCTTTTGCCAGACTTGGGAATAACAGTTCTTCTCCCACAGTACGAAAGGTGTTTTTCAGCTTGGTAACTACAAGGATGGTTACACTTGGCGCAAATAACTTCTGTGGTTAGAAGACCGTGTTCGTGTAGAATTTCTCATGCTTCTCCGTCTTTACCATAATAATTGCTGTGAAACCTGCAATGATATGGAAGTAATTGAAATCACAGCCATTGCACAAGGGAGATATCTTGGAAATAAATTCAAATCAAGCAGGTGGCAATTGGGGCTTATACTGAGCTGTGATTGGTTAATCCAAAATTATACCTACCAATCAACGTCCAAAGAACAACTGCGCATGCATAATAGCAATCAACAATCGAACACACAAGAGCTCTTGGGCCTTAAAAAAAAAGGACTTTTCCAACAATTTATTGCGATTTTCCCTGAAAGTAATCATTTGCGGAAATAATGCTACAGAAGAAACTAGTCTTAGAATGGCTAAGCTACTGATTCAAAAACTTAAAATCTTAAAATTTGCTGGATGACCGAAACATTAATAATATCCTAACCTAATTTAACCGAACCATCGACATTATTTTAACTTAAACCTATTCTAACACCCTAAATATAAGTTAATACAGTTTAGAGTAGACTGTACCCAGTTATGAAGTGGTTGGGATATAATTTGAATTGTTAAACCATATAAGTAATTGTACTCCTCTTCTTTTCTTGCAGACATCTGATGTTTGCCAGGCTGCCGTCCATGCAGGCGCTGTTGGTCCACAGGGTGGGGAGGTCACCTTTACCCAAGACAATACCAACCATGACAGACGGGGCACTATCAGAAATCGCATTATTTCCAAGTCATGGTTGTAAGTATTCTATGTGTCTGTCTGTGTTGATCTATATAAAAAAATCAGTACAGTGTCTTAATGTCTGTTTGTCTCAGTCTACCTCTCTCTATTTACCTTTACCACTCTCTTACTCAGTGTATGTATTGTCTATCTATATACAATATGTATGTGCAAGAACAATACGGTATACTGTATGTAGTATAGAATTTTGAATCTGGCTCAATTTTTCTCTCCCTCTATGTATTTGTCAGTCTTGATATTGACCCTCTGTAATATTGACCAGAAGTTGTGGCGGTTGAGTGGATACAGCACTCGCCTCATGTTCCAAGGGTCGGTGGTTTTATTCACGGGCAATCCCAATTCACCCAGCTGTGAAAGGATTCTTGGTTTACAACTTGGGAAAGTGTATGTGGTCTAGTGCAGTACTGGCCATGCTGTCACTGGAGCAGGTTCAGGTACATTCAGGAGCCGGTACATGCCCAGTACTTGCCAACAGTGCGTAACAGAGACGTGACCATCGCCCAAGCGGCTAACGAGCCGATCAGTGGCGAAGAGGATAAAAGCAATAAGTCCATATAGCACGCGGACTTCCGCATATAAACAATGCCTCACTAGTCGAGAATCGAACCCTGGATCTCCGCATGTATATAGGGATCACTACCACCGTACCAATGGACAACAAAAACAATCTTAGGCTCTTTTGGGAGATGTATGTTGCTTAAGAATGAAGACAAATGAACGGGCTTCGTGTGAAATAAAACAAACCCTACGATTGCTTTTGTTATAGTGCACGGTGGTAGTGATTCCTGTTCACATGCTAGAGGTCCAAGGTTCGATTCCCGACTAATGAGGCATTGTTTGTACAGTACTGTACAGTATATGGAAATCCACATGCTATATGGACATGATACATACACACACACACACACACACACATATATATATATATATATATATATATATATATATATATATATATATATATATATATATATATATATATATATATATATATATATATATATATATATATATATATATATATATATATATACTTTAGTGTGTTTATTAAATAATAGGATAACATTTTTCTTTAAATCAGATCTCATGTCAAGAATAAATACTGTTTTACAGAAATGAGGGAATCAGCAATCCTACAACTTTCAAGTTCTTAAATTTTACTCCAGTCATAGATAAAGAAGGTAAGACTAACCTCTTGTTATACTTTAATTTATCATATCACCATTTATAAGTTTATTCTGCGTCCAGGTGGTTGGTCTGTTCTTTGCTATTTTGTTATAAACTTTATTTTCTCAGTGTTAGTACAGGAGGTAACTAGTGGAAAACAGGTAAGTGGCTATATGGTGCCACAGAAAAATGTGTTGTTATAAATGAGAATTTTTCTATGGAAAACAATTAAGTGGGTCTTCATTTGTGAGTTTATTTAATACATAAATGTCATAGAGTATAATTTTGTCACATGTTTATTGTATTCTTATTTTTTATACATGTTCACTTTCACCAGATTTTTACAAAGTTAAACAGTCTTGAGTGTTTAATGGGTTAAAACTTCACTCCTGGCTATGTGATCCATATACTTTACTGTACAATATTCTCTACTGTATTTTACCATGACCTTATTCTATCATATACTCTCAACAGACCTGGATGGGGATGTGGTGATCATTCATGATTCATACAGTAAATCTTGGACTGGGCGCAAGATGAATCTTGTCTGCCTTACTGACAATACCACTAGAATACTTGTTAAAACTGATATAACAAGTTGGAAATATAGAAAGTCTGATGTTAAAGTTACTATCTTAAGTAAGTAATGTATGACTGAATTGTAAGTACAGTAGTTTCCATCATCCTATCTCTTCAATGTTTGATTATTTTTTTTAATATATCTTATTCTTCTACTTATTTTTCTTTCAGATGATCTCAACAAGTATTAGTTGAGAAGATGATACAAAATGATTAAGAGTACTGTACATGGAATAGTTTAATGCTTATGACAAGGATGTAAGGGAACTATAGGTAGTAGTAGTGTTAAAAAAAATGACTCAAAAAACCAATAGAAGCAAAAGCACAAAGTGTAGTTGAAGAGTAGAGGTGACACAAGTGGAAATAGATATACAGCAGCATGAAGAGTATGAGAGTGAATTGTCGTGGGGGAATTTAACTATGGCGACATCAACTGGAGAAATGAATCCACGCCAATTGACCTTAATAACCCCGCTACTTTTCTTGTAGAAACACTGAGAGACCATTTTCTTTTCCAACATGTTAAAGATCAGACTCAGTACAGAGGGGAACAAACACCTAAACCGCTGGATATCTTCATAGTTAACGAGGATGATATGGTGACCAAATTGGAACATTTCGCCTCCATTTGCACCAGTCACCACGTAACGCTGTCCTTCAGTTTTAACTGTAACTGTAGTATTTGGTTCATGATAAGAACAGTCTAAGTTTAAAATATTACAACGGCATTTACGACAGGATGAGGGAGGAGATGAGGGGTATTCACTGGCTAGACTCGCTATGATATAAGAATGCAGACACTACGTTGAATATCATAAACGGTAGAGTGAACCATTTAATCAATAAATTTATACCCAGGACCAAACCCAGCGGCTCCAGGAATACATGGAGACCGTTACCCATGAACCATGCGGTGGTTGATGAAGTAAAAAAAAAAAATATATGAAATTTGAGACATGGGTTGAGACAAAGAACGAGCAGAACAGGAGGATGTATGCAAGATCCAGGAACCAAGCAGAGTCAGAGTGTAGATGGGCTGAAAAAAGTTAAATGGTGGATTGCAAGCAAAATCCTGTCAATCCCAAAGGCCTTTCTACCATTATGCAAAATCGAAATTAAAAGAGCGTGTGGGCAAATCGAATCCGAGGCATGAAGATGGTAGTTATGCAGATTTAGACCAGGACAAGGCAATGAATAAATTCTTTTCCTTGGTGTTCACAAGAGAGGATGCGAACAACCTTCCTGTTTTTGAGGAAAGGTGGTTCGACACAGTGCTGACCCACATTATGTTCTCAGAAGAGGGTGTGAGAAATAAATTGTCAAAGCTAAAGGTTCATAAGAGTCTCGGCCCTGACAGAGTGCATCCCAGAGTGCTGAGAGACTTGCGCAATGAGTCTTCTGAGCCCCTTAAGATCCTGTTCTGTAAATGCCAGGATGAGCATAATTTCCCCAGTGTTTGGAAAACGGCTAATGTGAATCCTCTATACAAGCAGGGCAATCATCACTCCTCAAATAGTTATAGACCACTGAGCCTGACCAGCATAGTGTGTAAAGTACTAGAGAGCATTTTATGAGATGCGATGATGGAACATCAACTACTAAACAGCCTTCTAAAGGACTGCCAACATGGTTTTATGCCGGGATGCTCCTACTTGACACAGGGAGGGAGTAAGTCTTGGGGCACACGTTGTGGGGCGCTGACTGAGGAGCTCTGCTACACCTTTACCCCATGCTAGTTAGACCCAAACTTGATTATTGGTGTGAAGTGTTCTCAGCCACTGAGATTAGACTCAAGACACTGAATTCTATTCATCATGCTGGTGTGCACCAGGCGACCGGTGCCTCCAGGTCTTTGCCAACCCCAATTCTACTAATTGATGCTGATGAGCCACCTCTTGATCTTCGATGTCAGTATCTCCAGGTCCACCACCTTCCACAGTCTGTAACCAACACTTATTTAATTGAAGTGACTATATCCCCACACTACACTCAGCATCCAAGCCTCCCATGATCTTTTGGCTTCAGGGTAAGGGAGGCTGTGAGTATTCTTTGCCTTCCCCGTGTTTGGATATGCTCCATGCAGTTCCCAAGTGCCACTCCGTCGATTCTCCCTGAAGTTGAAGTTTGTCAGTATTTTAACTAGAGGTTAGTGTGAGAGGGGACCTCCTCTCCTTTGTGGAGGAAGCCAGTTTTCTATACAAGCTTTGAGTTTTATCTATTAATGTTTAAAATATTTTTTACAGAGGTTCTGTTATTTGTTACTTTTCTTTTTTATCTTGCATTATTTAATTTTAGTCTTTCAAGCCTTTATATTAATTTGGTGACATGTGACCTAAGCTGTTGCATTGCCAGGGATGTAATTAATTACATCCCTGGCAATGCAACAGCTGTGGAACAACCGTGCCCATAGTTTAAGCAACTGTCGGTGGTTTTAAGTGAAATAATTATGAAGAAACTACACAGATGCTGCAAAATAAAGAATACTATCTGGACTTCACTACAAATAGTGAACTTCACAGGCAAACTTAATACAGAAAGTATTTATGTACCATATGGGAAAAAAAATTATCATGAAGACAATTAAAAATATAAATGTAGAAACTGGCTAAACTTTGCACACTAAGAAATTAGACACAAAATAATAAATCAAAATGCAACCAGGAATGTGAAAAACCATACATTTTTACTGGTATGCTAAATCACATGCACTCTACCCAACTAGATCCAGCCAGACCCATGTGACCTCACCCACGCTCTAGTGCTTATTTTTGTTAATCAGTATTGTATATCGAGAATTCTTATTGCTTGCCGTGCAATAATGTCAAAAAGGCCAACTGATATGCCAGTGATTTTCGAAAGAGATCATAATTCTATTCCATATGGTTTTCTGCTGTTGAGTTTCCTTTTCATTCACTTTTTTTTTTATCACAGCCAGCCAGCCTTACACATAGACAGGGCATTACTCTTAGTTATTTTTTTTTATTCTAATATTCTAGCCATATTTAAACTTTCATTCTCTTGAAAAAAAAATTAACTCTTTTGTCTTGCTATTTTTTTTACAAACTAATTATGAAAGAAAAAAGAAACTGTACCGTGTAGTATTAAATGAGGATAAATAAGAATGTGTGAAAGTGAAAATTTGGCAAAGGATCGGTCAAAACCACATTTCTTTCGAACTACTGAAGGAATGGTGTTTAGACTAGCAGCATTGATAGGGTTAAAATTGAGTGAAGTTATAATTTAACAGTGAACACTAACTGGAGGGTGACTAGTGGAGAGGTATTGGAGTGATGATGCTTGAAGCTGAATCAAGAATGGAGTTCTTAGTAAACATAGAGACAAGTTCATTTCCTGAGGCTGTTTTGGCAGTGGTGAGTCGGGTTTAGTTAGAGGTGGAAAAATAGTATTAGCTTAATGGTATTAGATTTAGACTTTGGTGATATTCATGTGTGTGTATTTGTTTTAGGATCTGCGCAACAGGGTGCTTCCCTGTCTGCAAGAAAATCACAAAATATTCGAGCTGTCAGATGCCTTGGAAGAACTGCAGCTACAGATGTCCTGACTGTCATACAAGCTAAATACCGTAAGTTAATATTTATGGCTGGTTCAGTATGGATTTAAATGTAGGAGGTTTTTCTCAATTCAGTAAATGGGGCTTTTGTTTAGTTGTCATGGTAGTGTGACAGTGCATTTTAAGTCGGTCTACATTTCACCCGTGTGACTGGACAGCTTTTGAGACTGTTCTGCAGTGATTCTCAAGGTAAATGAATTGAATATTAATGTATTGTATTAACTAAGTAGCAGATGGTTGGTATGTACTATACAAGGTAAGATCCACTTAAGATTAATATGTTACAGTGAGTTAGTCACAAGTGGGAGTACAGTAAAAAAGGCGGTGGAAAAATAAGTGGAAAAATCTTACACTGCACACCCGACTGACCATGGCTGACACCTGTGACACATACCTATACTGTAATAGTACTTTTAAATATTACAAAAATTGTGATACACAAGTACAGGGTATATCATAATATTTTGATATTTCAAAATTTTACCAAATATCATGAAATTTTTAATAAATATTTCGTAACAGCAAAACATTACGAATTATACGTGATTTCAAATTTGAGGGATACAAATTATGGAGGTTTTACTGTACAGGCATCCCTCGGGTTATGGAAGGGTTCCGTTCCTGAAAATCTATCCGCATCATGAAATTCTGTATCAAAAAAACATTTTTCCCATTGACTCCCATTATATAAGATGAGATGTGTTCCGACGGAAATTTATTGTGGCCCAAAAACATAACACAAGCACATAAAGAATGAAAATATATACATATAATGATTCATTCATTATGTAACATGACAATAAATGCACATACAGGAATTTAACTCAGCAGAAATGATGTTGAGTGCTGGATGAGGTGAGGTGGTGCGATCAGAGTTACTGGGAGTTACTTCCTTAAAACACCAAGTTTAATGTCCAACATAATTCCTTTATGGAATCTTGTAACACCACTGCTTTCTCTTAAGCTTGATTGTCTTTTTCCATTCACCTTGAATTAAGGTAAAGAGACACATGACTGAACACAAAGTGGGGAAAGAATTCAAACTGACCAGCACCATTGTGGTGGTGGCTGCTGTTAGCTGGGAAGGTGAACTGTTCTCCAACTGTCTTGTAGGCACCAGCAGAATCCACACAAAATAAATTCTATAATTTCGGTGAATTTCTTTGTACTGTAATACTTTTTTTTTTTTTACTTACATTTTTATCCTCTACACCACTGATCAGCTCGTTGTCACGTCTGTTATGCACTGTTGGCAAGTACTTTTATCTTCTTTGTCACTGATCAGCTCATTAGCCGCTTGGGCTACTCGTTAGCTGCATGCACTGGCTCCTGAATGTATCTGAACCTGCTCAAGTGCTTGTCCAGTCTGGTCATGAAAGAACTCACACTCGGTGCCGTCACTGCACTCTGGCAGATTGTTCCAAGAGTTCACAACTGTCACTCCGAAAAGTTTGCCCTCACAATTTTTTGGGCTTGCAGCTTCTTCAGCCTTGAGCTGTGACCCCTTGTGATAACAGCATCCACCACCTCCAGGTAAGGACACTAGACTGAGTAGTGCCCTTTGAGATGCTTATACACCTCAATTGGGTCCCTCCTTGCCCGTCTGTAGTATAAGCTAGGAAAGTTCAGGTGCTCCAATCTCTCAGGGTAGCTGAGGTGCCGTAGTGCAGGCACCAGTCTGATGGCCCTCCTTTGAACATTTTCAATCAACTGGCAGTCCCTAGTATATCTCAGGGACCAGACAGGTTGACATTACTCCAGATGAGGAAGCACTTCACTCTTGAGGATCGTTACGTCTATATATCTGAACGACCTACTACTTAGTCGAGTGTCCTTACTTGGAGCTGGCGGACGCTCGCCCCACAAGGGGTCACAGCTCAAGATTGAAGAAGCCGCAAGTCCAGAAAACTGTGAGGGCAAACTTTTTCGGAGTGATAGTTGCGAACTCTTGGAACAATTTACCAGAAAGAGTTGTGATGGCACCGAGTGTGAGCTCTTACAAGACCAGACTAAACCAACACTGGAGCAGGTTCAGGTACATTCAGGAGCCAGTGCATGCCCAGTACTTGCCAACAGTGCGTAACAGAGACGTGACCGACCGCCCAAGCGGCTAACGAGCCGATCTTTTGGTGAAGAGGATAAAAGATTAGGAAAAGTAATCAGAGATGTGACCAATCGCCCAAGCAGCTAACGAGCCGATCAGTGGTGAAGAAGATAAAAGTTAGTAAAAGTAAAGATGCTGGGACAAGACTGGGGTCATTGTTGTAGACCGTGTAACACTGTGAAATTTGACGGCTAGGGCCCCACCACCACACGCAACCATTGATTTCTCTGTAAAATCAGCCAAACTACAGCCTCACACCACCCTTGACAACGTCCACCCAGTCCTTCTCAGTTTGATGGATGTGAAAGAGGGGAAGAGAGAGATGATGATGATGTATGTACAATATATTGGATATGGCACCATGTGAGAGGGAAGAGTCAGTCAACCTGCGACCAGCACCCAGTAAACATGATTTAACATGCGCCCTTTATTATCTGGTGTCTTATTGCCATAACATACTTTTGCCTGTAAACTGTTTCATCAATAAATGACTAACATCATAAGTGTTTTATGGAGACCCGAACATAATATCAAGTTTTTATTTAGACATATTGAAAAGGTAGGTAATACAGTAGTAATAAGGGACTTACAGGCTCTTGTTTGTTTCATATGGTGGCAGATAGAAAAAACACTTTCTTTAAACAACAGCATAAAAATGCTCAATGTTTTGATTAATGCTAACCACAATGAACATTATTTGTAATTAGTAGAGCAATGGAAAAAATGAATCTCCTTAGTTAAGAAAATACCCAGGATTAGCTGTTAAGTATTGTACCCTGCAATTACCCCACTCACTGAACTTGGCAAAGTTATAGGAATAAGTCTTATTAAGTCATCAGTCAGATATTTGTTTATGCATCATTTCTTAAAATCCATTTCCAGTGACTTCATAAAATTTGGTACAGTATTGTACATTATATAAGTTATCATGATAAAGGCACTTGGAGTTATATATTATTATTATTCATAAATTATGTCTATCTTGCAGAAACTTATGTGGCAGATACAAGCACCATCCGTGCCAGCCGTGGAGACTACTTACAAGTCCCCATCAAGAAAGTGGACAAAAACTCTCTCGACAAGGTGTTTCTCCGCAGACTTCCAGATGATTGGTCCCATAATAATGACAGTTATGGCAATTACTCGTTACCACTGATCTTTAATAGAGTGTTGCCTGGCGATGCTGGCATATACATTGTAGGCAATTGCCAAGAATGTGCATCTAACCCAAAACAGTTTAAAGAAATGAAGGATCTCTATACTGATAGTGCATATTTTCATCTGATTGTTCGTGGTAAGTTTTTAAGTTTGCCTTTAGTGTTTATGAAATTCTTGGAAAGTTATAAAGTAATCTGCTTTGCCGGGAAGAAGAGTACGAAGTTGTGTATGAACATTTCTGATAAATACAGTACTTTACTGAAAAACAGTAATTATACCTGTGCACATAATTTTATGTGAACTTAATAATTTTACATTTACTGTACTCTTACTTCGATTTGGTTCATGACTAAAATAACTATTTACCATGAAACGTTTTCACAGGCTGGTCAATCTCAAATACGGGTGAAGCGAAACCAATGAGTAAAATAACTTGATATAATTAAGTTGATCAATTCACAATGCATTCTAGCAACAATGACACAATAATACCTGACACCTACCACAAGCTAGAATTCCCCTCATTCTTTGACTGTAGTTCTGGTGAATGTTAATTTTTGTGCAAGTTTTCTGATTATGGTAGGTTATTTTGGCCAAAAATTTTAGTACAAGTTATTGAAGTAGAACGAAAGACTATGAGGAAAATTCCTTGATAACTCGGAATGGTTAGAGACCCATATATGCCGAGTTATCAAGGGTTTACTTTAGCACCAAAAACTCAATGCCAAGCTTAAAAAGCATTACTCTTAACAGCTTCTTTAATATTTACAATAATTTTTATTACATAAAAGTTTTCCATTTAAGATAAAATTCTTTATTGTATACACAATTCAATAGTAAGAATTTTTGTAATGATATTTTGTGACAGATTGTGAGTCTGAATATTATGGGGCCAACTGTCAGTCTCGGTGTCCAGATTGTGAGAATGGTGGCATATGTCATGCAGTGACTGGATCCTGTGTGTGTCCTCCAGGCTTCCATGGCCCTACTTGCCAGAAAGGTAACTAATACCTTTACTTGTATGAGAATCTTCCAGGCCTTCATGGTCCTACCTCTGTAGGTCACTTGCTTTTGTATTGATTCCTTACAGTATTAACAAACAAATGAAGATTGGGACTCACAGACCTGGTGCTTTCTCTCAGAATTAATATCAGTATTGTTCTGTAATTATCATATTATAATACTTTATCTCCCAATGCAATATGATCTTGCATATTTTTGTGAGTAATGCTTGGTATTTATAGATTTTTTTTTTCATTGCATGGGATGTCAGAAGGTGCACCATGATGTATGTCTTTTCACAGCTTGTGGCCATGACTTGTTTGGGAGTCGATGTCAATTGCATTGTAACAAGATCACCCTTGGATTTAGTCCTGAAAGCGAGGAACACTGTCTGGGCTTGAGGATCTGTGTACCAGAACCTTATGGCTGTTCCTGTGCTCCAGGATATATGGGTCCCTTCTGTGATAAGAGTAATGTTCTTTTTATGATTTTGTTATTCTTTATAGTAAAGTGTATTTCAGACGAAGTACAGTATACTCTCGATTTAACGGAATCCTATGTAATGAACTCTCAATTTAGCGGAAAGAATTTTTTCCGTTATTTTACACTCGATTTAGTGAACGAGTTCTCTAAATTGAGATTAATTCCGTTAAAACGCTCACACCTACGAAGACACCTCAGACATATCATATGTAAATCATATGTACATAGAAACATTAGAAACATTATTCATGGCTTACCTTAGACTAGGGGGTTTGGCATTTATTTAAAAATTTTATTATAATTTCCAAACATTTTTCCAATTTATAGCTTCACTCTTTTGACTTTCTACCCCCACACCATTTCATTTTTGAGACTTCTGAGGGACTTTCAGTATGATGTCAAAACACAGTAGTTAGTTGACCGAGATTTAGACTTTGAGGTAGTAGTAAACAACACACACAGTGGCAGCAGGACGCAGACTCAGTGGATGCAAACAAACCCTATGCACGAAGCGGTGCATTTGGCACAGAATTTAATGGAATCACGCTCGATTTAGTGGAAATTTCAATTTTATGGAAAGGGGTGGCCCGAATTAGTTTGTTAAATCGAGAAAATGCTGTAATTTAAATAATTATTTTCTGCATAGAATAATCTTTTGCATCTGCACATACTAGCACACTGTGTACCTTTTTACTTTTACTTATTTTGTTCTTATTCATTATCAGAATGTACAGAGGGAAGGTATGGTGCTGATTGCTCCCAGGGTTGCGAGTACTGCAGTGACAACCTCTGTGACAAAACCAGTGGTAAATGCTCAAGTGGTTGCTTAATGGATATTCCTTGTGCAGGTATGAAATGAGTTGTCAAAATCTTCAGTATTCTCTGTCATTCCTCTTTCTTCCTTAAACATTATCAATGATTCCCACTCCAGTAGGGTCATGTGGTGAGCAGGGTGATAAGTGCAATTAGTAGGTAGTAGGCAGCTACCAAACAAGGAGGCACTACCGCCTGGGAAGATATTGGAAGCATAATGTATTGTCTAATAGTAGACCCTGCTGCTATATGTGACCAAGTCCCAGGCTGCTGATCTGACTTTCTGCCTCATTTACACACAATTGCAGGGTCTCAATTGTTTCTCTTACTATTGACAACACAACATACATATATCGTTTCTCACTTTTGTTCTTTTTTCATTACAAAGACATCCTGCCCTGAGGAAGAATATAGGCTTAAGTGTTGGAGCTGATGTAACTAGGAATTAGACCCTGCAAGATGTTGGAGCCCCAATATCATAGAGTTTATCAGAAACTTTCCTTAAGAAGGCGTCATGATTGGTTCTTTAAGGTCTCGGATTTTAGTGTGTTTGTGGATGGAGTTGGTTGTCATATTTTTATTGGGAACAGATTGGATAGATACAGCTCACAATACATATAACTGTCCTGGTGGCACCTCTTAACCCAGCATTTACTATGGAGGGGAGAATGACATGCAGTCCTGTCCTTCAATTGTAGTTGACCAAAAAAACTCTGATTGGGGAAAAGCTGTTCAAGGATTTCAACACTGTACAGTACATACAGAATAGTATACCTCTCATGCCTCTTTTATAAGTTGTAGAGGTTGAGAACATGGAGGAAGAATCAGTAATCCAAAATATTGGTATGGTTAGTCCATAAATACACTCTGTAAAAGCTCTTATGATTCAGGAGTCTTGCGGAAACTGTGCTTGTTGGGAACTATAGAGAACGGTAGAACTTAAGGTGAGGGCCCACCAGCTGTTTGTTTCGAAAAAAAAGTCCATATTTCTCTTTTATTGAGGAGTTAACCTGTTATCTTACTGACTTGGCCTGTAATTTCTGCAGTGTGTGGTGTGAATTTTGTGTCATAAGTTATGGTGATTCCTAGATCAAGGCAGGAGTTCCACTAAAGAATTTAGCTATCATTAACCGCTTTGTATGATGCCTGGTCAGGATCATGCTTATACTGCACCATCTCGGACTTGCACCTAACACCACGTTCTTCTCGGAGGCTCATAAGTACAGAAAATCCATCTGTATGATTACCACATCCTCTTTTCTTGAAATCACACGAATATCATCAGTGAATAAAACAAGAGATGAATTGTTTGCTAGTTTACTGATACAGTATCCTTAAATGGGGTAAGGAAAAACCAAGGCCTGAGGTACACATAAGAGAATCCAATGTTTCACCACCATCAACCATGCTGTTTTAACATATGAAAATAAGATGTGATGATCTTATTTACAAATACTTTATTTTGATTATCTCTAATGAATTTAGCTTGAAGTTATGAAGTACAGAATGATAGATATTTGAGGTGATATGGTACAGTAATGGCAATTAGTTCCTTGGTGTCTCCTTTCATCCCTAGGGTGATACTGTAGTCTCAACCACGTGGTATTTTTTTTTTTTATTTCTTAGACTTTTTGCTTCACTTTAAATTTTCAAAATAGATCACATATGTATAATTGTGTTTTTAAGTAAAACGTCTTGTTTAAAATGTGTGCATTACCATTACGTGTTTAATCATAGGTCTTGAGAGCAAGTTTTTATATTTCTACAGATGGAATGCCACTGGACCTTCCTCGCCTACGAACTCCTCCTAATGTTTCTGATATTAAAAAAAATTCACTTGTTGTGAAATTTTCTCCTTGGAGCAATGAAGAAGATGATGGGTCTGATGAATTCAACATTTCTAGTTATAAGCTTCAGCATCTTAGAGAAGATAACAACACCTGGGTGGATGTGAAGGACTACTTCCCTGACATTGTGTCAGGTCAAGTTACAGGTACTGTTAATGCATGTTTCTTTGTGTTTGAGTGTATAATAATACTGTAATAATAAACAGTTTATTTAGAGAAATTACAATTCAGAACAGTGAACAGAAATTATCGTATTTTACGACATAAAAGATGCACGGCCATATAAGCTGCACCCCAATTTCAGCAGGGAGTGTTTAGAAAGCAGTTTGTCTGTATTTTCCTCCTGCAGCCATAGTTGTCTTAAAAAAATTTGTACAGTATCAGTAAATGTGAGGAATACATAAAAATAATACAGTACCAATAAATAAGTTACTACAAAAATACTGTATTGTAAGGAGAGAGAGGTCTGGCAGCCCCAGCCACCAGATGCCACGCGCATACAGCACACGTTTATTCGTACAGAATTTAACAGCCCAATGGCATATACAGTATAAGGCGTTTTCGATGCACGTATTAGCTAACGCGTTAGCTATTCTGTATGTGCAGATGCTGCTTTTGACTTGTGCGCATGGCACATTCAGAGGGAAAAGCTAACACCTCGATCGGGCATTAGCCTTAAGCGACCCAAATTGCTAACAACCAGTCAGCGGTTTCTCCCACTGAAAATACGCGGATCATGGCCACTTATAGAGAATATTTTGATTAATATTGAAGAGTTGGGGGCATGTATGGAAATAAAAAACTGTGATATAATAGTAAAAGTAATTCTATATACGGTAGTATATAGGATAGGACCTGAAACAAAGCGTATGGTGTGAAAGAATTGAAAAGGATTGCGCCTAGTTAAAACCAGTTTTGGCTCTGCCCATTTTTAAGTGAGCGCTGTCCGATTTCATTAGCCGCTTTATATTGTACTGGAAAAGGGGAGGGCCGAGTATACAGTCAACCTTCGCTTTACGCGGTCCCACTTTATGCGTTTCCACGTTTACGCGGTACCCTGCCGAAACCGGAATGCTCACTTTCCGCGGTGTGTGTACCCTTTTACGTGGAGAGCGGCGCGAGCAGGGTGCACACAAGGTCGCCCAGTCATCAAAACATTACCGAGTTCTTCACCCGCCACCCACCACAGCCAGCCCAAGTCAGTGATAGTGATAATGATAGTGAGGATATGGACTTAAATGGACTTTGAGGGGTTTGACAAAGAGGCCCTGCAAGCCTCTGTGGTGGATAGTGATACAATTGATACAAGTGATACAGGTGAGGGCCAATAATCTGCCCTCTGCCTCGGAACCAACCCCCCATCCCCGTGTGCCCAGCCATCTTTTCTACTAATGTAAGTGTTAAAAAACCTAAAATTAATGATATTTCTCTTAATTATTAATTGTGTGTGCATACCATCATAAAATTAAGAAGTTATTTTTACTACAACGTAGGTATTGTGTCTGAAAAAGTGGAGTTTGGGGATCGGCCCGGTCTCTATTTCAATTAATCCCATATGTTATGTTGTTCACTTTACGCGTTTCTCACTTTACGCGGGCCGCCGTGGGTTGAATTAACCGCGTAAAGTGAGGTTTCACTGTACTGTACTCTAAAATTGCTGATATGTGAGGCTCTCAGAACATAACTCTCACATACTTTACTGTACTTTGATATATATATATTTATTATAGTAAGTACAGTGTTAATGTGCTCTCAACAGAGAAAATAGAAGGCCTTGACCCTGGGTTCCAGTATGTGTTCCGGGTGTTGGTGATGACACCCCAGGGTGCTGTGGATGGCTCAACCAACAAGAGAGTTCACAATGTGTCTGTCACGACTAAATGTTATGGTAAGAATTTTAATAATGAATTATATATTATCTGTGTTATAGTAACATATTAATTGTATTTGGAACATTGTTAATTTTATTATTTTTTTATTAACAGGTCTTTCTAGAATTTCAGAGTAAATTATTGCATTTTTTTTTATAGAGCCAACACTGTATCTGCTTAATGTGTCAGAGGTCACCAATCAGTCTGCTGTTATAAACTGGGTAAGAACTCCACCATTTCTAGTTTTGGTCTGGCAAGTTATATGAATTTTAATTTGGTGTTGCCTAGAATGAGCATCTGTCTTGCTTAGTGCACTCCAGCACTGTACTGTCCTGGATGCAAATATACAGTACAGTGCTGTACAGGGTAATGTACTGTATCTCAAGTCATGAGAATATTTCCTGAAATCCAGAACTCTCCAATAGCCAGAATTTAAATTTTCTTGGAAAATCATTCCCAAACCTGGAATTTTCTGAAAAATTACGGCTTTGGGAACGATTTTCTGAGGGGGACATTTTCTGGGAATATTTTCCTGGTACCCAGAAAATTCTGGCGATGGATTTTTTTTTCTGGTTTTGAGAGATGAAAATCGGGTGCATTTTCCGGAAATTCCGAGAAAATTTTCCGGTACCCGGAAAATTCTGGGGATGGGGGATATTTTTCCATGTTTGAAAATGATGTAATGTGCAATTTCTGGACCTTCTGAGAATATTTTTCCATTATCCAGAAAATTCCGGGGATGGGGAATTTTTTCCAGCTTTGAGAAAGTCATCTCGTTACCTGGAAGTCTCTCATTCCCGGAAGTGCTCTGCACCATTTGTTCTGGCTAACGCAGATATCACTGTATTTTTCTCAATAAATTACTTTGATTCAGAGAGACAGTGAAGAAAATAAATTCTGTATTCGTACGTTGCTTTCACATGAATCATGTGATATCAAGTTGTGTTTAGTGTATTCAACAGCAGTAATGATATGCTAATGGCTATTTCAGGAAACTCCTGGGAATCATGCTCGATGTGGAATGCAGTACGACATTCAGCTAATGACTGGTAGCCGAGAAGAATTTATTCACCAACATACAACATCAAACTCGTCATACCACCTAAGGACTTTAAAGTCCAATACGAGTTATGTTGTTAACATCACTGCCAGGAATAATAAATCTGAAGTGTCCTTGTCTGTACAGTTCATCACTCTTCCTAATGGTAATATGTATTTGGCTTCTCATGTTGGTTTGAAATAGGAGGTGGGAAGACAGAGAGGTGTGGGATTCTTCCCAGCAGTAGTGTTGACAATACATCTCTTGTTTATATTTTATAATACACCAGGAAATTTCATTCTTCTCAAGATAGAAATTAACAGTGTATTTGATGAAAGATTTTTATCTTTATTTCATAATTAAATACTTGTTGTTATAACTGGGGAAATAGATGGCTCACCTTGTTCAGCAGATGATGCAGAAGGTTAATTGCTGACCACCTAAGGGTGAAACGACTGAGCATACAGTATTGTAATCCAAACATCTTCTCTAATATAATTATGATGCAACACTTCTGTAATGAAATAAATTAACAAAATAAAGTATCACTTAGAGAAAACTTAAGGAAATTATTTAATTATATTGATACTTAAACATAACATATTGGTAGAAGAGTATATCAGTCACTGTATAGTTATACCATGTGATGTGACACCTTCTTGAAACAGAAATACTGTACTGTATAGCCATTGTGTCTCATCACAGAAACTTCAATGTTAATGAAAATAAATGCGTAATAACAAAAATATACAGTACATTGGCAACACATTATTATTATTATTATTACTGTATTGAGCTGTTGTGACTAAGTGCCATCAGTATTTGTTTGTAGGTAACACTGTACTGTACTTATACACAAAGCTTCTTGGTTTAAATGTAATTTTAAAGCTTTAAGCTCAGTGATATACACTTACACACATTTATGAATTACTTATTTGTTTGTGTTTGTACAGCACCATACAGGCCAATTGTCACAGTGATGCCCAGTGGGGTGGGGAACCTTGGTGTATCTTGGAAGTTGCCGCCAGAATCCAGTAGTGTAGACTCTTATAATGTAATGTACAAGGTGAGTTGTGAAAATGTCCGTTATTGTTTACCTGTATCCTGTTAATTAGGATTAAACATTTGATTTTTGTCCCCTGTCACCTGCGAGAGAATCTTAAGAATTCTTGCTTTTGTCTGTGCATCAGAGTTGTCAACATGATGACGCAAAGAAATATGAGTACTGTAGATATTAACTTAACTTGTAATATGGATGCTATGTTATGCTATTGTTGGATCATGCAAAGACCCCAAGCCATACCCTCTGTAAATTAAACCCACAGCTACAACAAAGACTGCAGTGGAATACATAACAGCAGCAATGAGTTGCTCTTGCATAGGTAAGTGTAGGTCTAGTCTGCAGAACAGCTGGTTAGGCTAGTCACCTGACTCATGGTTTTAATGAAGATGGAGCCCCCTCCCCATTGTGATGACTGCCTGGTTCCATTGACAGTTTGACACATTTTGGTGGAGTGCCCCAGTCTTAGAGACCTTCATCAAAAGCACCTCTCTGGGGAACGGTTCTTGCCATTTTTGTTCAAGCTCTGAATGTGCCATCAGCAAATGCTACCTAGGTATGTTAATTCCTAGCCAATTCGCCAGGCCAACATACAGGCAATTAAAACATCTAATAATTACTTAATAAGTAATATTAGGAGGACACGTCGCTACCTGGCATTTAATTGCAATTCTCAAAACCCCCTCCCACACCCCCCCACTATACACATCACGACCCTCATCTCTTGCCTGGCGCTTCAGTTATAATACACACAAAGGGAAGCTCCGCCTTTTTTCTCTCACTGTCACATTTGTATAAAGACAGGTACAGTATACACTACACATATAATCCTTCAAGTTGTGTGTATATAGTATTGTTTAAAAAAGTCAGGTGTGAGGAATAAATAATAAGAAGGATGGTCATATGTACGGTGTATCAATATGATCTTGTTAACTGTTAACAGGCAGAGTAATATAGTGTGGAACATCTAGATTGAGTTGAATTTCCTTATAATTCTGACTGGCTCTAATACAAATCCGAGTTTTTCATGACTTCATGTGAACATAATGTATATTCATAAGTCTCAGCCATACTATACCTTAATACTGTACTCCTTGGATTAACTTATCTCCCAAAATTTGTGTTAATGCTCCAGGAATAATGACAAAAGTAATTTGCTTAATTTTTTCAGTTGTTGCAGTACAAGGCATGCAACAGAACAGTGGATCCTCCACAGGATGTTATCCAAGAAAAGACATCTAACAATATTATTGAACTGCAGGATTTAAAGAGTTATGCCACATATGAAGTATGTGTGGTGGCTGAGAACGAGGGTGGAGAAAGCCCATCAGGGTGTTCATCAAATGATACATTGCCTAACTGTATGTATAAACACTGAATTTATGACTAAATGATAAAAGGTGTTATATGTAGGATTATAGTGACTACTTCTCTATGTGTAGGGTATTGTATACTCCATTTGATGCTCTAATTATAGTCTGTTCATTCTGGCTATGTCAAATAACCACCAAGTACATTTTCATATGTAGGTTGGTGATTTGTCTATCTTGAGAGTAACTACAATGTAGCTGAGTTCAGCCAGTTCACAGCACCTTACTACAGTGACTCATTCTGAATCTTTCATCTATAAAGATGTACAATAATAAGAGAAGAGAGCCCCAGAAGAGTATGTTGTTGAGCTGGCAAGAAACTAACTTTTGAGTTCACATAGTAGATGGTCAGAGATGTTAACTATTACTAACATTGTTCAAACACTTAAAAATTTACGCCTGCTCACTTACAAATATAAATATCAAGAAAAATACATGAACTATCAGGTATCACAACAAATTATTGTATGAGGAAGCACATCTACCTTGACAAATATGCACACACAACTATCATTAAAAATTTGATAATGATTTGTTCGATAACATTGGTGGCAGGCTCCGCCCATTTTGATCAAGCCTCGCCCGTCCCCTCCCCTACTTCCCACATGTACAGTTTTTTGTAGGCTGTAGGTGCATATGTAGACTCTTTTAATACTATCAGGCCCTTGTATACGGACCCATGTTTCAGGGCCACAACCACCCATTTATTCGCGTCTGAATCAGGCCCCCCTTGGGTCCGGACCTGATTAATGATATTGAAGATATCTGTATCATGTCGGATTATATAATTACTGTATTCCCCAGAGTCTACAGTGTACCAACCCAATTTATGTAATTATAATTTTGATACAGTATACTGGAAATATGTCATCTTCTTGATTACATCCAGAGTTGTAAAAATTACTGGACTTTGTTACTTCAGTAAAAATATTGTTACATTGGCAAATTGTGACTCAAGTAGAAGTAAAAGTATCCAAAGTTCAATGTACTTTAGTAGAAGTAAAAGAGTATCTCTTTCATAAAGTACTCCAATACTGAAAGTAAAAAGCAACAAGAAAAGTATTAATTATCTCAAATATTAAAATAAGTCCACAGTAAGTTATAAAAAAATAGTTAACTAAAGATATAAATAAAAGACACATATGCTGTGCCCCTTGAGATGCTTATACACCTCAACAAGGTCGTCCCTTGCCCGTCTGTAGTATAAGCTAGGCAAGTTCAGGCGCTCCAATCTCTCAGGGTAGCTGAGGTGCCGAAGGGCAGGCACCAGTCTGATGGCCCTCCTTTGAACATTTTTAACCAACTGACAGTCCCTAGCATATCTCGGGGACCAGACGGGGTGACAGTACTTGGGGAAGCACTTCACTTTTAAAGATCGTTACAAGGGACGGACCGTCTAGATATCTGAACGACCTTCTTATAAGACCCAATAATTTATTTGCCTGATTGTTGCCTTCTTAGTGACTGAGTCTAAGACTCAACATCAACTGTCCCTCTACTTGGGGTGTGGCTGTGGTGAAGTCGGTTTTGAATCTAATTGATGAGTGGATGAATTTCTTGTACCGCATAACATCTGGTGAGTGCTGGAGGGGGGGTGCTTAGTTTTTTAGAAGAATTTTAAACACACTCGATGTCACACATATGTATAGATACAGGCTTTTAATCTAAGATGGAATTATGTTAAGTATTTTAGAATCACAACCTTTTTGAAATTCCTTTTAGTTATGGGTACTGTAGCACTTGAAATTTTAAAATTAAATGACTGCCACTTATCTCAGAAGAATAAATAGTTATTTTTCATTTTACAGCTCCCAGTGTTGATGTGGAAAATTTTACTTGCACACCCAAGAATCTCAGTGGAGTTTCCTGCATAGCTAACTTAAGTAGTGGCTGTGAAGCATATAATGGAGCAAATACCACCATTGAAGTTCAACTGCTTGCTTTTCTGGAATGTGAGAATGAAAATATCATGTTTAATAAATCAATAGACATAATAGATAAGAAGATTTCGGTTGAATTCTCTGAGAAGTTGGTGGCTGCCATGATATACAAAGCATCACTATCCATTATTAACCATGTTGGGAAAGGCATGACAGAAAACACTACCTTTAAAACTGTAGAAGCATGTAAGTATCACACTGAAGATTTGCATTTGATAATATCAATTGTAAACAAAAGGTGGTATAATACATTTTTGTAAGGAGACTTTAATATTTTTTGTATTTATTTTCTTCAGCACCCCCAGCTGTAAGAAACTTGTCTGCAAATGCTTCTTCGAGTAAAGTTCGTCTATTGTGGAATGATCCCTGTCCAACAAATGGAAATATCACCCAACTTTGCTACAGGAATGTGAATTCTACAAGTGTAGATACTTGCACAAATGCTGTGAAATGCGAGATTGTTACAAACTATGAACGCTGTGTTGATATTGCTGAGTTAGACCCTCAAAAATACTACACATTCATGGTAAGTGTCCTCACCCATCCTTGTCATACATGATATTTAATTCTTGTGAAGAGCTAGTATTTTTCTCCCCATCTCACTACAAAGAGAGTGATAGGAAAATAGTACAGTTTTACCCCGCTTAACGCAGTTTCACTTAACGCGATTTCTCATATACGCGGTGCCTCGCCAGAACCGAACTTTCACTTAACGCGGTTCATCTACTCATATATGCAGTGAAGTATAATATTTTTTTTTTATTTAGCTCATAAAATTCATACAAATTACCCGGCCAGAATATAATTTACATTGCTGGAATTCTTACAATATGATGATCATTTTGAATATAAACATCATAGATTTTGCATTAGACATACAAATTTTAGATATAATGTTTACTCTGAGTAAATATGTTATCTTTTGTGCAAAATATATGACATTTATATTCAAAATATTCCTGGTCTTACAAGGAATCCAGCAATGTCAATTATATTATCCTAACTTTACATCTCCAGCACTCAAAGTCATCAATCTTATGATCATCATGTGTGTTCGCTGGAATTAGTGTAATAGACTGTTGAGCTTCTAAACTTTGTTAGTACTGTATACAAAGTCGAAAATGGCACCACAAGACATTAAATTGTCATAATCCTCCTTGGTTCTGTACATCTTTCATCCACCCATTATTCACACATTACTCTGTATAGCACAACTTCAGTTTTTTATTTGTTTTATATAATGGACACACAAGCATCTGAGTTGTCCTTTTGAGTGTACAGGGTATTGTTATCAGTGAGGAGGAGTCTTGGTGATGGCTAGAAGGACTGCTGCTGCTCACCTACTAGAGCTGTTGTCAAATTTGAGGATGATGAGTGGTGTTTACCTTCTAACACTGGTGTTTAATATCCAAGGCTTTGTTTTGCTTGGACAGTACTTGTTAGCTCTCGGTGGCACACTGCCTGCAAGCATGGGAGGCCGTGTGGTTGGATCTTCAGGTGACGATCCAACTGGAACACTAAAAAATTGTTTGTGTCTGTCCGTGGTTGTTCAAGGGCAAGAGATGAAGTTAATGAGAATGGATGCCCCAAAACTTTTCTCATCAGAAGGCTAATTAAAGGGATTTGAAAAGGTTGGGAATGAACTATAGAGTCTAGAGATAGCTCATACCTCACTCTGGTGAAGAACCAGCCCATCACCTGTGGAGAATTTACATGTTTAGTAACAATCTGCTTTCAACTTCCTTACATGAGGTTATGAGATAAGAACTTTATAACCATCCCAGGTATTTGAAAGTGGTTCGTTTGAGCCCCAATACAACGACAAGGTAATGCAAATTCGGACACTAGATAGAGTTTTACCTTGTGGGAGATAACAAAAACAAAATAAATTCTTATAGTATTATTATTATAATACTGTATAAGTAATTTATAATTATTTTTATCCATTCTTTTGATAGCTATATTATCTGATACAGTATGTTGATATAGTTACTATATTATCTTTGCAAAACTTCATTTAAAGAGCAAGCAGATAATAAAATGCTGTAGATCGACTAAAATTTGCTTATACAGAGGATACTGCCATATTATCCAATCACAAAACCATCCATACATAATAATGCTGCTGGACGGGGACGAGTGTAACGTTATGAACCGTCTATAGTTACTGTTAGTTTCAAGATAATTTTATATTACATTTGTAAATTAATTAATTACTTCATCTTGAGTCAAACAGTTAATGCATTCGTACCTGGTCGGTAATGAGAAATGTTCATTGTACAGGTATAAACAATTACCATTGTGACTGAGTGCTCTTTATCTTGCCTCTCTTCCTAGGTGGCTGCTGTGAACAGTGCTGGGAAAGGCATCTTTAGTGAGCTTCAAGTTTTAACTCTTGTGACAAGTAAGTCAATAATTATTTTTCCTTCCACTTGCAATATACTATTTCTTTATACAGTATGACATAATGTATTTTTCAAATTACTGTAGTCTGATGTCTCGGTGATACAGGGAACCTTTATAGAACCTTTTGTGAATTTGGTACACTTTTACAGTTACTTCTGTCTGTTGTGACTCCTCTCATTTGTTGAATCACTACAATTTTAACCTAACCCTTATAATAAATTAATTTCCCAACTCCTTATGTCCATAAATCAACATATAGGAAACATAATGTATAGTGAATCTAGGTGGTGAAGCAAAAACCTTTTATTTGCACTAGTTTTATGAATAATTTTACTTCTCCAAACAATTAATATGAAAATAAATAATGACAAGATACCTGTAAAAGTGTATTAATGATTTCATTTGGTTTTCATTACTTGGGAAGTTCTAACACACTTTCACTCCTTTTATGATAGATGTAGGCAGACACAGATGAAAGATAGTTAAGTAAAATTATCATACAGTACAAGTTTACTTTGATTCATCATGTATATACAGTAGATACTGTAGGTGTATCATTTACAGTACATAGACAATGCAGGTATACAAGCAATGTACATACACTGGGGGTATGCTGTACAAACAAAAGGAAATGGTAAGTCAGTTTGACCAAGGATGCCAACAAAGCCATCATCATCATCATCATCCTCCTCCTTTTATGGCCATTTTCCACACTTTTGTGGGTTAGCTGTGGTTACCTGATGGCAGTTCTCCATGCTTCAGTGTCTGTTGCAGTCTCATGTCAGGTCCCAACTGATGTCATTTCTTACAACCTCTCTTCATGTCATTCTTGGCCTACCCCAGGCTCTCTTCCCTCCCACATTTAAGCCCCTCTGCTTTACGTCCTATCTGGCTTTGTTCGTTCTCTATACATACTCAAACCATCACAAAATGCCCAGTGTAAGACTTCACCAATACTGTACTCTCAATACCCTATCAGCCTCTTATTCTGAATGGGACCTCCTGTCTTTCATTGTTACACTACACATCCACCTCATCATTCTCATTTCTGCTCGCTCAAGTCTACTATGTCATCCTCTTTAACTGCCCTTGTTTCATTGCCATACATTATCACACTTCTCACACCAATCACATACATTTTTCCTTTCACTTGCATGAAAGGTCCTCTTGCCATCAATAAAGGCACCAGCTGTTCAATCTTCCTCCGGCCACTATTCACACTCTTCTTTGGGACCTTGACTAATTTAATTTCACCAACTATCATCTTACTTAAAACATTTAACTTTACTTAAACAAGAATTTTCTTTTACAGTTCCAGGACAACCAGAAAAACTTAATGCTACTCGACTTTCCACAAGCTTAGAACTTGTCCTCTCGCAGCCGGTGAACCCTGGAGGCACTAGGCTTAATTGCACATTGCTGTTGAAGAAGAGGACCCAGATAATAAAACAATGTACAGCAACTGTGGAATCTGAAACTCGTAACCCATTTATTTGTAAGGTAAAATATTCTCCTCAACATTTTTTCTTTCATAGATGATGAAATATAATTAATGTACACTTGCTTCACAAAAGAAATTGGTAAAATCACTTACTACAATCAGGCATGCAACCAGATGTGTGTGTGCATGTGCACGAGTGTGCAGTAAAACCTCGATAAATCAGCATGTATGGGGTGCTGGCCTTGCCAAATTATCACAAATTCCAACTTACCAATACACTCCCCTCCCTTTACAAAAATACTGTACAACAATAAAAAAAATATCGCCCCATATACGTACAGTATAATGTACATATAATTACTAATTTTCAAAAAGTACCACTTACCAGCATTGCAGATGAAGAATGAAGCATTGTAGTAGGCAAGAGGCATGGTAGGTGACAGTGGCATGGTAGGTAACTCAGGTGATGCAGGGGAATGATAGGTGACACAGATGATGAAGGAGAAATGCTACATAAACAGTAAATAGTGCAGCACTAATGTATACGACTGTAATTTGGTCACTTATGCAAAATAAAGAATAAATTATAATAAGAGTAATTGTTTTCTCTTCATATAATTCATGTTAGAGTATATAAATAAACATCCTTACTTGGAGCTGGCGGACGCTCGCCCCACAAGGGGTCACAGCTCAAGGTTGAAGAAGCCGCAGGTCCAGAAAACTGTAAGGGTAAACTTTTTCGGAATGAGTTGTGAACTCTTGGAACAATCTACCAGAAAGTTTTGTGACGGCACCGAGTGTGAGCTCTTTCAATACCAGACTTGACCAACACTGGAGCAGGTTCAAGTACATTCAGGAGCCGGTGCATGCCCAGTACAGTACTCCCTCTTTATCGACGGATTTTTTATAGACGGTTTCGATTATCGACGGATTATTTAGCCGGATTTTTATTTTGAAATGTGCTTGATATAATCCATTCACGGAAATGTAATATTTTTGCTAAAATGACGTATGTATTACAGTGGAAAGTGGGATCAAATCGTGACGAAAACAATGACTTGCGCTTTCTTTCGTTCAAAAGATGTTACCGTAATCACTTTTCGAATGGTTTAGTTAAAAAACTGTTGTATTGTATTACAATAATATCCTAATTGACTTGAATAAATATTACGATACCATATTTCTGAATATTTTCATTAAAATCCATCAAAATCATTTTCTTTGTCATCGTCTGCAGCACCAAACAGCTTCTCCCAGTCCTCTCCTTGAACAGGGCTAGAGGCTACGTGTTTTTCGAATCGTTTTCAGTTAAAAAATTATTACATCACACGTATATTTTACCTAAACTGCGCCTGAATGAATATATTCTCGGAAATAATTAGTAGTTTTGCTGAAACGTGACGTATTTCAATGTAAAATAGGATAAAATACATGACGAAAACAAAAGACTTTACCTAACCTTCCAATGTTCTTGAGATGTTACTCGTTTTTTTAATAGTTTTCGGTTAAAATTCTGTTATATTACAATGATATTCTATTCATACTGTGCTTGATATAATACATTCACGGAAATGTAATATTTTTGTTGAAATGACGTATGTATTACAGTGGAAAGTGGGATCAAATCGTGACGAAAACAATGACTTGCGCTTTCTTTCGTTCAAAAGATGTTACCGTAATCACTTTTCAAATGGTTTAGTTAAAAAACTGTTGTATTACAATAATATTCCCTCCTAATTGACTTGAATAAATACTTGAATGGAAATATACAATATTTTTGTTGAAAGTACCCGCGTTTCAGTGTAAAGTGTTGTAATAATAAATGGTAAACAATTTGCCTTGGGCATCCGGATTTTTGGACTTTTACTGTACTGTACACTGTTTTGTTTACTGTAAGGACCGATGTTCACTTCAATAAATGAAATCGTAAGTTTGCTAGTATTTTTGTCCACTTATTATATTATTATTTATACACTATTATTTAAGGTTATGTGTAAAGGAAACGCATTAATGCTTAAAGGTACATTTATTCAACATATGCTAATAATAGTTAGAAAAATTACGTAACCATCACGGTATCGACGGTTTCTTTATCGACGGCCGTTTACAGAACGTAACCCCCGTCGATAAAGAGGGAGTACTGTACTGTAATATATTAAACACACTGTAATTATTTTCTTAAATTTATAAAATTGTTTTGCGACAAAGGAATGTTTTCCAGTAGTGTTTCATTAGGATTTGAGTGAAAAATATTACGTACTTACTACATACATTTATTACACAAACATATATATATATATATATATATATATATATATATATATATATATATATATATATATATATATATATATATATATATATATATATATATATATATATATATATATATATATATATATAATTTTTGCACAACTAATGTACAGTACCTCAACATTTTGTAATATCCCCTCAGCTTGATGAATTGAAGCAAGGCACACGGTTTACAGCAGAGAGTGTGTGCTGTAATTCTGCTGGATGTAGTGAACCCTTAAACAGTGTTGTAGCCACTCTACCACTTTCACCTAAGCTTGAAGGGAAACTGAAAGTTGAAGATATGGATGCCACCAGTGTTACTCTAAGTTTGCCCAAAGTTGTGATGGAAGGCGACGGTGTCAGGTCAGTTTCCATGGTGTTCTTTCATAAAAGATACTGTCTTTGACACTTTGCTTTGAATTTTTGTTCGTAAATACTACTTGATATTTAATTTTAAGAATTTGTCACATCCCATCAAACATTGTGTATTTTCTTCACAATAGTTATACAGTAGTGTTATAATTTAGGACTGTTTTTAAGAGGAATATTGGATGTGAGGAAAATATGAATGTATACTTTCGATTATTTAATACATATTAAAAACAGATTGTGTCAGACTTTGTTGTGAAAGTAAAAGAAGAGAGTGCAGTGTTACCAATTCAGGATATAAGGGTGAAGATTTTTTAAGGAAAGTGTGTAGAGGTGTGTAGTGTCTTCATGACACTTTTTTTGTTTTCATTTAATATTTACCTTCTTTACCTTATTGCACTTTATCCTCTTCACCACGTGTTATCCTGCTAACCAGTCAGGTGGTCAGTCAGTTTTGTTATGTACTGTTTGTAGGTACTGGGCATGTGTGGGTTCTTGAATATACCTGAACATGATCCAGTGGTGGTTATGTCTGGTCGTATATGAGCTTACATTTCCTGATCTCTTAACATTATCTAACAAGTTATAACAAAGAGTTCATATAGTAACTCATACTCCAAAGAAGTTAGCTCTGACAGTCTTCTTTGTTAACAACTTCTTTAACTTGAGTCTATGGCCACTAGTGTAGCAGCCATCTGCTAATTCCAGCTAAAGAGAAGTAAGAGAGTAGGTAAAGGAACAGACCCCTGTGGAACACCACTGTTGTGGTAGAGAAAGAGCGAGAGATTGATCCCTCGACAACAACTGGTATGGATCAATTCTCAAGGAAGCAAGAAATTAGAGAACAAAGTCGAGAGAAACCATAAGCAGAAGTTTAGAAAGCAAAGACTTGTGCCATACCCTGTCAGATGGTTTGGAGAAGTCGAGGGTCGAGACGAAAGTTTCCCCATATATAATCCCTTAGAGAGAATGACCAAAGATGAGTGCAGTAGGAGAGCTGATCACTTGTAGATCTTGCCTGGCAAAAGCCATACTGGTGATCTGACAAAAGAGACAGGCATTCAAGGTGATGTAGAAAATGAGAGTTTCAGAAAATTCGAAAATCTTAGAGGAGGATGAATTAAGGGTAATGGGGCGATAGTTAGAGGGATTAGAATGGTCACCCTTCTTCGGGATGGGCTGAACCAAGGCATGCTTCCAAGAAGAAGGAAAAGTTTGGGTTTTTAGGCAAAGGTGAAAGAGGCGAGCAAGCACAGGGACCAGAATTTGTAGACATATTGTAATAACATTGCAACTGTTAGAGAATAATGAAACAGGTGTAGTAAAATGAATATGCATACTGATAGTAAAAATACTGCATAATTTTGGCATATTTTCAATATTACTTGGGAAAAAAAATTATATTATAATGGAGGACAGAAATCTTAACTTTGGGTTTTTGCTAATAAATAAAAACATGGGAATCCTTTTTTCATAACTGCAAATAATCATAAGCCAAAACTTCATGAGTTGAGGTCTTCTGTATTAGTACAACTGAGGTGCATCCTCCTGCATTTCACAATACAGTATTGAATCTCAGCATCAAATCCTTTGACCTTCCTGAAGCCGATAGAGATCTTCCTGTAATGCTTCATAGTCCACTAGAGTTTTAATTCCTTTAAATAGCTTAGTGTTATCTCAAACATTTGTAAGGAAGAAAGAATAGTATCTGGCATATGATTTATGAAACAAGTTAACAACATGGGAACATGCACACTGCTTTGTGACCCACCACTCTTTATGGTTACTTATTATATCATGGTTTTTATGTACAGTAGTTAATCAGCATGAACTGTTTACAGTCATAAAAAAAATCAGTTCATGCTAAAACATTTCCCAAATTCCATTTCCTTCCAATTTAATTTTCAGCTTTTTGGAGGTCCACTGTCAAATGCCTTGGTAAAGTCAAGAAATATATTTTCAATAATGCCACCACATTCTAGAATCTGTAACAATATATTTTAGTAGCTGTGTCAGGTAGAAGTGTCCAGGCATAATTTTGTGTTGGAATTCCTTCACAAGAGTCTTCCATTATAGATGGTCCGTCATGGCACTGCGTATAATCTTTTCTTGTACTTTACACATTACGTAGGTTAAAGTCACCAGCCTGTAATTACCTATGCTTTGGTGATCATTTTTTTTAATATGCAGTACACGTATATGACTCACAAATGCTAATTACCAGCTATTGGGATCTTTTGCTTGTTCATACTCCAACAGAACAAGATAGGGTTCTAAGAGTTCATTATACAACCCTCTTAACACTCTGATAATTTAGTTCTATTACGCTCTTCCAAGAATTCCATATACTACCTTAGTGTTGTATTGAACTGCTTTTCCTCAAAACTAGGTACTTTTGCATCGTTTCTTGTAAACACTTAGTAAAATTATTCGTTTAATACATTCACCTTGACCAGGTCTGAGACTGTATACAGTAACTAAGCTGGTTCTTCCAAGTCTCAGATATGATACACCCACATTTGCCCTTAGTTATGATTTTGCAAAATAATACAAAGTTTTGGGGTTTGACTGGGCCTTAGTTGTGATTTGCCCCTGAAACTTTTCAACCTCTCTACTGTCTGGTTTAGGTTGTCTTTTTACCCTAGCATACAGTACTTCACTGCTATGCTCATCAGTAGTGGCAACCCATCTCTTGAAACTCTGAAAATTCACCTAAACTTTGAGTCTTACATATCCCTTACTGTAGATTTCCATATAAAAAAATAAAACTGTAACCTTGTTAATTGATTCACAGATCTCTAGCAGTTTTAGTACAGCAGCTCAACAAGGAAAAACTGGAAATGGCATTTGACAGCTTTACAACTAAATATTTAAATTTAAAACTTCTTGGCAAACATGTGCAGGAAGAGAGTGTTGGAAGATACATTTCAAGTGAGATGCGGTACAAGCGCCAAGCAGGTGACCATCATTGCACCGATCTCTATATAGCTGCTGTAATAAACTTGACGAGAGAGGTAAAGTGTGGTAATGGTATGTTTTTTAATGTAATCATTTAATAACATATAATTATAACATAATACTTTTTGTAAAGTCATTTTCACTTGAGATAAGAAAAAGCCTTGAGAGATATCTTTGAATTAAATTTCTGGATATCCTGGACAGTACAGTACAGACAGTTTCCACGGCTACCAACATCCGACGTATGAACATGCGCCAATATGAGCAGGGTTAAACTTTATATTTATAGTATTTCATTTACCTGATAACTTGCTTTTTACTTTAATTTTCTCTGTTTTGTCATTCTATTTCTGGAAAAATTCTGAGCCAATTTCATTTCTGGGTATTCATGAGTTCTGACTAATGGGGATTCCGGCAGTATCATAACCAGTGAGATTTATCCAAGGTGTGTGATTGCATTAAGCTCGACTATCTGCTGATATTGCAATGGAACCTCGATAAACCAGACTACAGTAATTGAGGCAGACCCTAGTCTGGAAAAGCAAAAGTAAAAAAAAAGCAATTCTATGGGGGTCAGGACTCAGGACACAGCCCTGCTTATCTGGACTGTTTTGGGTAAGATCAGACTTAAGTCTTGTTATTGATAACTGCTTTCGCAAACATTTGACTTTTTTTTTTTTGTTGACAGGGACTAAATCATGAAATTCATTTTGTGGTCGGTGATGGTGAGACTTACGAAACATATCAAAATTGTCCTCTGAAGACCAGTGAAACTTACATGTTGGCCATTGTTGCTGAAGTGAATCTTGAAGGTATAGTATGTGTGTGTCTGTGCATGTCCATGCATGCATGTGTGTGATTAGCTTGTTAAAATGAGCATTGTTGATTTATTGTCCCCTTCGCTAAGGGGACAATAAATTTATTAGAATAAATATGTCTAACAATTTTCAACTGAATTTAACATGTTTTTTACTTGTAGCTGTACAGTATGAGTGTACATAGCAGAGCTGTTAATAATATACAGCCAGGGGAATATTTCATCTCCAATTGACTCTTTTTATATCTAGAAACCTTAGTTCCAATTTCTAAACACAGGTGTGCAGCCTTCACATGACTGACTCCAACTTTAGGCAGCAGTTTTATTATGTTGATGTACTGAGGATGGATTTATCACCTGGAAACTGAATTAGATTATGATTAGTATATGTTTTCTACAGTATGTCCTAAACCTAAATGACTTCATTTTATAAATTTTTTCACCTTTGCTCTATATCCAAAGATCCTCTAGAGTGCCTCATCACATACAGTGCCTCTTCCAGTAATGTTCCTCTCTCATCCCCTCCACAGGTATCAATCCTCTCCTCACACTAGTCTCCACGGGTATCAATCCTCTCCTCACACTAGTCTCCACAGGTATCAATCCTCTCCTCACACTAGTCTCCACAGGTATCAATCCTCTCCTCACACTAGTCTCCACAGGTATCAATCCTCTCCTCACACTAGTCTCCACAGGTATCAGTCCTCTCCTCACACTAGTCTCCACAGGTATCAATCCTCTCCTCACACTAGTCTCCACAGGTATCCATCCTCTCCTCACACTAGTCTCCACAGGTATCCATCCTCTCCTCACAGTAACCTTTTTTTCACACCATCCTGGATTTCCTTCAGGGCACCAAGATTGGAAATAGTCTCTGGTTTATTTTCTAAATTCTTTGTTCCGGAAATGCTGAGAAAATCTTTCTGGTACAGTCTCACCCAAAAGTCCGTTAACTCTCTTTAGCCAGCTATTACTGCACTGCCTGCTTCAGATGTTTGAAGCTGTCTCAGTACCAACCAGAACATGAAACCGATACGAATGAATCTAAAGGTTCGAAGTAACAGACTCAAGTTCATAAATCTGAAGTAGGCAGTGCAGCAATAGCTGGCTGGGAGAGTTAACCAACTTTAAAAAGTGTAAAAGTGAGTGAGACTGTACCCGTAAAAATTCCAGGGATGAGTGATTTTTTCCCAGCTTTGAGAGAGCCATCTTGTAAGCCGGAAATCTCTAATTCCCGTAAGTGCTCTGCACCAATTGCTCCGGCTAAGGGGTACATCACTGTAACGGCCTTAGTGTTGTCGTGTACAGTGTATGAATAACTATTCATACTTTCAATGGGACTTTGCTGTCTATTACAAAAGCGATTTACTGTATTTTCACAAGGGAAACAATTATGATAGATTCATTCCTTGATGACCCAGAGGAAATAAATATTATTAAACACCGCAGGACTTTTAAAAAGGTACAAGCTAACAGCAGTGACTGAGTACTTCTACATCAGATGCAGTTATTCTAGTTCAGATAAGCACTGGTCAGAACAAGATATTCTGCACCATTACTTACCTCCAAATATATATACAAAAACTAATTAAGCTCGTTCATATTTGCACATGAGTAACTTAAGTAAGAAGAGTCGAGCATCGTGCAGTAAGATAAAGATATTGGGCCTTAGTTTCATCAGAATTACTTCCTTCATGTGATTGTTTGTATGTGTACAATGTATGTATGTATGTATGTATGTTTTTGTATGTACAATAAATTCATGTTTATATTTATAACATTTGTGAATTGTTTTTTTGTTTGTTTATATGTACAGTATATGTTTCAGAACACATTTTAACTGAGTATATTGTTTGTTTGTGTGAATTCTTGTTTGAATATACTTACACATTTGCAGTTGTGTAAACAATAGAATTCCTTAAAGTCAAAGGTATAAAAATATACATAAATGGAATAAATTACTTATATTGTATATTGTGTAAGGTTATTGAAGGAAGAAACCAGAATACTGAAGTAGGAGGAATCAGGAAGTTAATAATAACATAAATAATAATTTGCAGGAGAAAGTAAATATGCAGAGATGAGGCTGAATGAACCTGTAGTTGTGGGTGTTGGTGGTCATGGACTTGTCATCACTCTGTCCATCCTTGGTGGACTCCTTCTCCTTTTCATCCTAGCGGTCATTTACTAGTAAGTTCATTCTCAGGGAGGTAACTCTTCATTTTGTTGCTGGTAAATATGATTGAATAGTATAGTATGTTCATTAAGACATTAACTTCGTATTGCTGTTAATGGTGACATTTCCTTTCTGTTGAGATTTAATGCTCCTTATTAGGAGTGGTTCCAGATATAGCATTAAGGGGAAGACACACAATAATAATACTGTAATAGTAATTCAGAATTTTTTTATACATGTTTACAATTGGATAGGTATGCATCTAAACTATGCAGTTAAACGGTTCAGCATAAATATAGAGAATATAGGTACCTGTATATGATGCATGTAGGCCATGGGAGTATACGTACGGTTTCCTGTATGCATAGACAGTGCAGGTAAGCAACAATGGTAAACGGTAAATCAATTAGACCAAGGGTAGCCAACAAAGCTGTCAGTTGCTTATTTTCAGGAGGGTCCTTTACTTTGGTATCTGGTAAACTGATTGGACTAGTTAACTAACAACTGAAATCCAGAGACATTTCACAATAAATATGCAAACTTGGTAAACATGAACAGAACTACTGGGAGTACATGTTCCCTCTTAACCCAGGGGTCACTTAATCATCAATTACCCTTCAACTAAGACTTTCAATTATAATAGTAAGTTGTTATCCTGTTCTCAACATTGTTGTGGGTTATATTAAGAGGTCTGCCATCATTGTGGCTGTACAAATGTCTCTGGAGATAACTTAAAAAACACATTAGCTTCCTTCTTCAAAGTTGGCACACAAATCAACCTACCAGAAAATAGGTGCATTTTGGTATTCAGTACAGGTATCCCCGGGTTACAGAAGGGTTCCATTCCTGACAATCTTTCCGCATCATGAAATTCCTTTTTGCAAAACCATTTTTCCCATTGACTCCCATTATATAATTTGAGATGTATTCCTACAGAAATTTATTGTGGCCCAAAAATGTAGCACAATTACATATGTGAATGAATGCACACACTTGAATTTAACTCAGCAGAAACGATGTTGAGTGCTGGATGAGGTGAGGTGGTGCAATCAGAGTTACTGGGAATTACTTCCTTAAAACACCTAGTTTAATGTCCAACATAATTCCTTTATGGAATCTTGTAACACCACTGCTTTCTCTTAACCTTGATGGTCTTTTTCCTCTCACCTTCAATATGGGTACACAGACACATGACTGAACACAAACTGGGGAAAGAATTCAAACTGAGGAGTGTGTTTGTTGTGGTGGCTTCTAGCAGCTGGGGAGGTGAGCTGCCCTCCAACCGTCTTGCAGCTACCACCAAGAATCCACACAAAATTAATCCCAAACTCATTTAAATATTTTGGGATATGGGTGACTGGATCTTCTTGTTTTGTCTCATCACAAGACTACTATACCTATTTGATGGTTTTTACTTAGTAATCTCTTCTCTAAAGAATTATGATTTGTCTAAGTATGAACTTTCATACACCAATGGGCCACTTAATCACCACTGTCAATTGTAACAACGTGAAACAAGACATTAATATGATATGTGTACTATTTTCTTTGTTGATATATATAATTTATTTAACAGTACTCAACGTTGGAAGTCAAAAAACAGCAATGGAGTAGAGCACTCAAAAGGTAATACTGTATATAATTGTGCATCATCATAGACGTGTTGCAGTCTCTTTCGAAGCTTGCATGGGTTAGCCATGAATACCTGATGGTTACTACTTTCTTCAAGTTTGCTGCATATTTCTTTAAAATAATGTTATTATTTGGAGGAATTTGCAGACATGCCTCAGTTTTGCTAAATAGGCAGTTGTTTCACCAAACATCTAACAAAACTCTTTTAGCCTTGCTATATGCCTCTGCTTATCTTGAGTTCAGTTGTCAGTTTATTGCTTCTCTAGCGTCTCCGTCTGTGGAACAACAAAAGACAATCGCTACCTCCATAATGAGAGTATCAAAACCTCTATACAGTACATGAGATAATTAGGACAAGGCCTGAAAAACTGAAAGAAAAGAAATTTGATGTTGATTGATATAACATTAATGAATCACACTGGAAAATTCAGTACAGTAATTCATTTCAAATCCTGGCCAAGATTGGAAGGAAGAATGGGGAAACAATTAATACGACACACACTTCCTTACCTTGCCCCAAAAGAGGCACCTATTGAAGTTGGTGGACACTATAGATATCCAAAATATGCACCATTCTTCATTTATTTTTTGCCTTGTGATTCATTGTACCTACACACCTACGATCTCTTGAGTTCAGAGTCAGAAAGGTCACCCAGTTGTCCCTCAACAGTCAAATCGATTGGGGGATTAATGGCACGAAATCATCATCTGTACCTGTCACAAGCGGGGTACCGGTGCCACAGGGCAGTGTATTGGGCCCGCTGTTGTTTGTTTGTTTCATAAATGACATGCTTGACGTTGTACACTCCTCTATACAAATGTTTGCCGATAAAGCCAAGTTATTTCGGGAAAATGAGAACCAAGCAGACTGTGAAGAGCTGCAGAAGGATCTCTGTGAGCTCCAAGAATGGTCAAAGAAGTGGCTGCAAATATTCAATGTCACGAAGTGTAAGAGGATGCTCCTGGGGCATACCGGTAAGGAGGCGTATCATATGTCCCAACGGAGTGAAGAAACTAGACTATTTGAGACTGAATGTGAGAAGGACCTACGTAGGTGTGTATGTTGACAATGAGCTGAAGTTTACGGGCCATTGCGAAAAGAAGGTAAATCAGGCAAATAAATTATTGGGTCTTATAAGAAGGTCGTTCAGATATCTAGACGGTCCGTCCCTCGTAATGATCTTTGAGAGTGAAGTGCTTTCCCATCTGGAGTACTGTCATCCCATCTGGTCCCTGAGATATGCTAGGGACTGTCAGTTGGTTGAAAATGTTCAAAGGAGGGTCACCAGACTAGTGCCTGCACTTTGGCACCTCAACTACCCTGAGAGATTGGAGCAGGTTTAAGCAGAAAAATGAGACAGTTAGTCCGTTTTAAGAGGAGGTGAAGACTGTCCGAGTCAGGTGCAAGTCAGATGGTGCTCTCCTTTTTCTGTGCCCTCCGCTTAGCTGCCCTTATTTCTCCCAAAGTTGTGTTTTTGGCATCACAATCCAAGTCATCGAGGACCTCTTTAGGGGCTGGGATCACTGTGCCACACTATGTGAAAAGGTCACAACTTGGGATTCGATATGCCACTAATGTCTTGCTATTGCCGTAAAAGCCAGAAATATTTTAGTTAATGATCTCATATTACAGACAATTTATTTAGGATCATTATGGTATCAAATTCATCTCTCTAACACAATTAGAAGAGATGCTGCGAATAAAAGATTATACAGTTTTTTGCTAGCTATAAATATTTTCACTCATGCCAATGGTTTAGGTGAAATGGGAGAGTGTTTGTCCATGCGAGATGAGATGATGAGATGCATAGTTTAGACACTCGGAAAACTTTCCGCAGCACCCAGAAGTATTCTGGGGATGTGGGCTAGCATCTGTCAGTGTAAGATGCATAGTTTCGACTCTTGGTAACTTCTCCCAATACTCAGAGAAATTCCGAGGACGTGGGATTTTTTGGTGTTTGAGAGAGTCGTTTCATTACCTGAAAATCTCACATCCCTGGAAGAGCTTAGCACCAATTGTTTCGGCTAACAGGGATATCACTTATAACTTAATGCTAAACATACAGTACAGGGTTATGAATAATTCATATCTTAAGGGTACCATAAACAATGACATCCTCTAACTTCGTTTTCTCAGATATGAGTATTGGAGAAAATGTCCATACGGATAACATGAAAATATGATGTTTTATGTACAATTGAGCTTAATACAAATGAGTGTGGGTGTCAATAGAATATAGGTACAGTCAGAAACAATAATCTCTAACCCACCTGGGTCAGTGCTGGAGGTTAGTACAGCATCTTTTCTGGATGGGGGCCCACTCTAAACATCACGAGGACTGTGTGTTCGTGCGTGTGTTGCCTCGTGATAGTTAGAGTGGGCCCCCGTCCAGAAAGGACGCTGTACTAACCTCCAGCACCGACCCAGGTGGGCTAGAGATTTTGGTTTCTGACTGTACCACTGTGACCATGAAGGTATCAGTTACTGTTCAGACTTCAGTGCTTTGTTTCACAGCCACTCACCCCATTCATGCCATTACTTCCTTCTTTCCAAATTCAGCAATGAGTTGTTTTTTTTACTCAAAATTATATTTTTTTTCTCTTTTGAACTGTTTCAAACTTCTTTTTTCATTCATTATTTTAGCACCTGTTATTGCTTCATTATTGAAAAAAAAATTCCTTTGCTATACTGTATATGTTTCCATCTATCTGGAGTAATGGAGCACCTTTATCTGTACTGATGAGATAAAAATACAGTTTATTAAAATTATATGAATATCAGATAAAAATATTCTCAACTGTAATGAGTTTTGTATTGTATTAATGGTTTATATACTTTACAGGTAATGGAACAGTTGATAGCTCAAGGATTCCAATGGACCATTTCAACCAATCCATTCCAAACACCCTCACCACCCCAGCCACACCCCTGGTATGTTACTGACCCACCACACTGGTGCTGGCAGCATAGAATGTGTGAATAGTTTCCATCCATCCATATACGAGGCGCGTATGACCAGAGTAGACAAAGCGCCACTATGGTCAAATTGAGATTTATTCACAAAATGATTGGGAGATCACCTCTGAAAGTGTCAATATGGTCGATTTTGCAATTAAGTGAAACTACCCACACCTCACTATGTGCAGGGGTGGTGGACGACAACTCACACAAAGGAAAGCGCGAGAGGTCTCTATTTTTTCTTGCGCTTTGTCCATTCTGGTCGTACGCAACTCATATCTGACACGTCATTTTGTGAATATAGTATCTTAACCAAATTGTGATGGATTTTAATGAAGATATGTGTGTGGACTGTATAATATGGTCTAGAGTAAATTAAATTATTGCTATTCTTACCTGGCATATAGGCTTCACCCCTCCAAGGATAGTATGTCCTAGTCGTGTGGATTTGAGGAGTTATTTCCTGGCTGAGTGCTGACAGGGGTATAGCTTCTTCTCCATCTCAAAGGTGCTCAGAAAGTAAAAGTTCAGCACCTGAAGGTAGACTGTTTAAATTTCTAACCAGTTTCCAATCGAGAGAGGGATACTAAAGACCCTCACGTGAGACAAAATGAGCTTTGCTGAAGCCAGAAGCACAGCATTGAAATTTGTGTCAAGTCATGGAGATTCCTATGCACAGATTTTATCCCGACACAAGGCTCGGTGAACTGTTGCTGTGACACTGCCCCAAGAATCATCCATACCTGTATTGAATTCAGCTCCCATACCCAACTCTATGTCACCAATCCTCAGTCCTCAGACTTCTCTTGTAGTGACTGAGGTCCATATGGATGAGGCAGGCACATCTGTTACTCCTCATCTTTCCTCCACCAGCCATCCTGGTATTACAAAAATTTCAATAAAATGCTACCGAGGGTCCTCAGCGTCTCTGGAGGTAGATGATCCTCCGGCTAAGGTAACTTCAAAATACGATTCTGAGTCCCAGGCACTCCAACAGACGTCAGTTCAGGCTGGCACCTCTGCCTCAGAGTTGCCAAACGATCCTCTTCCGAAAGTCTCTGGTGACGATTCCCCAGCTATAACCAGCTAAAATTAGTCTGGCAGCTGGGACTCCTGGCATGAGGCTCACCTCTACAGATCCTCCATCTGGGGAGCCATCTCCAGGGGTTAACTTTGGTGAGAATCCATCTGATGGGTCTACATCTTGGAGTGGGACAGAAAGGCCCAGCCCCACACAAGTAGTCCTCCCCTCAACAGGGGGACTGGAAAAGGGGCACATCGTGGTACACTGCTGATGCATCTTCCAGGCTCCAACACCCAAACTCTTCCTAAGCTTAAATTCCTCTAAGGAACCACACACTCACGTACCCCTACTTAGACCCCCAATAATAATGGCATAGTCCAATTAATTGTCAAGGCTTACGAGCCAGCTGGGAGGAGCTCCAGTTGCTCTTGAGCAAATTCTCCCCTATATGCATTTGTCTCCAGGACTCAATGTTAGGTGCCTATGATCGTCCCCATCCCAGAGGATATTCGACTTTTTATTCTCCCTAAAATCCAGAACAGATGTATCATGGTGCACAGCCATCCTTGTCTCGAACAAGTGTGGTGTACCTTATAGCCCGTCAACCATTGCTTACCCGTTGCAGACAACAGCTCGCAAGATTCACCTCCAACATACTGTACCTATATCATATGCTCCATTTACCTCCCACCCAGTACACCAATTGCCAAGGAGGATTTGGTTTCATTAATTAGTAAACTTCCTTCTCCTTATCTTATCCTCGGTGATTTTAGTAGAAGGCATACCCTTTGGGGTGATACATTAATTAATTCAAGGGATGACTTGATAGCTTCGATTATTGGTGGATGAACAGCTACATTTTAATCTACAATGATATTTGATCAGATGGACAAGATTATATGACTCATACAAATACATGGAATCTTAACTTGTTTGCTTAAGAAAGGAGACATTTTTTACAGTGTTTATGAATATTAACCTGCAAATTATAACTCAAACTTGTGTGTGCTATTATATTATAGCTCACCAATTCAATATAATTTAGGGCTCGGAATAATCCTTGGTACATATAATAAACCTAGTAGTAAAGATACACATCCAAGAGAAATTGAAACAAGGACTGCACTTGCCAGGACAAATTGTGGTAGATTTACGTGATATTCTTAATTATATGGACCTAACACTATGTTTTGAAGCCTTGTTAATTTGTGTTACTGAATTGCTATCACTTGGGTCTTGGGGAAGAAAGTTCAGTGGAAAGTGAAATATATGTTGTGCTACTTGCATGTGCTGATAATTGTTCTCGTAACCATGCTTTAATTGTCAACACACCATCCATGTTCAGACTTTTTGCAGATCACTAATATATGACCTCAAAGTATATATTTATTAAAGGATATTTTAATCAGCATAAATCCCATTTGCTTGATTTAACTACCTATATATACATATGTATTGGTTGATGTATGTGCTCTTCCTTTGTCCTACACATAATGGAAACTAAAATTAATTCCCTCAGAGTGGTCCAGCAGCAGCAGATGAAAATATCTATGAAAACATCTACACCAAGGAGGATAACTATAGAAAATTTAATAGGCGTGTTCCACGTCAAGATGTTGAAGCCTATTTGAATAAATCCATTGGTTCTCAAGACACAATGGAGGAATTTAGGGTGAGTTGCACTTTAGCTATTCATTTCTCTAACACAATTAGAGAAAAGTCTTTATTCAAGATATCTTCAGGTCAGGAGACCCACTAATCCCCCATCCTACAATGGATGGCCTGATATTGCATCCGAAGGTCAGTAGTATGAGACCACTAATCCCCCAACCTACCTCCACCTGACATTGCATCAGGTCAGGTCAGTAACATGAGACCCATTAATCCCCCACAGCTCCATGAGTGTGGAAAATACTACCGGTAGTCTTCGCTGTAACATACAGCTTCATTTACGAGGCACCTCGCATGCCTGTATCATATAGATTTATAGTTTTTTAAATATACAGTATTCATTTAACCAAACTTTTAGGTAAACTATTTAGAATTATTCTAGTAAAGAAATAATTAGAACTGCTTTTACAGACTCCAGTAGTTTAGACTCTCGGAAAACTTTCCCAGCACCCTGAAACATTTTGGAGATGTAGACTAGTGTCTGTCTGCAAGATGATTAATTTAGATTCTCAGAACTTTTCCCAGTAACCAGAAAAAATTCCAGGGATAAGGGATTTTTCCTGATGTGAGAAAGTCGTCTGGTTACCCAGAAATCTCCCATATGAGCTTGTTGATACTGTGGCAAAAGCAGCTGCTTCTCACCCTGTGACACATCATTCCCTTCTACCTGCCTCTGATATGAAATCAGTTATAAGAGCTGCCATCCGCTCGAGTTGGCAATGCAGATGAGATGCTGCTGGAGCAAACAAGCTCCGCGACATCCACCCTGCATTGGGTGCCTGGAGATATCAGGGACTGTCACATCACTGGGAGACTGGTTTGGCCCGCTTCAACATTTGCCACACACGGCCCCTTGCCCATTGACTGTTCGACACCTCCTGTTGGAGTGTCCCAGACTCAGATCTTCATCCAAAGCATCTCTCCCAGTGCCAGAGGGGAGTTGGTTCTTACCGTCTCTCTTTGGTGCTAGGGGTGAGGGAGGAGTGGGTAGCATGGGAGGAGACATCCTCTCCTTCTACACAAGCTTTGAGTTTCATCAATTAACTTTTAAATGTTTTTTACGAACGTTCTGTGGTCTTTATTATTTATTTTTTACCTTACGTTATTCAGTTTTAGTCTTCTAAGGTTTTATTTTAATTTGGCTACGTATGACCTAAGCTTTTGCGTTGCCAGGATGTAATAACCACAATCAATCAAACAATCATCCCCGGAAGTGCTCTCCACCAATTGTTCTGGCTAACAGGGATATCACTATTGGTTCAGCAGTCATTCCCAAAACTTGGTGTTTAATGTTAAAATGAAAGTAAGTTGATGAAAACTCTACAGATTCATCCTGGTTTGATAATAAAACATTTTAGTCTCACACATTTCTGAGTGATATCAAGTCAACAAGTGACCAACTATTTTTAGTTAATGCTAATTCCAGGTGCTCTTTAATCTCTGGCAGTGGAAGGGTAATACTGTGCCTCCCTTCTTAAAAGATCCTGAGCATTGATTCCCAAAGGTTTGTTTTATATAATATCTTCATCCTTGATGGTGTAAGAATGTATCCAAGTATTTGAGTTGAGCTAAAGAAAGGTAATGTTAAAAATAAAATCAGGGTAACACTAGGATTCTACCTTGACTAGACATGTTAACTTAGCAACTCCTGGGGGACAAATCAAAGGTAGAAAATTTTTTCCAGAAAATTCTTTACCTCCAGTTTGTCTCCTGAGATTTACTAAGTGACTTTATATGGTACGAGTAGTCTCACTGCAATTTTAATTGTTAGTTTTGTGTTTTAGACTGTACAGTATTGCTGGATCAGCCTGTATGCATTACATTGTAATTAAATGCCTTTGCTAATTATGATGTGTTGCTGTTTGTTTATATTGCAGAGTGTCCCATCCAATATTGGCAAGCCTATGTTGGATGGTCAGTGTCCAGAAAACAAGAAAAAGAATCGCTATAGCAACAACCTCCCTTGTGAGTATATATTTTGCCTATTAAAGAATAAGATGCTGCATATATTTTGCCCATTAAAGAATAAAGAGGCTGTATATATTTTGCCCGTAAAAAGATGCTGTATTTATTTTGCCGTTAAAAGAATAAAGATACTGCATATATTTTGCCTGTTAAAGAATAAAGATGCTACATCACTCAGTTGTGTTGGCATGTGGGAAGAAAGAGTTGGATTTAATATAAAGGGTTTTCCTGTTGGTATTGACCATACAATATTTATAATTATCTTGGCTGATTATGTTTTGCTCTTAGTTTATTCAACATATAATGAATTGAATATGATTGCATTAATTTAGCTTCTAATGAACTTTATACAGGTTTATTTGACAATGAAGTAAAAGTTATCATAATTTTACTTTTTGCTCTTATACAGGTATAATGTTAGAACTACAGTACTCTCCTGTATGTTCCTTTGTATATTATATTTCACGGCTTGTCAGATTTTCAAGGTAATTTAATCTTAACTTGCAAAATGTTGATACATGATCACTAATACCACTAAACAAGAATGTCCTTAGATGTAATGTTATTTTTACTGAACTGATGCTATTCAGGAAATATAAGAGTCCTCAAATTAGTCTCAAGATAATTATTGTATGTTTTAGCTTAAGCTTTTATGATGCCAGTCACTTTTGTATTAAATTTTGTTTTGAAACTTATCAAATAGGGATCACTAATATATGCATTTATTGTCTATATACTGTAGTATTATCTCCTCCATTCTTGAAATAGAGGTACAAAACATAATCCATTCTTTACTTGTACTTAAAGGGGTTAGAGCTAAGAAAGATTCTCTGGGAATAGATTCCATTTATTTCCTCTGGCTGTAACTTGTCAATTAATTCTCTGTTAGGCTGAATTCTCACTTCTTTGCACCTTTACATTCAGATGATGAGACTCGTGTCAAGTTGTCAGTTATCCATGATGACCCAAATACAAATTACATCAATGCAAATCATGTCTATGTAAGTATTGCTACTTGTTTACTGCAACTTATAATGCTGCTGATATACAATTGTGGATATAACATTCATTTATTTAATTACAGCAGATAAATTGCTATCATTTTTTCTGTCTACAGCAGAGGTTCCTAACCTAGTGCTGACAAGCAACAGGTTGGGAATCCTTGATTTACAGGGAATGCAATATTATTACAGTACAGTATATAGAATCTTTGTTAATTTCATATGAACATCTGGAAAGAAAGTTGTTCAAGGGTTCAAGCCACGGCCCAGACACAGTGAGAAGGGTGTTATCCATTGTGACCCTACCCAACATCACAAGTTTTCTGGTCTATGGTTTCCTCCTGTACTAACACTGAATAGACCACCCAAATGGCTACTAAGCTGTAAGTGGCAAAAATGATGAATGGAAAAAAAATTAAAATATTCTGAAACTCTTGTGCTCTAGTAATAAAATTTAACATTAGTACTATTGCTAGGCAAGGGGTAACCTAATTGAAGTGTATAAACATCTCGGAGGGCACTACTCAGTCGAGTGTACATACCTGGAGCTGGCAGATGCCCACCCTACAAAGGGTCCACAGCTCAAGGTTGATGAAGCCACAAGTTCCGAAAACTGTGAGGGTAAACTTTTTTGGAGTGAAAATTGTGAACCCTTGGAACAATTTACCAGAGTGTTGTGATGGCACCGAGTGTGAGCTTTATCATGACCAGACTTGACTAACACTGGAGCTGGTTCAGATACATTCGGGAGCCAGTACATGCTCAGTATTTGCCAACAGTGAATAACAGAGGCATGACCGACCGCCCAAGCGGCTAACGTGCCGATCAGTGGCAATGAGGATAAAAGTAAAAGTACTTAATTTGCAGTCTTAAGTATATCTCAAGGACTAAATAAAATGACAACACTTAATGTGTGGGAGCACAATCTCCTGAAAACCCTATAAAGGATGAACCAACTAATTATGTGTAACATTGTCATAGAAATCCTACTACCCTGTAGCAACTTTCACCTTCTTCCACCAATGATCCAAAAACTTATTTTCTTTGACAGTAAAAGCACTGGGGTCTTTTTCACAAATTGGTTTCAGTTCATAAATTATAATTATCTACATCACAATAGGACATGTGATGTGTCTCCGTGCTTTGGTATCACAGGCCACTTCTTTCTAGATGCTTGAATGCATGACCACTGCTGGCCACTGAGATCACCTGACCATACCCCACCCCATTTTTTCCTTTAGGGTTATGGAAAGTCGAGAGTGTACTCCATAATGGTGCATGATATTGTACAGGGTGACTCCTGCTGTTTGAATAACCATACTCGTAAACTAATTTACCCACATTGGCTGCTTTGGCTTCACGAAGGATTTATTTTATTGCACATGGCCTTATCTAATTCCCTATCAGCATAAAATTAAGGTAAATTTGTCACATTTTACTTAAGCCATAAATTCATTCTTTAATACCAAGCACTTTTATGTTTTCTTTTTGCATTCATTTGTTTTGAGACACTTTAAGGACAGAACACTTGGTTAGAATCCACGATGCTTCCCAAGTAACAAAAGAGTGATGTGGGCAGCACAAGCTCAACATCTGATAACCAACCTAGGCTAGAGCAGCTGATAAGATTTGGAGGGAATTTTAACTAAAAAAAAAATTGGAATTTTTTCCAAAACTTTTTGGGGGATTCCTGATACTCAAGGGTACTGTAGTACTGGATGGAATAATGTTCCAAAGATCCTCAGCTCAATATTTAAAGGAGAGTTTTGTACAGGTTAACCAATGTTTTGATTTATGGAGACAAAGAGGAGTCTCCTGACTAGTGTTTGGTGTGAATAACATTTGCCTCTTTAATTCTGCTATGTTTGAAATTCTTGCTGAAGACTCACTGAACCCATTAAGTGTTACATGTCTGTTGTCTGTCTGTGCTTTGTTGTTAACTCCATATTCAAATTGTGTACTGTACAGTACAGTACAGTAAGGTCTTGGTTGAGTTCATTGTCGGTAATATTGCTGGCCATTTTTGTTACACAGTAATTCATAATAATATTGTATTCTAAATGTATTAATATAAAATTTTTGCTGTTTCTAGGGTTTTGGTGGACTTCTTAAGTACATTGCTTCACAAGGACCCAAGGATAAAAATTTGAACACCATTGGTGACTTCTGGCGGATGATTTGTGAGCAGCACATTACAGTCATTATTATGGTCGCTAATTTTGTGGAAGGGGGAAAGGTAAATCATTGTACTGGATTTAAGTATCATTAACGTTAAACTGAACATAGAATATATGAATAAGAAAATGAAGTGTAGGCACAAGTAATATTAGTCATTTTTATTGCTTAAACCTAATTTCTATGGATGTCAATTCATGTTTACAGTTTATCATCCTTTAGTTTAGTATGACCAGAGAATTTGTATATAAATATTTCAAAATGGATGTTGGTTGTACAGCAGTCACTCACTTACCCTTCACCAGTTTCCCCAGACTCATTACCCTGGTCAGCTGTGAAGAGGGTGTTATCCAGTGTGACCCTACCAAACACTACAGGTTTTTCTCCTTGTACTTTGGGTTTCTCATGTACACTATTAACACTGGGCAATGAAGGTTGTAGCAGAGAACAGATGTGTATGATAGAGAACCAACCAATCAATTAATAAGCGGACGAGTGGGGTAAAAGGATATACAGGGGTGTAGAAAATTAAAAATTGGTCTATGAAATGACGGAACTAATTAATGCAATACAAAAAAATTCAAAAAACATCAGTGACCTTGTGAAAGAGTAGCTTTCATTATATCTTTAAAACTCTTCATATATATTTATTTGCTTCTGTTTCCATTGTGTATTGCTGTAGGGACTATCAGAGCATATCTTGGGGAAACACTAGATAACACCCTTTCTCGCATCTGATCCAAGGAAGACTTAAACCCAGGTCAAGGTGATGAGAGGCAAGTGCACTACATCATATTTATTACCTTCTTTATTGGTCTAGTTTTCAAGAGTTATCATAAATAGATTACTTGCTGAATGTGATATTTTTGTAAAATTAATGTGTTGGTTTTATCATCCTATTTTATCAACAGAAAAAAGTGGGTGAATACATAAGTTTTGGGAGCAACCTTGTTGTGGAGGATTACACTGTGGAGGTTGTCAACACAGACCATCACTCTCATTATAATGTTTCTCTTGTTCAGGTAAACTACTCCAATGTGTCATTAGAAAATAGTGCACAATATTTTTTTGACAAAAGTCTTGGAAAATTTATTTATTGTAATGAAAATTGTGGAATTTAAGTAAGAGTACAGGGGGAGATTCTTCATTTTTTCTATCTGAACAATAAAGTAATCATAAGTACATTTTCATTAAGGCAAAGGCTATATCATATTTCATTAGTACATATGTTAAGGTAGCATTATACATCACTGTGAGAGTCAGGTTTAATAAAAGTGGAAGTCAAAATTTTCAAACAAAGGCTTTATATAGAACAGTATTTGAATAACTTATTCTCATGATATAAAATTGGCTGATTTTTTTTAGGTATGGAAACATGGTATTGCTCACACAGTCATACATTACCACTATACCAATTGGCCTGACCATGGGGTGCCCAGTGAGGCCCACAGTCTGGGCACTATGCTGCGTCAAATCATCCATACTCATATGGAGGGTACGTTAACCTTGTGTAATATAGGTTTATATATTATGTATTCAGGGGCCCCCCAAATTTGCAGGGGTCAGGTTCTCAAAATGGCCGCGAATCGCCAAATCCGCGAATAACACCTGAACTTGCCTAGCTTATACTACAGACGGGCAGGGGGCGACCTAATTGAGGTGTATAAGCATCTCAAGGGGAACTACTCAGTCGGGTGTCCTTACTTGGAGCTGGTGGAAGCTCGCCCCACAAGGGGTCACAGATCTAGATTGAAGAAGCAGCAGGTCCAGAAAACTGTGAGGGCAAACTTTTTTGGAGTAAGAGTTGTGAACTCTTGGAACAATCTACCAGAAACTGCTGTGATGGCACCGAGTGTGAGCTCTTTCAAGACCAGACTTGACCAACACTGGAGCAGGTTCAGGTACATTCAGGAGCAGGTGCAAACCCAGTACCTGCCAACAGTGCATAACAGAGACGTGACTGACTGCCCAAGCGGCTAACGAGCCAACCAGTGGTGAAGAGGATAAAAGTAAAAGTAACATTTGCTGACCAGGGGGTGGGGTACATTTTTACTTGTGTACAAAGAAATGTATATTCCCTTTATGTGTTTTCCCTTAGGACAATTATTGTCTCTAGAATGTATGGCTCCCTGTCTCAGCCACGGAAATGCCAGTAACTTTAAACCTACCCACAATCATTCTTGGGTACATCAAGGGTATCATCCGCGAATAATAGAGGACCGCGAAATACAAATCTGCAAACTTGGGGGGGGGGTCTGCTGTACTGTAGCTTTATATTTTTGTGTACTGTGTGTGTGGTTTGATCAAAATTTCAGAATATTATGAATGACAAAATCAGAATGTTGTGAAATATTGTTGCTGTTGTCTTATGTTAAACTTAACATTTGTATAGGTATACTGGATATTGCTAGTACTGTAATGCATAAGTAACTTGCTCTACCTTTTTTCTCAGGTGGTATGGTTGTCCACTGCTCTGCAGGCATTGGACGAACAGGTACTGTGCTGCAAGTGTTGTTACTTCATGAGATGTTGATGGTACAAGGTAGCATGGACCCATTAGAAGTCCTGCAGCGACTTCGTGAATGCCGAGCCCGATTAGTTGAGAATGTAGCACAGTACAACCTAAGTCTTCAGATATTTGATGAAGTTATGTATGGAAGCAACACTTCCATCGTTTCAATTAATTTTCCACAGCAATTGGAAGATTGTTTGAAGAAGAATCATAACCTATATCAAAGGGCTAAGGCTCTTCCTTCTGGCCTCACATTTGGAGCCACATCACAAGCTGAATATCATTACCTGAACCGGAATCCTACTATTTTACCATCAGTCTCTCAAAGAATTTTCTTGAGCATGGAAAATGGGGAGACACTTTCCCAGTACATTAATGCTATAAGAGTAAATGGACTTGATCATCCCAATGAAATGGTGGTGACTGAACATCCACTACCAACCACTCTGACCAAGTTCTGGAGACTTGTGGTTGAGAAGAAGTGCATGAGTGTTGTCCTCATCAACACATTCAATGACTGTGAAGAGGTACTTTCAGTGTACATAATAACAAGTACATATGTATATGCATGGTATACTGTATGATACTGTATGTATCTGAGTTCAGTGTACTTATTACCAATGACCCTGTTAATGGTGTACATGTTGTGTTTCAGGATATATTTCCATCATTGTTACCAAGACATGATACTGATCTGGTCCTCGGCAACTACACTATCCGCACACTGCATGTTGCTAACCACAGTTCCTTCATCCAGTACTCTATTGAAGTATTCTCCAAACAGGTAGTTGAATATATATTTTCTTGTTCAATACATACAGTTCATATGGTTTTGTATAGACTACTGCATAGTTAAAACAAGGGTGCCCAGGGCCTCTGACATTAATGACTGAAACTAGTTTGAAAATTACTTGCCTTGTCCCTTGAATAAAACAAGTGTCTGGCAGGCAAAATTCATCACCCAAAACTGAAAGCTGGGAGTCCTTATAATCACACTAACAAAACCAAGCGAGGTTAGAATGTCTACACTTGCTTATCTTATACTGTAAACAGCATGAAGTGACTTAATAGAAGTTTATACCTGTAAGAACCTCAAAGGCCTTTATGATTAATTTGAGTGGAAACATCGAATACTTTTTACTAGAGATAAAAATTTTAGTCCTTTAGCTTAGTATATTTGAGTACAAGTTGTACACTAGAGTAATATGTTGCTCATAATAATGACTTTTTCACAGCAAAAATCATTGGAAGATATGTTGAATAGTTTACACAGGTTACAGCATTAATCCAAGTTTAAAATTAAACCAAACAACCGCAACCATGCAGTTGTGACTTCCTGACATCCGCAGCTGAGGAGCTTTGAAATCTGACAACCACAACATCACTAGTGTGTAGTGATGATGAGAGTGTTGGTGGTGATGGCCAGTGTTGGTGATGAAGAGAGACCCACGTGGTCACTTTTGGCTTTGTCTAAAACAGACCAAGTCCATTATTATTCTGGATCTGGAAAAACAGACTGGCCCTCCTCCCAATAAGTCTGATATATCTGAGGTTTACTGTAAGTCTGATTCCTTTGATTTAATTTATACCACTTTGATTCTTCAAAAACATTCTTTCCCCTTCACCCTCACATGGCTGGCTCTGGCTCTTAGGTCCTGTATAGCATAAATAATCACACCCTTTTTGCAATTTACCCGAGAAAAGTTTGTAAATGAGTCATAACAATCTTTAGTTAACTCGCAATCCTTAAGATCAATTATACTGTTTTGTACAATAGTTCTACAGCACCTACCTTTGAAATATTATTGGACCAAGTGATTCGGAAAAACAGGGGAGCCCACTAGTCACTACACCTGTAGTTCTCTCTCCTAGGCTGGCCCACCACAAGAAGTGTCAGCCAAGGCTTTTATTGACATGATATTCCCAATAATAATAATAGTAATAATAATGATAATAATAATAATAATAATAGTAATAAATTATGGCCACTGTGCTGTATACCCCCCTCTCTTTTGGATTTTGATCAACTTTCATGAACACTTGAGTTCTTGGATAAAAACATTGGTGTAAACTTTTATCTCCAGGATATTCAGGAGGCAGTCACAGTGTATCAGATCACCTCATGGCCATATGGCAGTGAAGTGCCATCCTCTCCTGATGCACTAATAGGTGTTTCTGAAATACTGCTGCAGGCTCATCACCACGATACTGGACCAATTTTATTATCTTGTGGGTAAGTATCTTTTATCCAAGCCTAATTACTATCAGTTTATTTATCTCTATATTGATTTTTTAGACAATTGTCATTAATTTATTTAAATTTTGGGTAATGAATTCACATCTAATGAAATAAATCAAATTTAGCTCACTTATTAAAGAGCTAAATGGATTTACTGTACATAAAAAATCAGTGTCAAAGTTTTCCCAATGATCTTCTTGAAACAGTGTGTTTTTTGTATACAGTATGTGTGAAAAGACATTTACAATGTGCCTGTTGGCCTAATACTGGTACAATACCTGCTAATTCACTTTTGAAACACTTCTTTGTACCCAGTTCCATTTCTTGACTTCAACAACCCTCTTCTTGTACACCGCCCCCATTCCGTCTGAGGACACCACACAAAATGCATGCCCTAAGGCAGTGGTCCCCAACCTTTTGTAAGCTCAGGGCCACATTTATCATTGTAAATATAGTGGAGGGTGTGCCAAAACTTTGGATCTACAAACAAGAAAAAAAAATCACATATACACTCTCTCTCTCTCTCTCTCTCTCTCTTTTACTGATTAATTCCATTATCATTAAAAAGTAGAAGGTTTTCAGCTTTTGAGGCTCGCTCTCACCTTTAACACTTGACATGTATCTTCGTCCACTCTCACATTTGCCAGTATGATCATTTCACTGGTCAATATACGTACATATATACACAATCGTAAAATAATATAAATATTGACAGAGATGGTGTAACTGGCTGTGGACTTATGGCAGCGGCCAAGTTAACCATAGAGAAACTCCAAAAGTATAAGACTGTAGACGTTTACCGTACTGTTGTGTATCTTCTGCGTGCTAGACAAGAGTTTTTTGTGTCTCAGGTAAGTGAAAAGAACCTTTTAAAAAATTATTTCAGAGATAATTATTCCTAGGTATAGTATCTCTTTTTCTGTAGATCATTATTTTTTGTCAGAGTTGCTTACTTTCAAATGTGTCATCAACATGGATTAAAAGGTAATACAGTATACTGTACACTGTCAGAAAATATGCTGTACAGTATATTTACAGTACAGTACCTATATACAGTACATCTTACTAAAACTATGACTTGTTTTTCCTCAGGCACAGTTTGACTTTCTCTACATTGTTGCTGATAAGTACCTGCAAGATTTTGACACGTATGTTAATTTTCAAATTTGATTTCTTCTCAAATGTTGAGTTTGCCACTATCACATTGAAGGATAAGAAAACTTTTTTAAGATTTATTTATTTGTGTACTGTGTTTATGGCTTGCATACAGCAAAAGGATTTCAGTGGTCCCCCACAAATGTTTGACGTTTAGTACAAAATAGTCATAAAAAAGCAATTTTGTACAGTAGCAAAGTTAACTCCATAAGGGAAATAGGAGATAAAGTTTGACTACCTCAAAAACACTTTACAGTACAGTATGTGTTTTTAAACTGAATTTTGTACCTTCATTTTACTTACAGTATTCTCTTTTGTCACTTGTTAGTGTCTTAGCCAGTTGGTCAGTTCTCTGTTACACACTATTGGCAAGCACTGTGCATGAATGTGCTCTTGAACATACCTGAACATGTATCATTGTTGGTAACGTCTTGACTTAAAAGCTCACATTCTGTAATGTCATAACATTCTATGACAAATTATTCCAAGAGTTTACAACTGTAACTTTAAAGAGTTAGCTCCAACAGTTTTCTGTATTGATATCTTCTCTAACTTGATGCTGTGACCTCAAGTGGGCCAATCTTTTAATTCCAAATATGTACGTTCCAGGTCGATAAAATATTCAGAATAGAATATATAATAATAATAATAATAATAATAATAATAATAATAATAATAATAATAATAATAATAAACGGTTTATAAATAGAGTTGCAGCCGGTGGCTGAAAATATACACTTACATTTGATTTAGACATAATGATATAATATGCATTAAATACATTTACAGCACAAATGCATACCGGTATACAAAATCCACCATATAAATTCTTTGGTGATAATAGTGGAAGCTACTGGTAGTGGATGGTGAGGGAAACTTTTTTGCAGTGAAATATTATTGTGAACTCTTGGAATACCCTGCCATAGAGTGTTGCAGTAGCACAGAGAGTGAGCTCATTTAGGGTCAGACTTGACCAAATCTGGTACAGTGTGTAACAAAGAGAGGAAAGATGGTGGTGGAGGATAGTAATGATGGTGAATGATAATGGTGGGGAATGGTGACCAGTGATCCTTCGAGGTTGCTCACCTCCACCAAGAGCCAAACACATCGTCAGCAGCAGGGATATTTCTCTATGATATTAAATAAGCATCTTAAGCAATGCACCTTGTTTATATAGCATTTCTACGTCTTGTTACCTTTAAAACAAATACATGTACAGTACATTACATATATAAAACATTCTATATTTACGTGATAACATTGGTGCACATAATACTCATCCTCCACTGTGATGTAAAGTATTAGAGGGAACCTTGTATGTGATGGTGGTAGTGGTGGATACTGATGGTGGTAGTGGTAGATGATGGTGGTGGTGGATACCGATGGTGGTGGTAGTAGATGATGGTAGTGGATGATGGTGTGTGATGGTAACAGTTGATGGTGATGGATGGAGATGATCATGATGATGGTGGTGGTGATAGATGAAGATAAGAATGGTGGTGGTGTGTATTAATGGTGATGGATGTAGATGATAATGTTTGTGTCAATTTTTTTTTCCACAGCAGCTAGTTTATTGTGCACCTCACAATACTCGTATGAGCAGTAGCACAGAAAAGATTACTTAGTAGAGGCCACAAAAGACGTTTATCAGACCCCAGTGGTCAGGATATTACGGCTTTGAGCGTTACAGAGTATTTTCAGTATACATTGTTTGTTTAAGTCAGTTAAATTGAAGTTTACTGAGCTGTTGGATGTGAAGTGTGGATACAGCTTTAGTATAGTACTGTATCAGCTGTCTTATCATCAGAGATAGAGTTATGTATGCTTGGATCTGTCCCTAAAAGGTTCTATTTTTCTGCATTCTTTGGAGTGTGTGGGCGAAGGTCTGACTGCACACTTCAAATTTAGTTTTGTTCAGACCTGTCTGAGGGGCATACTGCCAAAGGTACTTACTGTATATCCTAACCTTAGTCTAGCAGTTACAATTGTTTGACAGTCCTATTTTGTATTCAACAGTATCCTTGTTGGATTATTATTACTGTATTATTTAATTAATTTATTACACTCCAGGGAGCAACAAGCCTAGTCACAAGACCATGTGGTTAGACACTAATATATTGGTACAGGGTATTTGTGTCTCACAGGACACACTATGACTTGTGATATAGAGATAATATTGAGATAATTTAAGGACAATGAGAGTTAGAACTCATCAACACATGGGTAGTATACAAGAATTAAGTCTAAATTATTCTCAAGAAGTAGGTGGTGACATATAGTAAAACCTTGATAACCCGGCATATAAGGGGCCCTGGCCTTGCTGTATTATCCCAAATTCCGACTTATCAAGGCACTCCACCCTCCTACAAAAATACAACAATAAAAATTGTTGCCCCATGTATGTATATATGTACAGGGGGTAATTACTAATTTAAAAAAAGTAACACTTACACAGGCAGTGGTGGCCAGTGGTTCCTCAGCTGTCAGTGGGTGTATGTAACTTACCTTATTTACCTAACAGCCAGCTAAATTTTAAGAGGCCAATAAGGTAAATATACTCATGTGGTGCTGCCAGGCACCTTCAATTATAAATAGAAAGTAAACGAATTTTATGCTATGATCTCTATACATTATGTGTATCATTGTTCTTAATACTGTACGAACAATTTCATTGCAATTATTTTTTTAATTAGAAATTGTAAATTGTAAAGTAAGTAAACAGTTAGAGGCCTTGAGCATTGGTCATTTGTTTCGAACTCATGCCTATGGTGGTGTCACAACCATACTTACGAAGTGGGAAAGTGACACCACAGTTTTCAGTTTTACAATAAAGTTATGCTACGTTTCATGACATTTTAAGTAAAAGAAGCACAAAGATATAATTATCTTCTGAAGTTAGTTGTCTTTTAACCCCTTCAGTCAGAGGAAATACCAGGTACAAGACATCCTTACACAATACTGCTCTTTGTCATTGATGGAACGCTCTCATATCCCACTAGTCTTATTGCCAATATTTTTTTTTATTATTATTATTGTATGTGCCTGGTGGGGTGAGTAATGAGGTGGTGTGGGAGTATTTCTGATGAAAACCTGTGGTGTGACTCGGCTTGCTCGCCTCGCAAGTAAGTGGACTCGGGTTCAATCCCCAGCCAAGGTGAAACTGGGCAAGTTCCTTTACACCATTTGCCTCTTGTCTTCTCAGCAGTAAGTGGGGATTTGTGGATTATTTTACAGAGTAATATAAATTTAATAAAAATACATATATCTACCCATATTACGAGTTGAAAAATAAAAATAACACAGCTTCTCCTAGTAGGAGGAGAGGTAAAGCAATGTAGCTACGGAGACATCTAAAGGCAGTGGCACACTGGGCACTTTCCCTCCCAACATGTTGGGCAAACATGGTCTGGCCAGCAAAACAGATGTTTTCATGACACTGGGATGTTTTGTTGGTGCGTCTGCCCAATGCAACAAAAACAACAAAGCGTCTGGGCAAAGTTCGCCATGGATCCCGTTACTACAGTTGAGGCCTTGCAGGATTATGCTATAGTTTTTCAATTGCTGAAGCAAGTAAGGCATCTGCAAAAGCCAAAGAAAAGACAATGGGCATGTCCTGAAGTTTGTTTACAAGTGGCGGTGACTGGCTGGTAAACAAATACCCTGAATAATGATATAATAATATACTAAAAAGTTTTAATGTGACGAATAAATAGAAACATGTCACCTTTTTATGTGTTATATTTTAAATTATTATTGTTTCATGATTTATTTAATTTTTACTTGAATATTCATCTCCTAATATGAATTTCATTTGAGCACTTACCCAGCCAGCAAAGCTTGCCGCCAGACTCGTGTCCATTTCCCGTAACAAATAAAATCCTGCTGCTTGCTGGGCCATGAGGCCTAGCGGCCAGCAAAAGAGACAACATGTTGGGAGGAAAGTGCCCAGTGTGCCACCGCCTTAACTTGGTGATCTCTATAAATGTATTGATTTTATGTCTATTTATAAATTATTTAAGTTATTTAGACATAATTTAATCATTATTCCAGAAGGATATAAAACTTGTTTGGGCTCTTCAGGGTCTTGGGAACGGAACCTATTTTCCCCCATAAGTTATTAATGTCAGTGTATGATTGCTCACTTAACGATGGCTTTTTGAGGTTTGTAACCCCATTGTAAAATGGTCATTGCTTATACTTTAGAAAAAAAATGGGAAAAATTGCAACAAAAAATCATGTACAGTATACAGGGTATCAACATTGTATCCCATTTTAGTCATAAGTACTGTAAATACAGTAATGTATATTTTGTAAATATTTACTGAGAATTAAGAAATAAAAGAAGGGGCACTATATCAGTAAACAACTGTAATAGGATAATATAACCTAGAAATTAAATGTTATATGCCGAGTATAGATAAACTATGGTACTTGTGATGGGGGTTTAGGACTAGTATATCAGCACCTAGGAGCAAAGAGGTTAAAAGGCTTAAATTACATTAATTTTTCTGCCTACGGGAACGCAGTTCCCCTATACAGTACAACCCCCGCCAATCTTGTGTAAAACCCTGTGTATGCCAGCACAGTAATAATCTTAGAAATTTTATTATCATCATTTTTAAGACAGTGCATTGTTGTATCTTAGAAAGTCACATATGACAGACTGAGTGTTATTAGATCCTTCTCTTGGTAATACTGTAATGTTGAACAGTTTATATTTATGAATACTTTACACTAAGAAGTTGTGATTATTATTTTATGTGTTCACTTAAAATTACAAGGTAGCAGTATTTCTGTATTTGTAAGTGTACTTTAAAGCAGTTTGGTGTTTACAGATACTGTACTATACAGTATTGTACTTGTATTTATAAGTGCACTGTGAAGTACTATAGTGATGTCTTTAAAAGTGGTATTGTATATACTGTACTTCTACAAATGTACTTAGAAGTACTGTAGTGGTATTCATTTGTATTTGAAAGTGTACTTAAGAGTAATAATGCTTATTTGTGTTTATAATGCACTTGGTAGCAGTTGTGTTTTTGTATTTATAGTGTATACAGTATATGAAACATTTATGTTTACTGTACAGTATTTGTTTTTACACAGTAAGTGGTCTTTATTTGTATTCATCAGTGCATTTGGAAGAATTGAAGTTATTTGTTAAAAAATGCACTTAGAAACAGTGATGTGTATTTCTTTTTGTAATACTATTTAGAGGGAATGGTGTTGTGGGTATTTAATATGCATGGCTGGTTATACTCATGTTTTTTAGTACACTTAGAAGTATTGGTGCTCATTTGTATAGTGTTTACAATAAGACTTAAAGGCAGAGATTTTTTAATTACTCTATAATACACCTTTGAGTACAGGCAGTCCCCGGGTTACGTCGGAGTTCCGTTCCTAAAGACGTTCTTAAGTTGAAAATGTACTCAAGTCGAACCACATACGGTATCCTATGTGCAAACCATACTTACAGAACCATGTTTAAAATTCCACTACTGTATATCAAAGCCTCAGTTCTTATACAGTACTGTATAACTCTAAACTCTAAAGTCACTTAATTTAAGATAAAAGAAGAAATAGAATTACAAAATACATTTAATGAAAGTAAAAAAAAGTAAGTCATCTGGTAAATAAAATACTGTAAATTTAAAGTTTAACTGTATGGGACCTCATACGTATCGGCAGATGTTCATAAGTTGGACGTACGTAACCCATGGACCTGCATATGTATATTGTATAAGTGAGCTTAGAAATATTTAGTTGATTGTTTAAATGTACATAGAAATAGTCGTGACCTTTGTACTGTATAGGGTATTTGCAAATTTATTTAGACACTAAAAAATTGTGGTATGTTAGATAAGTACAGTAGAAGATTTACCCAGTTTTGCCCAGGTTATTGGGACAACTAACTCCTTTTGGAGGGATAGGAGACAGTGCACGACCATTCTCCAGTCCATCCGCACCTCCCAAGGTTGGATCTAGGAATATCAAAAGGAAGGGGTCCAAGAAATTGTGGGTGGGGGGACATGGCGAGCACAGTGAGTCCACCCAGCTGGGGGAGGGGGGGTCTGTAAGCCCTCCCCATAAATATTTTTTGTATTCTGAACAATATCATGGGCATTTTGAGGCCATTTTGAAACCAAATGCACTTGATACAGTATTAGGAGATATTCTAAGGTCAATAGTAATTACTTTTTACAATACAAAAATGCCTGAGTACAATACTGCATTAAAGAAAAAGTATTGGAATTTTCTGATGAAAAAGGGGGTCTGGACCCCAGGACCCTCTCCTTGGATCCGATCCTGCCTCCCTACCAAATTTTGGCGCTCTATCTTCAAAACTGTTGATCCACTGGTGGTTGGCTCCTGAAGGGTTGACCCACCCCTTTTGAAAGGACAGGAGATAGTGCACAATCATCTTCTATGCCTGCACCGCCCTACCAAAATTCCGCTTTCTATCTTCAAAACTATGGAAATGCATAAGGAACATACAAACAAAATGTATTTTGCATAAGTAATATCTTCATTAACCCGAGTCCCTGTCAGCTGGAACTCTTCAGTACCCAGAATTGAAATTGGAACATTTTTTTTAGAAAATTCCAAGAAACTTCCTGGATTTTTTATTTTATTTTTTTTTCTTGGTTTGGAGCAAGTTTCAAGGATGAAATATTGTGTAATTTCAAGAAAATTCAGAGAAACTTTTCCCGGTAGTACCTGGAAAAATCCCTAAGATATGGAATTTTTGGGGGTTTGAGAGACTCGCCTCGTTCCCCAGAAATTTCTCCTCTCCGGAAGAGCTCTGCACCAATTATTCCAGCTAATAGGGACAACACAATACAGTATGGTACAGGGTATATAAATTTCGATTTTTTATACCATATCTATAAGTGTACTTAAACAAGTGCATACTTTTACTGCATGTGAATTTTTGTGATGCAAGTTGATTTACATTATTATTTAGTACTTTTGAATGTAAATTAAAATAAAACTTAAAAAAAAAAAGCATCATCATATTTTAGTTCCTACTGTATAGAGATATTGTTTAATGGATGAAGGGTTCAGTCCTGTGTACAGTATGTAGATCATTAATCACACTCTAGTGGACAACTGTCAGTAGTGAATAAGGTAACCTAGTGATGTTCCAACACATACTCTGGGCTAGTCATGCTCCAACACATGCTCAGGGCTAGTCATGTTCCAACACATACTCAGGGCTAGTCATGCCCCAACACATGCTCAGGGCTAGTCATGCTCCAACACATGCTCAGGGCTAGTCATGTTCCAACACATACTTAGGGCTGGTCATGTGAGAATGAGCAGAATGGGGCTTGTCATCTCAGAATGGTTTCAGATTCTTTGTTTATTTTTCAGATTGCATGGTGGTAGTTTATTGGGCATTCCCTTCCATCCTGGGCAAGGTGAAGTGCAAAGGCATTTACAACTTCCAACAGGGAAGCATACGGAGTTCATGCTTGCCTTTTTGACTCGTGCATTTAAGGGCATAAGTGCTTGAAGGGCAAGTTACATATAGTGACAGGATGAAGGAGTTGGGGGAGAACTCCCGATACATCTGTTTATGGTAAGGTGTGGCAAATCCTTAACATAAGTCAAGTGCCAGACCTGTCTTAAGGAGGAGGGATATTTGGCAAGTAGGAAGGGTTGTTGGTGATGGCTGGGGACTGTGCTGTGGTAGGATAGGCAGAGTGGGGGTGGGGGGAGGCACATAAGCATTGGCAGTATTAAGAGTCAAACCATTTAGTGTGAGTGTGATGACGTGTGCATCGGTAGTTGCAGCGACAAGGAGGAAGTCGAAAGGTTGATAGGGGACATCCTTCCTGATGGAGATACATAGTCAACAAGCATGTCATCGGTGTGGGCCAAAGGCATGGAGGGGGAGGGGGGGGTTGTCTCGGATCCCCTGGTCCAACAACGAACTGGCAAAGATAGTCAAGAGATAGGAGTAGGCGCAGCCTGTGGAGGGTGGACAGGTTGAGGCATGGAATGGACAGGGTTGGTATGAGTCAGGCTGACGCTCGGGGGAGCAGGTTACGCCGGGACAATCCCAGAGAGCACCGCGGCAGTGCTAAGGGAAGCTGTGGGTAGTTGGGGCTCACAGAGGTCAGTGATGATGGCAAGAAGGGATCCAAAGAGATGCTCAACACGGCTCTCTATTTTGTGAAGTTTGTTGAGGACCACATGAAGCATGAATGGAGGCCTCGGTGACCTCCGACCTGAGGGTCAAGTAGTCGGGCAGGGGTCAATAGGCCGTACATCCTGAGCTTGTTAAGGGTCTAGGAATGTTACACCGTGACACTCAAACAAACATGGTTCCAATTCTACTATTTGATCATGGGCAAAAGGCCGGTAAACACAAGATGCCAAGGGTGCTCAGTAAACTAGTCCCCGTGCCAGTGTGACACAAGTGTGATCCTGAAACTGGTTCACCTCTAAGAATACAGTTCCCTGAAAAAAAATTTAAGTATCTTCCCCTTGAGTAACTTACCTCTTGAGTAACTTACCTCTTGAGTAACCTGCCTCTTGAGTACCTTCCCCCTGAGCAACTTACCCCTGTGTATCTTTCCCCTCAGTACCTTACCCCTGTGTATCTTCCCCTCCCCCTGAGTGTGGTGATGTGTGAGGCCAGACACACTTGTACCTATATACAGTATATATATATATATATATATATATATATATATATATATATATATATATATATATATATATATATATATATATATATATATATATATATATGTGTGTGTGTAATGAATCGGATGTCGTTTTTTTTTTTTGCGGGTGTGAAAAAAATTAAACATCCGTGGAGGCGAATGCGGATATTTCGTTAGACGAGTTTCAGCCACATCAAGGAGATGTGTTACTGCCAGTTACCAAAAGAACACTACATAATATACTGTCCTGCTTTCTGGTGGCAGCGACCTTAAGTTAAGTAAAACCTAGTATTAAGTGACCGAAATACTGTCCTTTATTTCGGTCACTTAATACTTGGTTTTACTTAACTTACTTCTTAACTTAAGGTAGCTGCCACCAGACCGCAGGACAGTATGTGTAGTGTTCTTTTGGAAGCTGTCAAAGCAGTCTAGTGCTGTGAGTTCGTGTTTTTCGTTAACCAATTAAGGGTAGAATTTTATTGACCCAAAAATTACCTGATAGAGCATTTCCTGTTTTTCACTCCCTATGTTTCCCTCATTGCCTTTCTCCTTCCATCCCTTGTTACCTGTCACTCTCCCTTCATCCCTCGGTACCTCTCTCTCTCTCTCGTTAACCCCTCCCCTTCCCTCCCTCCCTCGTTACCTGTCTCACTATCTCTCTCCTTCCCTCTTTACCTCCCTTTCCCACACTCTTTCCCTTTTTTTATTTCCTCCTCTAAAGCTAGTACATCTCTCCCCCGTCTACATCCCGAGGGAGGGAGCAAGAGGAGAGAGGGTAGAAAAGGAGAGAGAAAGGGAGGGGGAGGGAGGGTTGGAGGGGTCGAGACGGAAGGGAGGAAAGGAGGGAGAGATGGATGGAAGGAGGGTAGGGGTGGAGGTAGGTAGGGAGGAAGGAAAGTGAGAGATGGGTGGAAGGAGGGAGGGAGGGAGACACAGGTAAACCGTTAGCCTGTAATGGAGTAAATTAGTCCACGAGATAGCGATCATCTGTCTGTCAATATGTCAGTCTGTCTATTTGACTCTGTCCATTCACACACACACACACACACTGTCAGCAACTGTTACTTTTTATCTCTCAATATCTCTCTAATAATAATAAATAATAATAAAAAATACTAGTTTATAATATGGTTTGGTATGTATACAGACCGCGGGTATACAGCAGCATGTGTACACTAGAGAGACAATGTAAGTATACGGTGTACATTGACTGTGGAAGTACACGGTTCTCATGTTCCTAGGCCGTGGTAGCAGTAAAGAAGACAATATTTACTCCCTCTAGTGTCCTGCCTATTCATATTCCTAATCCTTACAAAGTTTGTTGTTAGATACTCTTGGCACAGTCTTTTGAAAATCCTATTAGCGTGATTCTGTCTCAGTTGCTTCACTCTATCCACCACGCTTGACATGTCCAGCCATTGGAGCACTTGGCGACCGATGTGATCTCTTGCGTTCACGTCAAGAATGAATTCACCATCTTTTGTTTTGACTATTTTGTAGCTTTCAGTATCTCCCTCTCTTTCAGTATATCTCTCTCTCATTATCTCTCTGTCTCTCCATATCTCTCTCTCTCTCGTTATCTTTCATATTACCCTTTTACTGACTCTGTCATCGCGTGTATCTCATCTCACTCTTTCAACAACTTATCTATGTTACTCTACGGTGACCTTATCTTTAATTATCTCTTTCTTTATCTCTCTCCTCTTTCTCTTCCCTCCCTCTTCTTCTCTCTCTTTCTCCTTTTTCGTTCTTCCTTCCATTCTCCTCCCCTTCCCATTTCTCCTTCACCTCACCTCCTTACCGTACAGCAAATCCTTCACCACAAACAAAATTCTGACGCCTAAATAACAGCTTGTCTGATCATCTTCAAATACACATTAGTAACCCTCCCCTTCCTCCACCCCTCTTCCCCCTCCCATGGGCTTAGATACGGTTCAGAGTCTCTCTGCCCCGTCCCACCACGTCCCTCGTTTCTCCTTGCCCCGCCCCGCCTCGCCCATCACAGTGCTTGTGGATCAAATACTCCACAGCTGAAATAGATCCACCCCGCTGGGGCCTGTTAGGGGTCCAAAAAACTAGGCTCCAATTATAATGGTTAGGGGGACGTTGAGGCACATTAGTACTCACCTATTAATATTAGGGTCCCACTAGTACCTGGGTACGTTGACATTAGGCGCCATTAGGACATAGTCCCAATCCTCGCCTTTTACTTTTTACCTTTATCCTCTTCGCCACTGATCGGCTCGTTAGCCGTTTGGACGGTCGGTCACGTCTCTGGTACGCACTGTTGGCAAGTACTAAGCATGCACCGGCTCCTGAATGTATCTGAACCTAACCCGGTGTTGGTTAAGTCTGGCCTAGAATGAGCTCACACTCGGTGGCGCCACTGCGCTCTCCAGCAGATTATCCCAAGAGTTCACAACTCTCACTCCAAAAAAGTTTGCCCTCAGTTTTCTGGACTTGTGGCTTCTTCAATCTTGAGCTGTGAGCATGTGACCCTTTGTGAAGCGGACGTCCGGTAGCTCCAGATATGTGCATTCGACCGAGTAGTGCCTTCTGATATGTTTATACACCTCAATTAGGTCGCCCCTTACCCGTCTGTAGTGTAAGTCAGTCAGTTGCAGGCGTTCACCTTCTTCTCACAATGGCCCGAGAACTTTAGTTCATTGTCGACACACACACCCAGGTTCTTTTCACAGTCGGTCTCTGGGAGAGTATCCTCGCTAAATGGCCTCTAGGAAAGTACCCTCGCTAAGTGGCCTCTAGAAGAGTATCCTCGCTAAGTGGCCTGGAAGAGTATCCTCGCTAAGTGGCCCCTGGGGGAAAGTCCTGGCTAAGTGGCTACGGATAGATATTTGTTGTCTCGCATCATATAGGTAATTATGGCCACCAGCAGGTACGAGGGGGGGGGAGGGGGACTGGGGTGAGGGGTGCTGAGGAGTGAGGGGTGCTAAGGGCTGGTAAGAACTGGGATGAGGGGTGCTGAGGGCTGGAGAGTGAGGCGTACTGAGAACGGGGAAGATAGAAAATAAGGGAGAGAGAGAGAGATAGTTAAGAAAATAAGAGAGATGTAAGAGATGAGTCTGTTTAATTATTGTTCATACTGAGGTGGAGGTGACGGTGATGGTCGTGGTGGTGATGGTGGTGGAGGTGACGGTGATGGTCGTGGTGGTGATGGTGGTGGAGGTGACAGTGATAACGGTGGTAGTGGTGACAGTGGTAGTGGTGACGGTGATGATGGTGGTGGTAGTGGTGACAGTGATGATGGTGGTAGTAGTAATGACAGTGATAATGGTGGTAGTGGTGACAGTGATAATGGTGATAGTGATGATGATGATAGTGATGACAGTGATGATGGTGGTAGTGGTGACAGTGATGATGGTGGTGGTAGTAATGACAGTGATAATGGTGGTAGTGGTGACAGTGGTAGTGGTGACGGTGATGATGGTGGTGATAATGATGACAGTGATGATGGTGGTAGTGGTGACAGTGGTAGTGGTGACGGTGATGATGGTGGTGGTAGTAATGACAGTGATAATGGTGGTAGTGGTGACAGTGGTAGTGGTGACGGTGATGATGGTGGTAGTAGTGACAGTGATGATGATGATATTACGTGCCCTGAGAGTGGCTGGTGTGCTAGAGGCAGTAAGATAAGGAACAAGACAAACTCCAAGCCTTCCCTCCTCCTCCTCCTGCTGCCGCATTCGTTTACAACCTCGGCGGCTCTTCTGTACTTTAGCCAACGATAAAATCACATTAGGCACGCTCTGTCTACCGTCGTGCCGATTGTTGTTATTACTGCTGTTATTGATGTTGTTATTGCTGTTGGTATTGATGTTATTACTGTTTTTATTGCTGTTATTGATGTTATTGATTTGTTATTGTTTTTATTGCTGTTATTGATATTAGTCTTATGTTATCACTGTTGTTTTTGCTGTTATTGGTGTTATTACTGCTCTTAAAGGGCTCGTTACTGCTGTTGTTATTGATATTATTATTGTTGTTATTGTTGTGGTTACTGCACTGTTGCCCCTTTTTGTTAATGGGATAACAACTGTACTCTCTCTCTCTCTCTCTCTCTCTCTCTCTCTCTCTCTCTCTCTCTCTCTCTCTCTCTGTAGTATTAAAATGATAACACATCTATAATATACATATATATCGTATACATATAACAAGAGATAATTATAGTGTATAGTCAGTATAGGACAGTCAATATATCGCAAAAAAAAGTATAGCACATTCAGCTATAATATGTATATGGTATAGCAGCCACAATAATATAACACACAGTCAATATAGAGTGTACAGTTGGATATAAAACTCATAACAATAATAAGTAGAAATTTAGAACGAAAATCAGGTGTTATAAAAAGCGGTGACAGAGGGGTGACGGGGGGGGGGGGCTGACAACACCGTCACTACCATAAAACAGAACTTTATCCTCCTCCTCACTTACCAGCTTAACTAGTGGTGGTCGGTTAGTTTTCTGTTACAAAGTGCTGGGATGTACGGGCGCTGTTACACACTGTTGGCGAGTTATTCCTTGAGTTCACAACATTTCCCTCAAAGAATTAACTTTTGACATTTTCCTTTACAGATGGTTTCTTTAACTTGAGTCAGTGACGTATAGTGGGACGTCCATCTGTTAACTCCAGATATGTTTGTACATTTAACTGATTCACCCCGTAACTCCTTATAGTATTCTTGTATTATAAACAACAGACGACACTACATGCACCTGAAGAGTAATGTACAAAAAACGGGAAACTGGAGGAAAAAGAATGAATTGGAAGGAAAAGGATGAGGAGGGATGTTTGAGAAATGCAAATGAATGATTGAATGAAGAAGAAATGATGGAGAAAAATAGGAACGTTGAAAATGAAATAATTATAGATTGGGTAAACAGAAGAAAATTGGGCGGTTGGTTATTATTGATTAAGTAACTGCAACTTGTTCTAGGGACACTTGGTTGTTGTTAGGGGGTTACAGAGGCTGAACACTGTTACAGAGGCTGAACACTGTTACAGAGGCGGAACACTGTTACAGAGGCTGAACACTGTTACAGAGGCGGAACACTGTTACAGAGGCTGAACACTGTTACAGAGGCTGAACACTGTTACAGAGGCGGAACACTGTTACAGAGGCTGAACACTGTTACAGAGGCTGAACACTGTTACAGAGGCTGGCCAAAGTTGAAATTAGATAGATATTGTTGTTGTAGAATGAGTGACATTGTTGTATCAGAATTGTGGCTATTGTTGCACGAGCTAAGACTTACCTCACTCGTCAAGGGTCGTCAAACGAGGGTCCTTAACTGTGGTCGTTGCACACCGCCAGTTCCCTCGTCGTGGCCTTCCAATAATCGTCTCTTGTTTGTCTTTGAATGGTCGGCCGAGCACTTAGTTAATTTCACGTGTGGGGAATCTTTTTGAACGACTCTGTATGCATTCGTAAAATTCCTAACTGGGTCCAAGCACATTGTAGATAATTTTACTAACTGGTTGTAAAAACATTAAGTATTCCTTCTACTACACGTTTTCTTTTAATTTTTTTTAAGGGAAATTTCTATGAAATGGACGATAAGTGAAGAGGGGCTTTGTGCTATTGTGAGGAGCGCCAGAGACTATAGAGTGTTTGGTGGGGGGGGGGAGCCCACCCACCCACCATTTATGATCCTCGTCTCACTAAACAAAGCAAAACTATTTCAAATTCCTTTAACCCTTTCTCCAGGTCACCGCAGCTCGACCGTGTGCGTCCTATGTAGATTTCTGACACAATGAAGTCGGGAAGAATGGGTGGTGTATATGGTGCTGGCTAGACAACTTTTACTGCTTCACAATGTGTCTGTGGTCCCCTCACTTCGGGACCAGGTGATGCTAACCCACACTTGTCGTTAAAGCTTAGTTTTCGTGAGTCAATAACTTCGTTTAAGATCCGTATGGCGGGGCTCAAGGTTATTGTGTTCCTCTGGAGGCTGGAGTTGACAAGTGACGATCGGGTTGCGAAAATGACCCTCTGTTTCTTTAAGCAAATTGTCCCAAGTGTTCAGAGGAGGGATGTTAGTTCTTCGCTCCCACGAAAATAAATGTGGCGTCACATGACCGTCTCCAAGACGAAGAAGCATTAGCCTCACACAACCCCTTTTCCAATGGTCGAAAATTTTGCCCATTTTCATCTTGGACGGCTTCTGTGTATAGCGCTCAGCCGAAAACGCAAACCGGTCTGTCTGTCATTGTCGTGAGGAGAAGGTCCATGTGGGTCATAACGCCATTCTTCCTCCTATATCTCGCTCACAGTAATGTGTTCACGTGTTGTCGTTCTGCACTCCAGGGAAAAACTCTAGACTGAGATTTTATTCTTATCATTCGTGTAGTTAAGATGAAGATGATTTGGTCTAATTGTTGTGTAGATAAACAGCAGTTGTTATGTTGTGCTGGTAGTTGTTTGTTACCCTCGACGGATGGTGACTATGGTAATTGTTGTAGGCTGTGGCTGGGGTTGGGGCTGTGGCTGTGGCTGGGGTTGGGGCTGTGGCTGTGGCTGGGGTTGGGGCTGTGGCTGTGGCTGGGGTTGGGGCTGTGGCTGTGGCTGGGGTTGGGGCTGTGGCTGGGGCTGTGGCTGGGCTGGGGCTGTGGCTGTGGCTGTGGCTGGCTAGCTGTGGCTGTGGCTGGGGTTGGGGCTGTGGCTGTGGCTGGGGTTGGGGCTGTGGCTGTGGCTGCTTGGGGCTGTGGCTGTGGCTGGGGTTGGGGCTGTGGCTGTGGCTGGGGTTGGGGCTGTGGCTGTGGCTGGGGTTGGGGCTGTGGCTAGGACACACCAAGGGAATGTCGGCCAATTGTCGATCATTCATGCATTTCAAATTCCCAAGGGAAAGAGGGCCAGCCACTCTAACCCATCTCATGTTATCATTAACCAACCCTGACAACGTAACGCCCTCAACCTACCATATTTAATCTAATTAATATATGACTTCTCGGCACATTACACCGTCAAAACCCTGAGACAAATGAGAAAGATATGCGGCGGGCGGAGACTTGTGATGAGGCAAAAGCCGTAAATACTGGCAGCGAGAGCGCGTGAAGGAGGGTGGTGGTCTGCCCGACACATGTTACCCAAACTGGTTATTTTATTGTGGTGTTCAAGTTAACGCGGCCTAAGACAATAAGTGAAAACACCACTCAGTATCTCTTAGGCCCGTAGTATACATAAGAGAAAAGAAAACATGTACAGAGATAACATTGTATGCATGTATGTTTGTATGTATGAATGTGCGTACGTACATTCTTATATCCCCACACAGATGAACACCTAATTTTACAGTTGGAGAAATGAGAGCCGTTGATTGCAGTGCTGACCACATAACATTATTATTATTATTATTATTATTATTATTATTATTATTATTATTATTATTATTATTAACAGCACAATTTTCGTTTTTATTATTTATATATTATCCTTATAATCGCTATGTTTGCTACAATCCTTATTATCATCATTAGTATGTTAATTATCATCACCGTCATTATAATTATTATACGAGAGAAAAAGGGACAGACAGACAGACAGACAGACAGGCAGACAGACAGAGTGGGGAAGGATAACTAAAAGCAGAAGAAAACAAACTAAACACTATTGTGAGGCTAAACTATCAACTACAGTAAGGGCGAGTATACCAAGGCAGGCGGGAGGGTGAGAGGTGTGAGGGGAGGAAAAGGCATGACACACGGGAGAAGGGAGGTGATGAGAGAGAGGGATAGAGAGAGACCTAAGATGTGGGAGGGAGGGGGGGGAGAGAGAGGGGGAGGTGTGAGGAGAGGGGAGGGGGTGGGGAGAGAGAGGGAGGAGAGGGAGGGGGGGTGGGAGAGAGAGAGGGAGGCAGTGAGGGAGGAGGGGAGGGAGTTGTGAGGGGAGAGAGGGGAGGGGTGTGAGGAGAGGGAGGGTGGAGGTGGGGGAGAGAGAGGGAGGTGAGAAGAGGGGGGGTGGGGGGGGAGAGAGGGAGGTGGGAGGAGAGGGAGGGGGTGGGGAGAGAGGGAGGTGTGAGAAGAGGGGGAAAGAGGTGTGATGAGAGAGAATTAAATCTCACAAAAAGGGGGTGACAGTTATACTACCCTGCGTGAGTGGTGAGGGTATGTGAGGGTGAGAGTATGTGAGGGTGAGAGTATGTGAGGGTGAGGGTATGTGAGGGTGAGGGTATGTGGGGGTGAGGGGTGAAGGGTGTTAGGGAGGGGATTTGTAATTAAGTTATCAACTAACTAACTAACACTTATAAATAACTTACTGACTTATCTAGGTAACTATCTTTGTCAATAACACAGTTAAGTAACTTACTAACTCCCTTAGATAATTACTAATCTATAATTTACAACTTATTTTAATAACTAACTTTTGACTCACAACTTATTTATATATCTTGTTACATCATACAACTCGCTATCTGTTAATAAGGGACCAGATCTCGGCGTCACGATAGACCAATCAGTGAAGGCGGCGCAACGGGCGAAAGCAGCTGCAATGAGAAAAGCCAACCACCATTATGGAATTATAACTCTTCCCTTTGACTCTTTCATCTTTATAAACATCACGTAGGTTCCAATCTGGATTTCTATATGCACTTACCTCCAGGAGGACTTAACACAGAGAAACTAAGATGATTCCTGAAGTTTATCATTTTATTTAACTCGGTATGCCGAGGATCTTAGGCCTAACAAGTGATCGCGGGCACCTTCGTGCCCAGTGAAAGTTTGAACGCTCGTGCTTGGCTAGCGTACAGCGAATGAGGGTGCGCCAAGTCCGTAGATTTGCATGGTTAATTAGGGTGCGCAAAGTCCGTACACTTGCATCGTTTTCCAGCCTAAATAAAATGGTTAATTAATGCCTTCCTAAAGAAACCATCGACATGGGGCCAGGTTTGTTCTACTCTACGAATTTTTTGCGATTTTTCCACCAAGTTTGATGAAAAACGATTGTGCCGTTTCGGCTGCCCAGAACAGACAGACAGACAGACAGACAGACAGCTAGTCCTATAGTATATTAGATATCTCTACAGACAAGACACATTGGGGCAGATCTCAAAGAGGCATTTAAATGTTGAAAGGAATTGAAGACGTGAGCCTAGAAGGGACACAACTTCTAGCTCGCCAAGATGCCAAGCATGGCGAAAATAATTAAATACTTCTTCACACAAATAAATATTTTTTTAACTTATTTCAGTAACTTCCTAACTTACTGAAATAACTAACTTCTCCACTCACTAGCTTATCGAAATAACTAACTAGCTTACTGTCGGGTTGTGGTGTAACTTGTCACTACTCCGAGGAGGTCGACAACTGCCTGGTGAAGCGTAGGATGAATGGGTCAGGATGGCGGGAGGGTAAGGAGGGCGGGTGGGTAGGATAGAAGGATGGGTGAGGGAGACAGAGGGAAGGACTGCACCGCAGGGGGGATAGAAATGGAGGGAGGGAGTGGAGGGAAATGATGGAAGATGTATATACAATAATATCATTTGTAAATAATGTCTAATGAACCAAATTTGATGGTTATTGGTGACGCTGACGCAGGCATGTGTGTGTGGGGGTGTATGTGTGTATAGCTGATGAACATACAGAGCTACAAAGGCTAACACGTCGACTCCAGAGACGCTAATACTTAGAAACCACGACACTTGATCGCCAAATTATCCAATGGTAAAGAATACCACGAAGTAATCCCTTAAAATCACAAATTAATATTCTGGTGACATGAACAAACTAAACTTAACATATCCGATAGGCTAGTTTTGCTAAGGCTAATTTATTGTTTTATTTATATTATTTTACATTAAAAGAATGTATTAGTAATGTGTATCGTGGTTAATTATTACTGTGCCTCACTCCTCGTAACCCGAACAAAGTCATTATTTTCCCGCAATTTATGTCAGACTTCGCCGCACCTTACTCCCAGACAAATAAGTGTCTTCCCCTGTGGTCTACTTTTCCCTTGTCAATAATAATTATTGGCGACTTCTCCTCTCTCATTTCCTGGGTCATCCATCAGGCGGCAAAGTCTTCCTTCCTCCACTGTAATTCCCGTCAATGTGGCGGCAACTGTGTGGCAGAGGGTCGCCACATATGTCAGCCCATGTCTTAGTCCTTGTCTCGGCCCTTCTCCTGACGCCTCGACTGCACCCAAGCGGCAGGACGGGAGGGCTACGGGAAGCACTTGGTTTACAATGGAAGGCTAGGACTATGGGTAAGTGCTATAGGGAAGAGCTGCATATGCCAGGTCCTCCCCCCAACGAGATGTCTATATTCTTCATTACGCCGCCGTAAACTTGCCAAGCATTACTTTACATAACTCAAATCCTAAGTCATCCAGGAGTCAAATTCCCAGTATGTTCACACACACACACACACACACACACACTGTTCGTAAAATGATACCTCTATTTTTTTCTTGCAGTCAAGTGGAAACTGACAACCCTACACCCCCGTCCCTCACCTCTATAGTAGTGAGTGTGGTAGAGGTGTGGTAGTGAGTGTGGTGGTGTGGTAGTGAGTGTGGTAAAGGTGTAGTAGTGAGTGTGGTGGTGTGGCAGTGAGTGTGGTAAAGGTGTGGCAGTGAGTGTGGTGGTGTGGTAGTGAGTGTGGTAAAGGTGTGGTAGTGAGTGTGGTGGTGTGGTAGTGAGTATGGTAAAGGTGTGGTAGTGAGTGTGGTAAAGGTGTAGTAGTGAGTGTGGTAAAGGTGTGGTAGTGAGTGTGGTGGTGTGGTAGTGAGTGTGTTAAAGGTATGGCAGTGAGTGTGGTGGTGTGGTAGTGAGTGTGGTAAAGGTGTGGTAGTGAGTGTGGTGGTGTGGTAGTGGTAAAGGTGTGTGGTAGTGAGGTGGTAAAGGTGTAGTGTGGTAAAGGTGTGGTAGTGAGTGTGGTAAAGGTGGTAGTGAGTGTGGTAAAGGTGTGGTAGTGAGTGTGGTGTGTGTGGTAGTAAGTGTGGTAAAGGTAAGAGTGGTGGTGTGGTAGTGAGTGTGGTAAAGGTGTGGTAGTGAGTGTGGTAAAGGTGTGGTAGTGAGTGTGGTAAAGGTGTAGTAGTGAGTGTGGTAAAGGTGTGGTAGTGAGTGTGGTAGAAATGTGGTGGTAAACTTTGTCATCACTGAGGCACAGATGTTGTGTTTCCGTCGCCCCAAGGTTTGTTTCGTCTTGCCACCCTCCTCCTCCTCCTCCTCCTCCTCCTCCTCACACTTCTTCCTCCTTCTCTTTTTCATCATACTTCCTCCTCCACCTCCTCCTTATCATAGCTCTTCATTATCCCCTCCCCTCCTTATTATTATTATTATTATTATTATTATTATTATTATTATTATTATTATTGTTGTTGCTGTTGTTATAGACATATGTTATTAGTAGGAACTTGTATTAAAAGATGAAACAAGGGAATTATGAAGCTTATAAAATATTTCCTTAATCCATCAGAGTAACTTAACGTGTGAAAGTGTTTCCTGTAAGTTAATGAGCTAAAGAACTAATAAGGGACAATAATGGTTAGAAGGATACCTAACCTAACCTGGTCTATGGTCCATACTGCTTAACACATGGGTACATCGATTCATATCACTTGACACGCTGGTATATGTTCTACTGTATTGTCGGTTGTAGGTCAAATATACCCCAGCCTAATATGTCCATTAAAGCGAGATAAAGAGGATGCTGGCAGTCACAGGAAACACCCCCTTAACATTGCCCCCAGTGTTGTGTGGGGGAGGAGGGGACACTGCACAACACTCTCTCCTGACAGTACCTCCAACACTTGGCTTCACCACACCTCAAACACCCCTTAACTCTCGACCCAGCATCCCATCCTAAGCTAACCTAAGGTAACCTATCTTTACAGTTAAGTGAAGACGGTTCCCGCGACATTGCTTCCAAAGTCCCGAAGTTTTTAGCACAGTGAGCTGTATCAACGCTGCTCCTCATAGGCCCTCACCTATGGGTCAGAAAACATAGAAGACTGTGGTACAGACGAGTCTAGTTCACTGTCTGAAATTAGTAGTTACTTTATTTATACTAACGGTATGTCACCTCTCCGAGTCTGCTGAATAAAATCGTCTGGCGTTAACCAAATAAAATGCTAAAGTTGGTTTATGTTAACTAATCATATTTTCTAGACACCTGTAATTTATTACCTGGGTGATGGAAACTACTAAGGGTGGTATGAGGGGGTGGAGGGAGGGGTAGTCCGACTAAAATTCTTCATTTAATGAATATTTTTATTTTTTTTGTCTTTCTGGTCCGTGATCAGCATATGACATGTTGTATATGTTTACTGCATTTTTTTTCTTACGCTAATAAAAATGCCAGCTGGTGTACAGTAACAGTACCGAGGCCATACGTCACGCAACTTTAAAACAGAAATACCATAACTGCTAGTCCGTTTGTTCTCAAGTACAGTACAACTGACGGGTAGGTGGACGGTGCCACCTCCTCCACAACCACCCTCATTACGGCTATTATTTCTCTGGCTCCTGATCCAACTTATATATAAAAGTTTATATAGAAATAAAGTTTCCATGGATATTTCTTGAATATACATGTACGTATAATAATTAGCAGTACATTCAAAGCGTATATACACAATAAATTGGACATAGTGTGTGTAGGTGGTGGATAAAGCTGGCAACTGAGCGCCCCTCCCAACCGCCTTGGGGATTGGGCAGCTCCTCCACCGCTAACTTAAATTTCTGTATCTTGTGTTAGTGACGCGGGCGGCGGGCGTGTACGTTCATACGTCTCTTCTCCCGTCTTGCCATCATCTATGCCACGACTTGGTATTTGAGACGTCCGTGCCAAGACGCTTAATAAAAGTAGAAACTAGTGCCTGGACACGTGTACCCAGTAACTTTACACGTATGATATTATCCTGGACGACCCTGTTTGAACACTTGTAATTGGGAAGCTCGTTACCCAACTACTACATACTTGTTACGCCCCGTGCCTTGGTGTGTGTCTGTGAGAGGTAACGAACTAGTGTAAAGCCCAGTGACTCCAGTTTACTGTCGACACTTGTATATACAGTATAGTGATCACCGGTCAGTTTAATTGACAGTGAACCAAAGAAAAACTGACCACAAGCTGACCAAGAACTGCCTCTCCATCAAGGACTTCAGGTGGTGAGTGAAGCTCCTCTGCCAAAATGTGAACTGATTTAATTAACATATTTAGATGTAAAATTTCATACGAATTATTAGTTTAAGATTTGTTCACGCATTTTCCTCTTATGAAATGTTTATATGGATATGGATATTATTCAGTCTACTGTACATACTTTAAAAGACGTTTATGGAGTTTCTGAACTTCGTCGAGAAATAATACCCATAAGACCCACTAATAATACAGGTTAAGTGCTTGTTATTGACCCAGTTAGTGGCAGGGGCTTCTCGGAGCTAAAACAAATCGTCGTTGTACTGTTCATGGTTTAATTATTAATGATTTTATTGACGGTATTTGTGGTAGGTGATCATATTGTGCACTTCGTTATTCGACACATATCGTACTCTTCATACCTGTACTCCACATATCGTACTCTTCATACCTGTGCTCCACATATTGTACTCTTCATACCTGTACTCCACATATCGTACTCTTCATACCTGTACTCCACATATCGTACTCTTCATACCTGTACTCCACATATCGTACTTTAACACCTGTTTACACACCGCCCAGTGTGGTCCAATAGGCCCGCTGCAGTTTCCTCCATTCTTATGTTCTTATGTACTTGTTCTTTACACGCTTGTTCTTTACACGTCTGTTCTTTACACACCTGTTCTTTACACGTCTGTTCTTTACACGTCTGTTCTTTACACACCTGTTCTTTAAACGTCTGTTCTTTACACACCTGTTCTTTACACGTCTGTTCTTTACACACCTGTTCTTTATACATACTGTACTCTACACCTTGTACCCTAAACCTTGTACTCTACACACTTTGTACCTTGCATGTTTTCCCTTGAGTCAGATGGCAATGTATCATTTCAACCCAAGCGTCATTCAGCTTTTGTCTCTCTGAATGAGGGACTGACAGAATTATTCGCATTTATTGACTACTCTATCTATCTATCTATCTATCTATCTATCTATCTATCTATCTATCTTCTCAACACAATTAGGCCTCGTCTCTCTCTCTCTCTCTCTCTCTCTCTCTCTCTCTCTCTCTCTCTCTCTCTCTCTCTCTCTCTCTCTCTCTCATGGCTTCTTGTTACTATTTTAAGGAACAAGGAAGGAAATTCGGTTGTAGGATTAACAGAGATTATGGAAGGCTTGGGAGTGGAAGGAAAGGAGGGATTAAGCAGAAAGGAAAGTTAGTTGTGTGAGGGAAAAAGAGAGGAAGGGAAGGGGAGGAGGGATGGAAGGGAAGGGGAGGAGGGAGGGGGAAGAAAAGAAGGAGATAGAGGAAATGGGGAAAGGTTGGCAATGATGCAAACACATGAATGATTATGGAAATAGGAAAATAGTTCAATAAATAATAATGAAAATACTGACACACGGATTATTATTATTATTATCATCATCATTATCATCATTGTTATTGTTTTATTATTATTATTATTATTATTGTTGTTATTATTATTATTATTATTATTGTTGTTGTTATTATTAAATGCTAAAGGAACGAACTGTTAAAAAAAATGACTTGTTTTGTTTACTGAACGAGAGACGACTCCTGTACACAGAGGTAAATAAGGTGAGCATAGTGACGTCTTGGGTTTGTTTATATAAATGTTAAGTCTCACAAGCTCAGCTCAGGGCGGCTCAAGCTGGTATGTTAAGAGATAATATTGTGCACGTGGCAGCTTACCAGATGACGCCAGGGAAATATTAAATAACAGATCGCCAGCTTGAAATTGTGATATAACCTCCAGCTTGAACATGTGTTATAACCTCCAGCTTGAACATGTGTTATAACCTCCAGCTTGAACATGTGTTATAACCTCCAGCTTGAACATGTGTTATAACCTCCAGCTTGAACATGTGTTATAACCTCCAGCTTGAACATGTGTTATAACCTCCAGCTTGAACATGTGTTATAACTGCCACTTTGTGTGTTTTAATATTCCATAAACGTCCTTTATGAGGCTGGAGTGTATCCGTTACTACAGCAGGCGCATAGAGGCAGGCGTGACCTACAATAGATAGTGGATATATCCTTCAACACGTTCCCTGGGTGTTACGCTCCCTTCCCTCCCTTCCTCCCTTCCCTCCCTTCCCTTCCCTTCCCTCCTTCCCTACCTTCCCTCCGTTTCCTCCCTCCCCCTTTCCTCCCTTCCTCCCTCCCCCTTCCTTCCCTTCCCCTTCCATCCCTTCCAACTTCCCTCCCTTCTTCCCTTCCCCTCGCTCCGTTCCCTCCTCTTTCTCTCTTTCCGTTTCTTCCCTCCCCTCTTCCTCCTTCCCTGCTGTGTAACTTATGTAGCTGTTCTTCGGTTGTTATTCATTATTCGTAGACAGATTGTATGCATAGCCACATAACTTTGTACATCACCGCCATTACCCATCACCCTAGGAGGCTCCCACCATCACCGCCACCCATCACCCTATAAGACTTCCACCATCACCACCACCCATCACCCTAGGAGGCTCCCACCATCACCGCCACCCATCACCCTATGAGGCTCCCACCACCCATCACCCTATGAGGCTCCCACCACCCATCACCCTACGCGGTTCTTCACCACACACAAACCACAACTAGTTCATGATATTCATTCCTCTTCCCAGACCCCAAGTCTCGCTGACAAACCTCCTCCTTCTTAGGTACTCAAGGGTTAAGTCATAGTACTCAAGGGGTTAGTTCATGGTACTCAAGAGGTTAAGTAATACTTCTCAAAATTGTTAAGTTCATAGTACTCAAGGGTTATGGTGTTCAAGGGTTAAGTAATCGTACTCAAGGGGTTAAGTCACGGGATACCGAGAGATACCGAAGCTTATGTCGGTCATATTTGAATTTTGTTTACAGGTATTCAATAGCTAGCTCTTAATTTTCATTTTATTATTAATTTGTAAATAATTTTACTTATTATTTGCTTTAGGTAATTAGTTACTGTATGTTATTTCTTTGTCTGGGTTTGTTCCAGTAGATATTTAAATTTTCCGCGTGCCCGAACTAGTTTATTGTGCAGCCTCATATTTCTATACGTGAGCTGTAGTTACTGTGGGGTTGAATATATACTGTCTATCAATATCTATGCATAGGTGGTGACTTATATGCCAGGTGCAAAGTGTGGATATACCCAACACACACACACACACACTAACTCCGTAGGCCTAGTGAGTTTGTGGGGGCGTTGGTGTGTAGAACATGGTATAGGGTCTGGTTAAGGGAGGGAGGAAGGAAGGTGTTGAGAGAAGACCGGGTGGGAACAAGACATCCGAAACTCTTAATGGGGTGTGTGTGTGTGTGTGTGTGTGTGTGTGTGTGTGTGTGTGTGTGTGTGTGTGTGTGTGTGTGTGTGTGTGTGTGTGTGTGTGTGTGTGTGTAAAGACATGTTAATAGTTAGTTAGCTATGATAATCCAAATCACTTATGACACTTAATACCTTCACTTAAACATACAGAATCACTATACTGTACCACACTTCATAACGTCATTACAATACAGGTTTATACATCATACACTCCGTCGTGTGTGATGTGTATGACCCCCCACACCCCACTTCCTCCTCCTCCCCATCCTCCCCCCCTCCCCCTCATCTTATAGTTTCTTAAATTATAATTATTTGAGACACTTGGGAAGGTAAGGAGTATGGTGGTGTGTTAAAATGGTTCACTTGTGCTGCCATGTTCCCTCACCCACAACTTCTTGGACCACCCCCCCCCCATTTTGATATTCCTGGTTCCGCCCCTGAGGAGATGATGATGGTGTTAGTAGTAGCAGTAGTAGTGGTAGTAGTAGTGGTAGTAGTCTTTCTCTCTCCTTCGTTCGGTTTTGCTCTGCCTCAGGGGAACGAGAACTTCTGCCCCAATGCCGACAACTGCTGCTGATATTGACTATGAGGCTACAGTCACTGAGCCGCATAGATCTGCGGCTCAACTAATTCAACACAGATAGAACATAAGAAAATAAGGAGTCTGCAATAGGCCGCTTGGCCTGTGCATGGCAGCTCCTGTCGAGAGTTACTACCACTCCCTATCATCCATGAATCTATCTAGCCCCCTTTTGAAACTTTCCAGAGTTCCCTCACTTACTACAAAGTTGCTAAGCTTGTTCCACTCGTCCACCACCCTATTTGTGAACCAGTTTCTTCCTATCTCCCTCCTAAACCTAAACTTATCCAACTTGAATCCGTTGCTCCGAGTTCTATCCTGCTCGGATATTATAAGAACTTTATCTATATCCCCTTTATTGATTCCTTTCACCCACTTCAATACTTCTATCATATCTCCCCGCACTCTTCGTCTTTCTAGGGAATGCAAGCTAAGTTTCTTTAACCTATCCTGATATGGAAGGTTTCTAAGTCCCGGAATCATTTTTGTCATTCTTCGCTGCACCGACTCTAGTGAATTTATATCCATTCTATAATAGGGGCACCAGAACTGAACCGCATAATCGAGGTGCGGCCTGACTAGCGCAAGATATAGTTGCAATAAGACCTCTGCACTCTTATTACTTACATTTCTAGATATAAAACCCAATACTCTGTTTGCCTTATTTCAAACATTAACGCACTGTTTTCTAGGCCGTAGGTCCGGGCTTACTAGTACCCCTAGGTCTCTTTCACAAGTCGACTTCTCTAGGTTGATGTTGTTAAGGCTGTATACATTATCAGTATTTGTTCTTCCAATATTAAGGAAAGCTATTTATGTATTAGGATATTTAATATTAAGATAATAAAATGGCGGCGAAGGTATGGCTATTGGGGGAGGCTGGAGGCCACGTTAAAAAAAAAGTAGTGGTAGTAGTAGTAGTGGGAGGAAGTGTGGTGGGGAAGTGGTGGTGAGGAAGTGGTGGTGGGGAAGTGTGGTGGGGAAGGGAGTGATAGTGTGAATGGGTGCCTTTGTACTGGGCTAGCTGCTGATAACACAGCCTCCACCACCCTACCGCACCACCCTACCGCACCACCCTACCACATCACCTAACCACACTATCCAGCCACACCATCCAACCACAACAACCCTACCACACCATCCTACCACACCACCCTACCGCACCACCCTACCGCACCACCTTACCACACCAACCCTACCACACCAACCCTACCACACCATCCTACCACACCACCCAACCACACCACCCTACCACACCATCCTACCACACCACCCAACCACACCACCCAACCGCACCACCCAACCACACCAACCCTACCACACCATCCAACCACACCACACCACCCTACCACACCACCTTACCGCACCACCCTACCGCACCACCCTATCACACCAACCCTACCACACCACCCTACCACACCAACCCTACCACACCACCCAACCACACCATCCTACCAGGTGTGAGACAAGGTCGTGCGTGTAATGAGTGAGGCGAAATGACAGTCATGTACAGGTAGATTGATTAAGTGAACAGGTAGAATGACTACATGTACAGGTAGAATGATTACACGTACAGGTAGAATGACTACATGTGCAGGTAGAATGATTACATGTACAGGTAGAATGATGGTATAGTGTAGATTAAGCAGTCACAGGTATGCAACAGTATACCTCTTTCTTACTTCCATTGGCCAAACTGGGTAGTAGTGAAAGTGTGTGTGTGTGTGTGTGGTAGTTGGTCAAGGTTGCAAACTTCCATAAACGAACTCATTTGCTCGCCACAGTGAGAAGTAAATAACCTACTGTACTTGTGTGATTGTGGTGGCAGCTGTTTTTATTTGCTAGGAATTGTGGTAGTGAATGTCTGTCGCTGTTACCCATTAATCTGCTGTTATTTTGTGATTGCAACCAAATCTGGGATATTGTGGTTAGGTTAAGTTTGGTGAGGATGATGTATTGTGTGTTGCTTGGGTCAGGTTGATGTGTTATGGGGTGTAACTGTCGCATCAATTTCCGTCGATTGATCTATTTTGTAGGTTAGGTTATATTACTGTTCACTGTAGGATAAGTAGTGTAGACCTGAGTGAGTAGGTTGGGTAGTGCCCTTGCCGTGGTGAGAAAGTTGGGGATTATAACCAGAATGACGGAAAATCGCATTGAGAAGTCACAGTGACCGCCGGATGTGGGCCACCTTGTTTACCTTCAAGGAGATGGTGTGTGTGTGTGTGTGTGTGTGTGTGTGTGTGTGTGTGTGTGTGTGTGTGTGTGTTAAAGATATGTCAAAAGAAAACCAGTACTTTTAGCCTACCTCGGATCACCTGAATAATAGTCTCCCAGATTATTTCACCGGTGATAAAACAGTTTAGGTTATGTTAAGTTAGGTTTGGTGCTCGTTCAATCAATCAGTACCGTGCTAATATTTGAGGGTTGGCGAGCACAGTCCTCCATTCTAAACCTTCTCGGGCTGTTTTTTACCAATCCTCTAAGGTTTTGTGTCTCTGGGGACTCTGTTTTTAATTCATTCATCCATCCTCCCCCTGGCCCTCCTATCCTCAACTTTGTCCATTAATATTTCTGGTATTATTCTCTCATCCCCAATTATATGACCAATGTATCTCGGTTTTTCTTTATCTGTACATTTCATGCATTTCTCTTTGAAGTTTTTGCTATCCTTAGTACTTCATTTGTTTTGGTTAAAACGTTCGTAACTACTAAAACGTTCATGGTTAAAACATTCGTAACTACTAAAACGTTCATGGCTGAAACTTCATAGGCCTGAAACATCCTCTTGTGAACGCGTTAAGTCGTCTGCGGTCTCAAGACGGCCCGAGGTTGAAACAATCCCCGTCGATAAAAACACCTCGAGCCTGAACCGTGCTGGAGGGCGGTGCTGGGCGACACCTGATACTGGTGACTTGTTGCCGAGGTGACCATAACAGCAGGAGGTGAGGCGCCTCTAACCCTCCACACTTCTCTTAGGTTCCTCTACTCCACCCCCCCCCCCTCTCTTTCTCTCCAAATTCACAGTGATACCCTTAAGCAGAACGAAAACCCATCCATTGATAACCAATAATGCCCAGATAGAATACAAAGTAGAAGCACCCTCCTGGGCCTGCATATATCCACGACAGGTTACTCCCATCATGTCCACACCAGGAAGGAAAAGGCAAGAAGAGAGCTGAGAAAACTATACCGCTTTAACGCGCTTCCTGAGGGAAATAAAACTCCGCCTGATGATGACATTTATCATACCGATATTAACTTACCCAGCAGTACCTCTTCATACTGTGAGCACCACCCAATTATTAAAATTATAGGTGGTTCTGATGAATCCCTGAAATTCGTCACAGGTGAAAGATACCCCTTCACCAGAACCACAGCCGAGATACATAGAGACCTGAGAATAAAACCCATCAACCAGCAGCTGCACACCCTGGCCAGCAGAGGCTGGCAAAAGATAGAACGACCAGAGCAAGAACTCCTTCAAAGACTCCCAACTTCCTTCCTCTCTCTCTCTCTCTCTCTCTCTCTCTCTCTCTCTCAAAAATAAAAAAGCTTACCTTGGGTTGTAGGGTGTCAGGAAGATTATATACCGGATATAAAGACAAAAAAAACCCACACGCTTATTTGACTTGGCGATTAAACACGCCAAAGGTTTAAACAGGGGGAGGACGGTGGCTAGGTTAGGTTAGCATTGAGGTGTTTTAATCATCAGGCGTAATGAACGGGGATGCCTAATAATCATGAGGTTCCTATACAGTGCATCTTGTGTGTGTGTGTGCCACAATATTTCGGTGCCACAATACTTCAGTGCCACAATGTAATGCAAGATGATAATGTAAATGTTTACATATGTACGTATAGTAACAATTATGTACGTCCATCATTGATGCTTTGTACAGCTATTTTGAAGGAACCTGTACTTGTTCTGTACCTGCATTTGTGCCTCGACTTGTACTATTGTTGAAATCCTGAAATCGATTAGTTGACAACTCTTGTACCCTCGCCAGTGTTACCAGTACAAGAATGTGACACCTGTAACAGAACGCGTGTACCCCCGCCAGTGTTACCAGTACAAGAATGTGACACCTGTAACAGAACGCGTGTACCCCCGCCAGTGTTACCAGTACAAGAATGTGACACTTGTAACAGAACGCGTGTACCCCCGCCAGTGTTACCAGTACAAGAATGTGACACTTGTAACAGAACGCGTGTACCCCCGCCAGTGTTACCAGTACAAGAATGTAACACGAACAGAGAACGCGTACCGCCAGTGCTACTTTGGTACAAAATGTATCATCGGTAACAGAACGCGTGTACCCCTGCCAGTGTTACCAGTACAAGAATGTGACACTTGTAACAGAACGCGTGTACCCCCGCCAGTGTTACCAGTACAAGAATGTAACACTTGTAACAGAACGCGTGTACCCCTGCCAGTGTTACCAGTACAAGAATGTAACACTTGTAACAGAACGCGTGTACCCCCGCCAGTGTTACCAGTACAAGAATGTAACACTTGTGTGCTGTAATGTTGTATTGTGGCTGTTGACGCACTTAGTACTCTTATAAACATACCGGTATATAATTTCAGTCCATTGACATTTAAGACGGCCTAAACTTAACGAGTGGTTGGGTAGTTTTGGTTAGGAAGGATAAGTTTGGTTACTTTGTGTCGCCCAAGAAAATAAATGGTTTGGTTGTGTAGCATTTCGGGGTATTTCTTTTTATACTGCTAAGTTTGTTAGACCAGCGGCTGCTCCCCTACAGCCTATGGCTTACTGACTGTCGGACGCTGATTAACAAAATTCTTTTAACAAAAATCTTGGTGGCGCATCAGGCATGACCAATTGTGACCCAGAGTTATTGTTATGTTTTGTTAATTATGTTCCGGTTTACCCTAGGGGGCGAGCCTCACCACACACACACACCCCGATTTATCTGGACACTTTCTCAGTCTCTGTTAAAAAGAAGTACGTTGGTCATGTGCCGTTTATTTGGGTATATTGTGTGGCGGCCTCCTTCCCCTCGTACCCAGGAAGCTGGGCTGGGCTGGGGGGGTGGTCTAGTAGCTGTGGGCGGGTTGCTGCTCCACCTTTATATGGTACAAGATAATTTAGTGTGTTGGTAATGGTGTGTTTAATGGTGCATGTAAATATTTGGTGTAGGGGTGGAGAGCCTCACTGAGCTAGAATAATGTGAGGATCAGGTACTCTAGTAATGAGCGACCTTTCTGGCGTGAGGTGGTGGCGGCGGTGGAGGTGCTGGTGGTAGCAGTCATTGTCGCGAGTTCACATTTGTGGGGTAATCCTGGGGGGGTGGGGGGGGGACGCCTGCCCGGGGCATTGTTGTTCCCCGGGGGGCTTCATGCCTCCATCCTCTCGCCCACCCATTGCCTCACCCACCACGTGTCCACCACCACTTGGTAGAGACACTGATCAACCAACACTTACACCATATCTCCTCCAGGTACCTGATCACCACGCCAGCAGCACGCAGCAGTCCACCGTAGCACCACGCAGCAGTCCACCGTAGCACCACGCAACAGTCCACCGTAGCACCACGCAACAGTCCACCGTAGCACCACGCAGCAGTCCACCGTAGCACCACGCAACAGTCCACCGTAGCACCACCGCAGTAGGTGTGGTCGGGCCTGCCTGGCTGTTTACTCAACAAGCCAAGATACGCTAATCACTTATTACAGGTGTGTACTGTTCCATACAAAGTTGAAATAACCACTAACTATACTAATTATTATTAATATCGATAACGTTAATTAATGATATCAAGAAGTATCAGAGTATTGTTGCTGTACACCCAGCCAAGGTAACACGAGGGATGAATGTTTAGTATATGCAGTCAACAGTGTGTGTGTGTGTCTGTCTATAATCAAAGTTTGTAAAAGCAATTCGTCCAATTATTTGAATGGGATGAGGAAGGGGTGAAGATGGTTGTCTGAGTGTATTGGTCATTTGTGGCCGAAAATATGCCATTGTCACCTGACTTGTTAAATATTGAATGTTAATTATATTCACGACCGTTAATAGATAATGTCAAGAAAAGTTTGGTTTTCATCAAGAACACTTTCTCAGATTACAACCTAATTAAGAACCACATTAAAACTAACCTAACCTAACCCTGAAATGACCAAATTCTTCAGTACAACGCGTCCTCCGTCATAGTTAACTCAACACGGCTGTAACATATTGTCAGGTTAGTTTACCTGGCAGTAATGGTGAAGGGAGGCTGTAATGACTGGTTGTGATTGGTGGATCTCTTCTCGGCTCTATCACTGTCACGATAAATATTGAACAATAAACTATTCATCATTATTTTAGATCATCAGAAGTTTCCAAATGTTCGTATATTTAAATAATGAAAAATATATAAATAAATTAGCACCCTAACCCAACCACAGCTGTCACAAGATTCTCACATCATTTTTTTTTCATTATTTAAGCAAATATACGAACACTTGGTAACTTCTCACGGTCTAAAATAATGAGGAAGAGTAAATACAAACGTAGTGGTGGTTCCCCTCTAACACGCTACAGGGGCACAAGACGTAAAATTCTTTGCTCTCAATAAAGAAGAAAAAAAGAGTTTGAGTGGAGTAAATTTTTGAGTCCTATTAAACTGAAGGAGCGAGGGGTGGTGACTCAGGTGGTCTTTCTACCTGCATTTCTTACCCTCCCTCTCCCCCTGCCTCTCCCTCTCCCCCTCTTTCACCTGTTTCTATTTTTCCCCCTCCTTCCCTCCCCTTCCCTACATTCCACCCCGTGAGTGAAGGTTATATCAGTGGTGCCCTTCACTGTCTTGCTGGTTGGTCCCTGCTGTATTGTGGAGGCCATGTGAGCAGTTATGACCACCTCTCCCTCCCTCCCTCCCTCCCTCCCTCCTTCCTTCCTTCCTCTTAACTGTCACTGATGGGTGGTGTGTGTGTGGGGATGTTAGATGGAACGTGTTCATAAAATATACCAGTAAAGTACACGTGGTGGTCAGGTGGTTAGGTTAGGTTAGGTTTTAATCAAGATGGATTAGGTTAGATTTGGTTAGGTTAAGTTAGATCAATATGAATTATAGCTGTGGTCCGTTATCATGGAGTAAACAGAGCTATAGTTCCAGTGCTTTCGCTACACCTATAGCTGTGTCCTGGTGACTGTGTGTGTCCTGGCGACTGTGTGTGTGTGTGTCCTGGTGACTGTGTGTGTGTGCGTCCTGGTAACTGTGTGTGTGTGTGTCCTGGTGACTGTGTGTGTGTGTGTCCTGGTGACTGTGTGTGTGTGTCCTATGACTGTGTGTGTGTGTGTCCTGGGTGGACTGTGTGTGTGTGTGTGTGTCCTGGTGACTATGTGTGCGTCCTGGTAACTGTGTGTGCATCCTGGTGACTAGTGTGTGTGTGTGTCCTGGTGACTGTGTGTGTGTCCTGGTGACTGTGTGTGTGTGTCCTGACTGTGTGTGTGTGTGTCCTGGTGACTGTGTGTGTGTGTGTGTGTGTGTGTCCTGGCGACTTTGTTGTGGTGACTGTGTGTGTGTGTGTGTGTGTGTGTCCTGGCGACTTTGTTGTGATGACTGTCCCGGTGACTGCGATATGGTAGATGCAGCCTACAGCTAGAGGCAGACCGTCAGCCAGAGTGTGATTGGCTGGGGGTCTGTGTCTATTGGAATCCTAATATAGAAAGGCGATTGGTGAGGTTAAGTTAGATTAGACTTGGTGAGTTAAAATAGATTGAGATATAGAAGTTAGGTTATGTTACGTTAGTTATGTTTGTGTCCTCAACTATAAAGGAACAGAAAAAAAAATCCAAGTTTTAGGTCTAGTTCGTGGTAATTTTTGTAACAGCGGCCCGGCGTTCACTCTGGCGGGGTGCATCACTCGCCTTTGTCCAGCGACCATCACATTCGCGGGGATTAAGCCCGGTTTCCCTTGTTAGGCGTCGCCAGCCTATTTATGGCGGGTCGTATTTACGGAAACTCTTGAGTATTTGAGGCCATTGTTCACCAGGTTTATCAGTTCTCTTGTGAGAGATCTGTATTGTTGTAAATATTTGTCACATGTCATAATAGATCACCAGATTATATAATGCGTTAGTGTACGTTTACAGATTATATATTCGTTAGTATTCGTTTACAGATTATTTATTCATTAGTGTACGTTTACAGATTATATATTCGTTAGTATTCGTTTACAGATTATAATAAGCTTTGATGTGCGTTTACAGATTATAATAAGCTTTGATGTGCGTTTACAGATTATAATAAGCTTTGATGTGCGTTTACAGATTATAATAAGCTTTGATGTGCGTTTACAGATTATAAACGTTTTCTTTAGCTCGGGAAAAATTTGGATATCTTGTCGGGGTGCTGACCGTTGTGGCTGTGAATATGGGAGTCATTGTACGCTCAGACTTTTACAATGATGGACATGAACGCCAGGTAGCCAGGTTGTGATAGGTTGAAGTCCGTGACGTCATGTTTCTAAGAGGGCATCGGGGAATTTCTGACAGCCATTCTCAAGATCAAGCTGACAACACGACCCAGCTTAAACCTAACTTAACCCAACGTAACCTAACTTAGCCCACCGTAAGCTAACTTGGCGTAACTTAGCTTAAAACGTTTTATATTAGGTTAAGAAAGTTTGGTTAGGTTAGTGTTATGCGTGGTCAGGGTGAGGTGGTGTTGTGGGTAAGGTAGGTTGTGTTCAACTCTCCCCACGGCCTGTGATTCCCCACAAAGGATTGGGTTAACAGATCGATGGCAGAGATGAGGTTTAACGCGTGGCTGCTGTGAAAAGGATTGGAAACCTAACCTAACCTAACCTCACCTAATCTCGCCTCGCCTAACCTAACCAAACCAAACCTAACCACATTTATCACCAATCTTGATCTCCGGTAGTGACCACCTGACCGTGTGTTCTCCCTGTGTCTCCTGTGTCTCCCCTGTGTCTCCCCTGTGTCTCCCCTGTGTATCCCCTGTGTCCTCTGTGTACTTGCTAATCTCACATGAGTGTTAGTCGCACCTTAGCATGGCCGATGATGTATATCTAAGTGGAGGTGAGGGAGTGGATAGTGGTGGAGGTGAGGGAGTGAATAGTGGTGGTGGTGAGGGAGTGAATAGTGGTGGTGGTGAGGGAGTGAATAGTGGTGGTGAGAGAGGGGATAGTGGTGGTTGGTGGTGGTGAGGGAGTGAATAGTGGTGGTGAGAGAGGGATAGTGGTGGTTGGTGGTGGTGAGGGTGAATAGTGGTGGTGAGATAGTGTTGGTGGTGGTGAGAGTGAATAGTGGTGGTGAGAGAGGATAGTGGTGGTTGGTGGTGGTGAGGGAGTGAATGGTTATGGTGGTCACTGGTAGGATAAGCTGTACTATCTGGCCATCAGTTCCCAGGAGAATGCTTGCCCGGTACCTACTCTGGCACAAGGTTGCTATAGCCCTGGAGTATTATAAGGTGTCATGGCCTCAGGGAGTGTCATTAAGTGTCATGGCCTCAAGGGGTGTCATAATGTCATGGCCTCAAGGAGTGACAAAAATGCCCTGAGGTTAGGTTAGGTTTGTGTTAGTTTAGGATATTGCTAGCGTTAGTTTAGTGTTAAGTTAGGTTAGTTAGCGTTAGGGCGGTCAATCTCAAGGTAAACTGAGCTTGGTTGCCCCTTCCCTCCTCTCCTCGCACCTCCCCGCCCCCCCGCCCTGCTCCACCGCTGTAGTCATGTTCTTTCCATAATGCACCTGTCTTGTCCCTCTTCCCCCCTCCCCGACCAGTGACAGTTCCACAAACAGGTTCGTCTTTTTATTATCCGTTTTCTCTCACGAGTCGAATTTTTTCAGGGGTGTCTTGTGTAGTTTTTCCCAGGCGGCACCACCACACATGTTGGGAGAACGATTTAGTCCCTGTCAGTAGCATGTTGTTCCCGTCTTGTATACCTGTCATGTTCCATTTTCTTAACAGTTCTCACCAACATGTCAAGGTAACTAGTGGAAATTATAATATTATATCACATAATCTCAGTTTTCTTTCACTGGCGGCGTTTTTTTTTTTTCAAGGGTGTCTTGTGTAGTTCCCCAAAGGCGTCAGTCCCCCACTCCATCCATCACATAGGGTTGCCGCTGTTATCTGTCATCTAGCGGTACAGCAGCCTGTGTCCTCTTCTTGTCGGTCTTCCCACATATTATTTTGTCGGTTCATAGGTGACACATTCTCTGCTTCCTCTGATTGATTAATAGTAGTAGTAATTTAAGGTTATCTCGTGTTATTTGTGTAGTTTTGTATTAAATTATTATTAATAGTATTGTTATTTTTTTATACTATTTTAGTATTAATATTTTTTCTTCACTTGTTCCCACCATCTTATCCACCGAGCACTATAGCTCATTATAACTCTCCTCCTTATGTACACAAGCAAACTCTCACACACTCTTTCCGCCTCATTGTGAAGCTTGGGAAGTGTAGGAAGGATGGGGAGAATAGGAGGGATGGGGGAGAAGGAGATTGAATAAGGGGAGAAGACAAGGTGAGGAAGGCGTTGTTAGAGAGAGACAGAGAGAGATTTTCAATCGTGTAAGTTCTATGTTTTTTCGACCATATTTTCTAACCTTCTGCCCCTCTTCCCTTCCCCTCTCCTCTTCTCCCCTCTCCTCCCCTCCCCACTTCTTCCCTCTCTCCTCCCCTCCCCTCGTCTTCCTTCCCCTTACCTCCCCTCGTCACGGTGTT